ACGTGTGACTTGAGGATCAGGTCAAGATAGATTGACTGGAGCAACATATTACTACATTTGTTCGTGTTAAGTTGGCTGATCGTCCTTCGGTTTCTGAACTGAAGACTAAATATAGCGAAACATGTTGTTCTTGACGCTTCGCTTCATGGAGACTGGCTTGCCATCTTCGTATTCAACACCAGCATCGCCGCCATCGCCTGCAAGACCTTGGAGCTTTAGTTGTAGCTCTTGATCAAGTTCTGCTTGCGTTTTCTTTTTGGGCTTTGATTCTTCTTCGGGCTTGGCAGCTGATGTCTTGCTGTTGTTAGTCGTCGGGTTTTTATTGTAGTTGAAACTTGTTCTCTCACCAGCGATTCGTCTTCGACATCTGGTGGCTTTTCAGTTCGTGAGGCAAGTTTTGATGAATAATCTGATATGCATCTTCTTGATGTGAGCCGGCTCACTGTACAAGTCGATGTGGCGTTCAGTCGAGAGATTTATCGTAGCATTTTGGAGTCGATCGCCCGAGTGGGTGGAGGTACATGGCGTTACTAGGGTGCAAGCGTGAGATGTAGGTTCGTGAACCTAGCATGTACGTCACAGTGACTGCTGTCGCGTAGTATTCACTCACTGCGGGCTTAGTAAGAGCAAAGCGCCAAGCCCGAACCCTAGCGTGGAATCTTTGACTTTTGGTTTCGCGACCAATGCGACAACTCAACGCGCCCAACGCCAAACCTCAGCGCCCACCACAACTCCGTCGTGCGGCATCCGCTCATTAACCCTATCGTATAGGCCGCTACCATAGAATCAGTCGCGATGGTCGTAACCAAGGTGGGACAGTGGTCCAATGTCGAGGACGAGGTGCTCAAGGCGGCCATTTCCAAATATGGCCTCAACCAGTGGGCTCGTTGCGCCTCGCTGCTCGCGAAGAAGACGGCAAAGCAGTGTAAAGCGCGATGGAACGAATGGCTGGATCCTTCGATCAAGAAGACGGAGTGGTCGAGGGAGGACGACGAGAAGCTTCTCACCATGGCCAAACTTTTACCTACGCAATGGCGCACCATTGCGCCCATCGTTGGACGAACCGCGACACAATGTCTGGAACGGTATCAGAAGCTCCTGGACGAACAAGAGGCACGTGAAGCTGGCGACCTTGGACTGGCTGGTCCAGAGGGTGGAGAGTCGGCCGCCCCTTCCGCGGAAGATGTCCGACGACTACGTCCCGGAGAGGTGGATGCGTATGCTGAGGCTCGTGTAAGTTCTCTTCCACTGTGAATTGTATGTGACTATATGCTGACTGCTTTCAGGCTGCCAGACCGGATGCGATCGACATGGACGAAGAGGACAAGGAAATGCTGTCAGAGGCGCGCGCACGTCTAGCAAACGTCAGCGGAAAGAAGGCAAAGAGGAAGGCTCGTGAGAGGCAATTGGAGGAGTCGAGGAGATTGGCTCTGCTGCAGAAGCGACGAGAACTCAAGGCTGCTGGTATCAACATCAAGATCACTCCGAAGAAGGGCAATCACATCGACTACAACGCCGACGTACCACTCGAGAAGGAAGTGCCGTCGGGCTTCTTCGACACCACCGAGGAGCTCGACCACAATGAGAAGCAACGAGAGTCTTTCGATCCGCGCAAACAGCAACTGGCGAATAAGCGCAAGATGGATCAGCAAGAGGAGGGAGGAGATAGCAAGCGCAAGAAGAAGGACGAAAAGGCTGGAGGACTTGCGGCTTCATATGCGAAGGCTGCTCAGATGCAGAAGATCCGAGAGGCCGAACAGAGCAGCAAGCGCCGTGCCCTCGTACTTCCAACCCCGCAGGTCGGAGAAGCGGAGCTGGAAGATATTGTCAAGATGGGCATGACAGGAGAACGCGCAGTCACGGGCCTTGTGAGCGACAACATTGCCACGCAAGGCTTGGTAGGGAACTACACGAATATCGTCGGCAACACACCGATTCGCACACCTATGGCGCCCAAAGAGGAGGACCTTATCGCAAACGAGGTGCGGAATGCTCGACTGCGAACAGAAACCCAGTCTGCTCTGCTTGGTGGAGACAACCCAGACTTGGTCGGCGACGAAGTACCCACATCGTTATCTGCACCATCTTCGCGGCATCAGATCGTGACGCCGAACCCATTGGCGACCCCTTTCCAGCAAGGCAACGGCGGCGCTGGTGCTACACCCATGCGTCAAGGTCCTGGTGCCACCCCGATGCGAACACCTCGAGACACTTTGCGCCTGAACGGAGAAGATGGTGCAATGCAGATTGTTGGACAGACGCCGCGAGACATTAGGTTACGGGAGAATGCAAAGAAGCAAGATCTCAAAGGCAGGTTGGCTTCGCTACCAAAGCCCAAAGAAACCAGCTGGGAGTTCGAGTTGCCAGAGGAGCAGGCAGACCAGATGGAGGTGGAGATTAGCGAGGAAGATGCGGCAGAAATTGATCGAAGGAACCGAGAACGACAACTGGCCGCAGAGCGCGCCGCGTTTGGAAGACAAACCCAAGTTGTTCAAAGATTTCTGCCAAGGCCATCGATGGTGGACATCGACGTGTTGATGAAGCGAGCACTGGATATCACGGACCCTGTGGAACGAGAGATCGAAACCGAGATGGCAATGTTGGTGGCCAACGATGTACAGAAGTTCGGCAACGGGAAGGTCACTGGAACGCTTAAGCCCGTCGAGAACATGAGTGATGAAGCTCTCCGAGCCGCTAAGATGGAAATGGCTCTCGAGCTCGCCATGACTACAGAGAAAGACAAGAAAGCCTTCCACTCGGATTTCAGCAGTGCATGGTCAAACCTCCACGGCTCTGCCATCCTCCCTGGTATTGCAGGCTATGAGGAGGATGAAATCGACGAGCATCAGCTCATGGTCGAAGCATTCGACAACGCCCAGGAGAAGATTATCGAGTCGGCAGAGGCAGCCAACAAGATCGAAAAGAGACTCAACACACATCATGCAGGATACATCAAGCGTGCTGCCCTTCTACGAACGAAGATTGGCGATGCATTTGGTGCGCTTGAGAGGGCAAAGGTCGGACTGGACTCTGCGCGCACGATGCAGTACTCTGAAGAGACAGCCATTGCTCGCAGGCTGGAGAAACTGAGAGACGAGGTCAACTTCGTCAGCAAGAGGGAGAGGGAAACACAGGAGCTGTACAGGTCACGAAAGGACGAGTTGGACAGCTTGAAGGAGCCCGTCAACGGCGTACACTGAGGTTTTTCTAGTCTTGTATAAATAACAACCACAATTTAGGCCCTGGCTCTTCTGCATCGGAACCGGCGTTGGGGAAATGGCTTAGCAGTTGTAGCAGTAGGCAAGTCACTGCACACATTTATATTTGCAAGCAGCATGAGGAGAAGTTGATTCCACAACGAAAGATGATTTTCTTCATTCATATTTCATAAAACCATGACCCTTACTTCCCTGAGGGGTATAATGTGAAAAGTAAAGCGTCGCTACGTAAAAGGGGAGTAGTTCAACCCCCATTGCTTGTCCAGCGAGCTTGGTGAAAAAGAAAGAAATAGCCGTAACCGTCAGATACAACCCAATCCCCGTGATTAACTCCCCTCCCCCCCTATCCCATATACCCCCAAAAGAAAAAATCCCGATGAAAACGCCGCGTGTATCGCATGTCGAAAAGCAGTCTATCAGCACCTCATATCCGCAGAGCGAATCTAGCACTTCCCGTCCAACACCTCGAAGATGCCGACGACGTGCACGTTCTCAGCGCTCCTGCCGCCCCAGGGCCGGGGCTCAAGCAACTCCATCTGCTCGTGGGAGAAGAGGTGCTTCTCCTCCTCCATCTCGAACTCGACGATCGAGGGCTTGCGGCGGAGCGACAGGATCTCGCGGATGCTGGCAACGGAGCTGCGGTAGCTGTGTGGGCTGCTGTTGCGGCTGAGGGGCGAGGTCGAGGCGCTGGAGGAGCTGCGGGTCGAACGCGTAGGAGAGAAGGCGGTGCGGATGGAGGAGCGCAGGGGTGTGAAGGAGGAGAAGCGGTTGGAGCGGGTGGAGTGCATTTTGATGGTGGTGGTGGTGGGTTGGATTATTGATGGTAGGTTTGACAGATGTTGATGTGATGTGTCAAGGTCGAAGTGTTGTGACGTTGACGTGTGTGTGTGTCGTCGAGCGAGAGTAGTGAAGTTAAGTATGTTGAACGGACAACAAACTGTATAAGCTTCCGGACTTGGTGTATCGAAATGACAGGTAACAACAAAAGTCCAAGCTCCTCCAGGAAATTGTTACTTTTAGACTATGCTTGTCCGGCAGATGGAGATCCCAGCTCTGATAAAGTTGTGTCAAAAAAAAAAGAACCTTCGAGGCTTTGATTTGATGATGGATAAAAAATGGACAAGAAGGTAAGGACACGACCGACAGTCGGTGTTTAATCTAAAGTATCGAAACGAAAGTGAGGGAGGAGGAGAGCAAGAAATGTAATTACTACCTTACACGAAACCGGCCAGCGACATGTTTAAGAATGCGCGCACAGCGCCCCCCTGCTGGTTTCGTGTAGTATCGTATCCTAGGTTAAACCGCGTGAGGGGTTGCGATGTGGATGGAACCAGGGTGACGTTGTACGTGTCGGGTTGTCTAGGTGTTTGATCAGCGTCTAGAAACAGCCGCGGAGGAGCATCGCATAATTATTGATTGTCAACGGCTTTCTTCGAAAGGGAAGTAGATGAGATTACTTCACAAAGCAACGGGCAATTCAACAAGTTCAATGCGCGAACTCTGCAGACGCCATGCTGTCATTTTGTCTTTGGATGGGACGTGTCAAAGACGGTCGGACAGCTGCACGTTGCGCAACGCTAATTTAGTAGTGTTACGGGAACAACCAACATGAAGTCCGTGATAGAACGAAATCTCCCGCTCATCTCTCGTCCTCGACGTCAACACTATCATCGACAAATCCATTGCATCCTTCACTCCCAATACATCCTCTTGTCCGGCCACTCTGAAGGCCAAATCGTCTCCACCTCCAGGCGACCCGTCTCAAGACCGCACACCTGTGACAAGCTCGCTTGCCTCAACACAGCCTAGCCGACATGAAGCTCAACCGCGCTAGTGTTTCACACGCAATAGGCAACGGCCGACCTCACGGATGCAGACGTGAAGTGCGCATGTACTGAGCTGCAGAGAGAGGTGCCGGAGGGATCTCCATGAGCGTGGCTACAGCGGATGCTTTATGTACCATATCTTCACTGCCGTTCAGTACTTTCAAAAGGGAACAGATAGTCAGTGAGACTGGCGGACATGCAAACGGACATCATGCGAGACTTGATCCGCACGTCACTCCAGCACCGTGACATTAGCGTGCAGATGCAAATACATTTGATTAGCGGCTCGCCACATGAGTGATGCGTTGTGTGTGATAAGCGGATGAAAGCAGCGGGACGGCAAGACCGATAGGTACCTTACAAGCAACGATCATTACGACTTTGAATGGACTGCTCACACAATATGCACCTCAGCAGCCTATCCGCAGATTGAAGCTGCACCTCAAGCAGAGGATCATGACGACTTGGAAATGGGCAGTGACAGCCGCGCAGACGCGAAGCATCACACAACATGTTTGACCACATAACCCTCCCTCGCGCATCAAACACAACGCCACCACGAACCCCAAACACCTCTCCCGCGAACACATTTGTGTCACGATACCAGTAGTAAAAATAAAAATAACTCAATGGAATTATACCCTCGTCTCATCGCTGTCTAAACGCCTTTCGCTATGCAATTCCTAGTGCCTGCCCGGCACCAATTACTCCACCCCACTGCCCATCCTGAACATATGAAAAAGGCCATGCATGGATGCTGTACTGTGCTGTAGTGCGTGTGAGAATCCTTCGGTCCACTAGTGTACTCTTTCTCACTGTGCTCATTTCAGACAATTCATGCCCCCTTCCGCAACCCTGCGTCCCTGATCCCTGTCTCTGCCTTCCCCAATCACCACATGCGGAACCCGCCGAGTATGCCGTTCCCTCTGCTCTACCTTCATTCATGACGTAAAAATAATAATCGTTGTGTGTGAGAGAAGCCAGTATCGGCTGATTTAATTGGCACAACCGGCCTAACTTCTTCTCCGCTGAGTGAAACTGCGCCGGATACTCTCGCCCCAAGCCGAGTTGTCCAGTACTTCCAGGACGTCGGCCGCGCTGACGGCGCTGTTGGCTCGGCTTCTGCTGTCCTGCGCCCGCGGATCGAGTTCCTCGAGGGGACTCGGGGGGCGGCTGAGCGCGGAGGCGAATTGCCAGTCAGCATCAGCAGGTGGCGAGAAGGGGCTTGCGCCCGGGGATCCACGCGTTGGCGATCCGGTGGGCGTCTGTTGGATCGAGTTTGCGCGGCTTCGAGCTGCTGCGTTGGTGTCGAGGTGTGGTGGTAAAGAGTCACGAGTGAGGCCGCCTGGTGTGTTTGTGTCCGCGGGGGAGAAGAGCGAGCTGGCACTGGGTGAATGGTAGGGAGTGCGCCGCACGTTCGTGATGTCTTCGTCGTCGATGAAAATCTCGGGGACGGTGAATTGGGGAATGGCGGTCATGCGGCCTTGCTTCTTCTGCTCCATGGCACGGCGGAAGCGCCGGGCCCAGTAGAGAGTGTCGAAGAATCCGACTACGACGTTGCGGCGGACAGCTTCTTCGACTCGCTGTAGACGAGCGCGACGACGAAGGAATTCCTCTAACCTGTGTTGATGTTAGCTCGTTGTCTTGATTCAAAATCTGATCGTACACACCTTAAACTCTTGTTGTCGTTGATGACCTTGTGGTGAGCCAAGATCATCAGCAGCGACGTGAACTGAATCCCCCTGTCAGGATCGCTTGACACGAGCACCTCTTCGTAAAAGATGTTCATTCGTTTTCGTCGGCGACGGATTTCGGCTACCGGAAGGTCGGACAGACAGCGGTTGAGGCTTATGATGTCGATTTCTCGTGCGGGTTCGCGACCGGGTACAGGTAGGCTGGAGACACGTCTTGGTGTAGTTGCGCATTGTTCAATCAGTCGTCCGACCGTAAAGTCTCCGTCGTAGATTCTCATCTCGAAAATACCAGAAAGTTCCTTCCCGAAGTTAGTGACTATAAGGCAGATTGTAAGAAAACCAACTTACACCTAGAAGCTTGGGAAACAGCTCTTGTGAGATGAAGCCCGTCCCATTAGGATCGAACTCTGCCCATGCCTGCTTGAACCTACGGATTTCTTCTCGGCTGATGACTGACAACCCACTGCTTCGTTGGTACACATAACTGAAACTCTCGTAAATCAACGAGACGAACAAGTTCACGAAAATGTACATGCTGAGAATGTTCCAGGTGATGAACAAGGCACGTGCCCATTCTGGACTGCCACAGTCGCTCTCGAAGTACTTCTCTCCCACTGTGCAGTACGGCTTATCCACATTGGCGAAATCTTCCATGAACTCGTTCCAACCTTCGCCCATACTCATCGTGAACAGGAAGATAAGTGCCTTCGGAACGGTTCGGAAGTTGATATTTCCGGTCTCGTTGGGTCCAAAGCGAGTAAGACCGAATGTTTGCGTGAGTGCAATCGCATATACCAGGAACAGTACAAACCAGGTAGCCAGGAGGTTGGCAATGGCTGTCAGACTGGCTGCTGCGGTTTTGAAGAGCTGGTCCAGCTGGTTGTTTCGAGGTATGAGGAGCAGTGCAATCGAAACAAGACAGAGCTTGTTCAATTGGATGAAAACTCTTTCATCTCGCTTGGCCTGAAGCAGAATGGACGTGACAAACGTTCCCGATATGGCAAATATGGAGAAGACGTCCCAAGAGCTCTTGCGGAAGCGATGCCACGAGAGGCCGATTATACGAATGATCACGTTGGCAATGAAGAAGATGGTGAGTACGAGGAAGATGTAGTCTGGAAATGTCAGCAGAGAAACGTTTGCTTCAAAGTAAGCACTCACCCCTAGCCGTCTCCCATGGACCATATCCAGGATACCATTCGAGGCACAACAACAAAAGATGAAGGATGAGTACTCCTGTGATGAAGCGCTGCCACCGCCCAGTCTTACGCACTGCTCGGCGGTAGCACCACTCTTCCCATGTTTCACGTTGCTTGGAAGAAGATGGTCGCTTTGATGGAGAAACTTGTCGTAGTAGTTTTCTCAGTTCGAGCCAGGAACGTTGATCAGTCGTGAGGAAGGCAACTCCCGTCTGCTCCGTGTAGTTACGCATGAATACCGAGATGAAGAGTGTCAACACGAAAACGGCTCCGAGCAAGTTGAAGATGATGAAGTAGACGGCATTGCCCTGCGCCGAGAAGGCTTCTGGCTGCGTGAAAACTCCAGTGATGCTCATACCCGACCACATGACGTCCGTCCACCCTTCTTGCGACACAATCTGGAAGAGGATGAAGAGGGAGTCGCCGAAGTTGTCAAAGTCGTAGTATGGATTGGCCGCGACTCGTGGAGCGAGCACATCCCATGCAAAAGGTGAAGCATTGTATTCATTGACACAGTCATTCAGATTGCTGATGCCAGATCCATCATCGTTGCAAGATTGCATTCGGCCAACGAAAAGATTCAGACCATAAATGGCGTATGGGATCAGCAAGCTGAGAGAGACGAATGCAGCCTATGAGGGTTAGAAAGTTTTAGGTTTCTTTAAGGGAAAGACTTACGGAGAAGAGCTTCCACCAGCCTTGGACTATGAGAGAGTGGAAATGATCGCGAGTACTGTCACTGACGTTGAGCAGGCGGAGAGCCCTCAATGCTTTGAAGGCGCCGACGGTTCTGGTCACCTGTCCGTCATTGTAGAATGATGTGACGATGTTTACCCAAAGAGTGATCAGCACTACACCGTCAATGAAGCCCCAAGAGCCTCTAAAGTAAGCATTTGGTGTCCAGAAAAAGCCATCGGCGATGACTTTGATAAGTGCTTCGATGCTGAACACCACAGCAAAGCCCAGATCTGTCCATACAAACCAGTTCCTAACACTGAAACCGTGATCCATGATGTACTGTCGTTGGTACAGTGGCGTTGTGATACATGCCAAAAGCACCATGGCAATGATTGCGGCATAGATGAAAGCCGAGAAGGCGTACCAGACGGGTACAGATGGTGTTAGACCCTCGATGCGGTCACCACCACGGCCAGGACCAACGATGCGTTGACAGAGCCTACGGATCGGGTTGTGTGGTCGGAACATGAACAATGACACGTTGTAGTTAGGGTGGGTTCGTAGGTATTCACGCTGTGCTTTCTTGCGTCTCTCCGTCGCAGAGACTACTTCTTTAGCCATGCGCCGGGGATCCAGTTCTTCATATGCACGGCCATAGTCTAGAGGCGCATAGAATGGATTTGGCTCTCTGTGAATGATGCGACGGAGAAACCTTTGCCAGATAGTGGAGACTGTTCCTGAGCCCACTATCGTCTTGGCTGGCCGAAGACCGGGGCGTGGTTCTTCGTGCGGACTTTCCTCCTCGGCACCCTCGTCAAGAAAGTCACGGACGACAGCGTCCTTGAGGAGCATCTCTGTGGCAGCATGTCCGTAATCGAGTGGGTCGCGTCGGCTGGCCTGACCAAGCTTGAAGATGGAAGACAACGAGAGGTTCCTGCAAGGGAAATGAGTAAAGGTTACTTGGACAGCTGAAGTGACTTACGTGTTGGCTGCACTAAGGCCCTGTTCTTTCTGCTGCAGGAAGGCCTTGACTTGCTGCAAGCGTTTCTCATCTTCAGACACATCGAAGTTCTCTTGAATGACAGCAATAAACATATTGAGGACAATGACTATGCCCAATTAATGTATGTACTGCCACGGTCTTAGGTCTGACTTACAGTTGGCGAAGATGAACCAGAGTATACAGAACGAGGCACCTATCCATGCCGTGCCATATGTTTTCTCATAGGTGGTTACATTGAAAAGGATGGTGGTCCAATTCTCACTTGAGAATATTTGGTACATCCCTAGGAAGGAATTGTAGATGTTGAAGAACGGGACTCGGATCGTTTCATTATCGTCGTTGGCCTCTGGAATCTCTCCACGGAAGAGTTGAGAAGCGAAGATCGAGGCTAGGAATGTCAAGAGAAACACAAAGAGGATGAGGTTCAAGAGACCGCCGACATTGCCGAACACGATCATCTGTGAAATGTCAGCAAAGAGACGCTCCCACGAACTTGGACCATATACATACGATGAGATCTCTTGTCATCGGGATCGCCAAGACAACCCGATAGACACGAATGATCTGGAAGATTGTCAACCAAGCATATGCCTTGCCTCCATGCGCCTCCTTGATGATTGGTATTTGGATCACTGTGGTGATGATAGCGATTGCTAGGTCGGTTAAATTACGCTTGCCGCTGAAGAAATGTCTCCAGTCTACGACAAGCCGAAGCAATATCTCGAAAAGCAGGATAAGTGTAATGATGGTCTCAGACCTATCGATGAACTTTCGTCGGAAAGCACTCATGCCCGAGCTTCTCATCATCTGAGCGACAAGTCCAAATGCAATGACAACGATCCATAACCAGGTAGTCTTGTCATAAAAACGTTTCAAGCTGGGGATGCGTAACTTTTCGTTTGCTTCGTCCGCCGTATCTTCTTTTATCACTTCTCCAGTAAAGGCGCTAGTCTTGCTCTCTTCGCGAATGATCTGGAAGGACGACGTGATGACTGCAATGAGTAGTGAGATGAGCCACAAACTCAGAATTAGGATTGCCACGATAAAGAAAAGAGAAGTGACTAGGTAGTCCGTGTCGGCCATCGTATAGAGTAGATCTGACCAGGTGTTTGAGGACATGATGACAAAAACCAGCTGTAGGGATTGGAGAATATCGTCGAAGCTTTTTGTGTTGTTAAAGGGGTTGTCGCCCTCAATGCAGAGAGAGCCAACTGGGCATAAAAACCCTTTGCCCTCCGCGGGTCCTTGTGGGCGCCCGGGAAGAAAAGTTCTGTAGCCTTCGGACCTGTTGCCTTCCAACAGGTGACCACCACAGAACTGGTCTTCGTTAAGAAACTTGGGCAAACCGCCATCATTCTGCCATTCGCAGTGCCGTCTCATGCTTGATTTGAAACTTTGTACCCCAACAATGGAGAATAGGAGCCAGAAAAAGCCAATCAAGAACGCGACATTGACTAATAGTGGTGCTGCTTTCTTGAGACTACGGAGGATGACCTGCCACCAAGTTAGTTCCTGCAAGATGTCTTTGCGTGGTGCACTCACAGATGTTCCGCTTGTAAGATTCAGGAGACGAATGATACGCAAGCAGCTAAGCATATCAAATACCAGAATGACGCGCGCGTTTTCGATTCCTATCAGGCCCAGAGCGAAAGAGATCCAGAAAGCGATGACAGCTAGGAAGTCAGTTCGGTTGAAAGAGTGCCGTAAGTATGCTCTGTGCGCCAATCGAATACGTTGCTGCTCCCGGTAGTCTCCAGGTCCAACCTCGACGTGCATCTGCGCAGTGGTGAACGCTCGAAGTACCGACGGTTGCTGTGGCTCTGTGGGTTCTGTCTTGGTGCTAGTGCGCCTTTGAGACGCCTGTCGCTCGGGACCACCAAACAGCTTATTGGCTTTCATCATTACGGCCTCTCTAAGGCCAACTTGTCGGTTGATAGTGCTGTATTCGACAGGATTGATGATGAAGCCTGACACGATAATTCGTATTATGACTTCTATAGTGTACACTATGAAGAGGCCCAGAAGAGCAAAGTCAATTCCAGACAGTCCATCAATAGTCTTGACTTTCCCAGGAGAGTACTGGGCTTTTGAGCTTGCATCGACGGCAAGCAGGACTGTCTGGACCACAATCAGAACAAGAAGCAGCGGCTCGGTCGCTGGATGAACAAGAACGTCGCTAAGCTTCATTCTGATCTTGCTGTTAGCTGGGAAAATGCCCAAACTTTTGCCTCGCAGTGGATTTGGAGGCCGGTGCCATTGCGCACTCGCCTGGCGCGAACGAACCACTGGAGTTGGTGGCTTCTCACTCTTGATCGAGGACGAGCGTGATGCTGCGCCATCCACGACGTATTCAGGCAGTACAGGGAAGGAAGGAGGCTCATGCAAGCGGGCATGGACTGTGGATTTTCTCTTCAGAGTTCGCTCGGCGACCTGAGAGTCATTACTGACGTTGACAACACGCTGAGACATGTTCCGCATGATGGTTCCGGCCCGATTCAGAGGCGACACGATCTGACCCGGCGATAGTGAGCGCTTCCTTCCCATCGAGTCTCTCAAGCCGCCGGACGCAGCTTCTAGGTTCTCATTGTCTCTTGCCATTCCCATGGGCGACATGTCTCCTGGACTTAGAAACTGCACGCTCTGAAAGCTGGACCGGTCCTGCTGTGGAGACATGGCAGCTTCCGCTCCACTGATAGGCTGCAAATGTTGCACATCGGTCAATCGCGCCGTGTCGTCGTACACGGGCGAAAAGTAGCCTTGGTCCTCAGACGTAGACCTGTCTTGATAAGGCTCCCCACCATATGCGGCGTAGGCGTCGTCCGAGGACGCAAGTGTAGCCATTGGCGGGGTCAAGGGTGGTGAAGTATCGCCCTGAAAGTTCATGTCCATGCCGAAGCCAATGGCGGCCTGGAACGCGCCGGCATCTATGGGCGAGCCCACATCCTCCTCTTCCACCCTGCGAATGCCGCCATGTGCACCGCCAAGATTGGTGTTGACTTGCATGTGTGGTCGCGAAACATGGCGCGTGGGACTCGGGGATGCAGCGGCTATGGGGGCATATTGCGCATCTCTGTATCCTCCTGCTATCGCACCGGTTTGCCTGAGCAGGTTCCGCCCGCGGTCGCTGAGGGTTCTCCGGTGCTGTTGGTGCTGCGGCGCAGTCTCATCGTACTCGTCCGGCGGCCGATTCAGGTCTTGCAGAGGTATTGACTGGTGGGACTGGCCTCTGTGGTGGTTGGGGTCGGGGTAGGACATTGGAACGTCCGGTCTGGCGTGTTGCGCTCAATTCGACATCTGGCCGCCGCTTCTCAGCTGAGTGAGATGCTATCGCGCAAGCATGGACGCGGGGACAGCGCAAATAATATGTGCACGGGCGTGTGCGGTGGGGTGTATAGCGACAATAGCGCGATTAGGAGGCGTGTGATGGTGCGATTAAGGTGTTGTGTGGTGTTTATAGGAAATTCGTCGTGAAGGGTGCGGGATGATGGCGGAGTATGCACGGAGGTCAACATGGACATGCGCAGACGCATGGATCAGCCAGCCCAAGGGTACAGCTAACACTCTTTGCAGCCTAGGGACGCAGGGGAGGAGAGATGCCGGTATTTTTAGTCCAACGTCGTGCCTGTGGCGATCACGTACCGCACCCATAGGGCAGAGCATCGAATACATGTGCATTCACCACGTTTGGCAGCATGGCTGAACACACGAGTTGACATGTCTTGACTACAACACCAACACGGTCAAATGATTTGATTGCTACTCCTGACCCTTGCTGGATACCAACACGGATGCCGAAACACGTCTCCTCGGTAGTGCCGAATAGCCCCTGTGAATCGCCGCGTCAGCCACATCAGTCAGCCACCCGGCGCAGTCGTAATTCGGTCCCTGGCCTTCAGACTGCTACTGTACATAGTATGTTGCTACAGTCGGCGCATCTATATGCATAGCTTTACTGCATTGCTGGACGTGAGCTCCAGGCCCAAAGCATTGGTGATGGCTGGGTCTCAAGCATGTCCAATGACAGGAACATGTCCTGCTTACTGTCTCCCATGCACAGCTTGGCAGTCGCGATACACGGCGATATAAGCGTGTACCAAGGAAAGGAAAAAAACGCGTACATACTGCAGTGAAGCAAATCTCAGAACAATTTGGCGTGGAAGATGTCATAGGTCGCTGTTCGGGGAGTGCCGCCTTGCCCCTTTGGGCTCTTCCGAATCGCCGCAATTTGGAGACGCGACTTCCTCATCATCGTGAGAATCGAGACCCACATTCACCCCCATCGCGTCCGCCATCACTCGGCCCCAGCCCCGATCACATCTCCTCGTGCACCTCTACGACAACTCCCTATTATTGCGACAGTTGAGCCTGCCCGCTTGAACGTAGCCCCGACGCGTCGTCGCCCCAGGCACGCTCCTGAAGATGCCCGCCCGGAAGCGCGCCCGTGACGAGATGGAGGCCGAGGCGCCTGTCGAGGAGCCCAGCACGCTACAGAAGCTGCGGAACATGTGGCAATTTGCCAACCTCGCGCAATACATCAGCCTCTTCGGCGACGCCATCAAGATCGACAAGGACTTTGACATCGAGGTACGGCCTGTTTGCGCCCAGCGCCACTGCGGATGCGCCGCATGTTCCATCGAGAGCCCATGCGCTGACACATATACAGGAGCTGGAGAGCGAATGCCTCAAGCCCCAGGCCTCTGAGAAGCTGGCACAGATTGGCCTGGCGCTGCTAAAGCACGTCTCGTCGCACAAGGGTTTGACGTATGGAAATGCCCCCATCACTTCTGATTGCCCTCTAACAGATGCCAGACTAGAGATATTCGACGAATACACCCGCCGCCAGTTCGTCGCAAAAGCCCCCAACCGCAACCCCTTTGGCACCGAGGAGGAGCCGAACAAGTTTGACGACTTCGATGTCTACACCAAGATCCGAGTGCTACAACAGCTCTCGACATGGACGCTGAACAACCCGAACTCGATACGCGAGAGGCTTTCGGCGACAGACAACGAACAAACACTCTGGGTATGCAATGGCTCCCTTGCCTCCACATATTTGCTAACACTGCTCCGCAGCGCATGGAGCCGACTGGATGGGACTCTGAAGAAAGACTTCTGTTCGTGCTTGATGACAATCGCATGTACCGAAGGACAGACCCGCCGCCTCCGCCCGAGCCGCAGAAAGCCAAAGCGAAGCCCAAATCGAAGTCGAAGAAGTCGAGAGGCACGAGGGCCAGCAAGCGACAGAAGGTCTCGACCCCCGAACCCGAAGAGCCAGCAGAGGATGATACGCTGGTGCAGGCAGAGGATCAGGGCGAAGTCGAGGACGATGGGTTCGGTGGAATGAAGTGGGAATGCGTTTGTGTAACGCTGGAAGACTACCAAGAGTACATGAGCAGCATTCGAAAAAGCCGGGACCCGAACGAGAAGACGCTATACAAGCGTTTGGAGGAGGATGTCCTCCCAGTCATGCAAGGCCTGGCGGAAGAGCAGGCAAAGAAGCAGGCGCGCAAGATGAAGGAACTTGAGAATATGCAAAAACTGGCCATGGCAAAACGCTCGTCTCGTATCTCATCCAGGCTAGAAAAGCAAAAGGAGCAGGAAGAGATCGAGGAGGCAGAGCGCAGGAGAGAAGAGGAGGTAGCAATGGCCAAGGCTGAACAAGAAAAGCAAAAGAAGCTCGAAGAGGTATGTCACGGACAAAATGCTTCCGTGACCATATTAACAGTATTCAGGCACATGATTCACGTAGGATGACCCGCGAGCAGCGCCTACGCGAGCGTGAGACGGCCAAGGTTCTCAAAGAGGAAGAGCTGCGCAAACTCAAGGAGAACGAGCAAAAGCTGGCTACTAATGCGGCGAGGTTGTCAGAGCGACATCTGAAGGCCATGATGAAGCAACACGAGAGCGACTTGAAACGACTGAATGAAGAAGACTGGTTCTTTGATTGCGAGAAGTGTGGTACCTACGGTTCCAACCTTGTAAGTCCATATCATGCTACACACCCTTTTCGTACCTGACTCGCGCAGAACGACAACACTCCGCAGATATCATGCGAAAAGTGTAATGTCTGGCAGCACGTCAAATGCCACGACATAACGGAGGACCAAGTTGAAAACACCAACTTTCAATTCGTTTGCGGCACCTGCAAGCGAAAAGAGGAGGAAGCCGGCCAGCCAAAATTACCACCTCTCAAGTTCAGACTGACTTCCAATTCGCCGTCTTCACACAATGAAGCTCAGACGAACGGAGCGCAGCCTCCAACACCCACACGCTCAGCACCACGTCTCTCTGCGGTACCGCATCTTCCACGACCCAGCAACCCTCCTGTGCAGCCGTGGGTTGATGGACCTAGTCTCTCGCCGCGCGGCCAAGCACTCGGCCCGCCAGGTATTCATCGATCAGAAGCCGCATATGGTTCGCCTTATAATGGCGATATCAACGGAAGCTCATCTCCCGTAAGAGGACGACCGGCTTCTTCAGGGCTACCAATGGCAAGCTTCTCGCGAGCAAATGGCAACCCTCGATCATCACCTCCACCTTTCAACCTTCCTCAGGTGCCGTCGAGTCCGACTAAGAGCCAGCATGTACCCTCCAGTCCAACCAAAAGCCAGCATATACCATCCAGTCCTACCAAGAGCCATCACTCAAGCCCCATGAAAAGCTTCCACATGCCGCAACCCCATCAGAACGGCAGCTCGTTTGGCCTATCGAATCCCTTCAGCTCATCAGCACATGCGCCAATTCCGTATGCACAAAGCTTCAACCGCCCAGACTCCTCCGCCGGCCTCGCAGGCTCCCCAGTGAAACACTCCCCAGCCAATTCTCCCCGCCACACAAACGGCCTCCCAATCCACTACAACTTCAATAGCCCACACTCTTCTTTTCCACCCAGCTCTGTCAACCGTCCCTCCTTCTCCCCAACAAAACACAGCTCCCCGGCCCCTCTGCCCGCACAAATGTCCTCGCCCGCACCTGCGCCTGTCCGCATCGCTCCGTCGCCTAGTCAAATGCCGGCGCAAGTCTTGCCAGATCCCATCCCAGCGCCGTCAAAACACGATGCCATGAGGCCCGTCTCGAGCCACGAGATGAGCGAGAAGAGCGTCTTTCCGCCAAGCCAGAGTCTGAGTCCGCAGCGCACACCGCAGATTCTAAGTCCGCCAGTCAAGAAGGCGAGTCCGACGCCGGACAAAATGCAGGGTATTGAGATGAATGGGAATGGGAATGATGCGCATTGAGGACGGTGTATGCGCGCCGGTTATGATTGATGCAGGGCTGGAGTCAAAATTAGCTGGATTTGTTTGAGCATGGTGGCGCTGACTTGTTTTGATCTTTTGGGTTGGTCGCTTTTGCGGCATGATTGGCATGGTTGGGTGTACGATACAAAGCACGAACGTGGTGTGTGTTGGGAAGGTTGGCATCATCGTTTCCTTGTTACTTTTCTTCTTTCTCTTCATCTTTCCAAGCATGTTTTGGACACTCGGCGTTGCCTTTTTTTCAACATCAAGAACTTACACACTACAACGGGGTATACAGCCTCATTTCATATTTTCATCTCTACATTCAAGAAATTTTGTATTACTTACAAAGACTGGTATCATGCACATCCCAGAAAGCAAGCTAGTATCATCGTTCACACCTCCTTGATGCATTCGGATTCGTGAACCACCCCCTTCCCCACCTCCCTCACCCTCCCCCATAACCCATCCATATCCAACCACACATACCCCTCCGCCGTCGGGAAAACCCCCAGCATCTCCCTCCACTCTCCCTCCTCCCATTCCCCCAAATGCGCCCTCACCCTCGCCCAAAACCACCCACCCTCCGGCCTCTCAACCCACCCCGCAACAATACACCCCACACACAGCGCCCACGCCACCGCGTACCCCGTCGGCTTATCCATGTCCCTGTCAATAAACGGCTGCAGAGCGCCTTTCACCCGCGCAACAAGTAAATCAAGCAACCGCATCTGCGGCGGCTGCGCCCTCGGCCCAACAGCGAAATACAACTGCATCGTCTCCGCAAGCAAATACTCGACCTCACCCAAATCCCCCGTCTCCCTATGCATCGACAGCAGCGTGAGCAGGCTGTACTGCGCGTCGTACAGCGGCGCGATGACGTAGACATCCGTGCGCGTGTGTGTGGGCAGGCGGTTGTACGCGACGCCGAGTTGGTGCAGGAGCAGGACGATGTGTTTGAGCGGGTCGGCGAGGTGCGGGAAGAATGTGAGGGTGTGGGATGTGCGGCGTTGGGCTTCGGAGGAGAGGGGTGTGGGGAGCGGGAGGGAGTGGGCAGGCGGGATGTAGGGGATTAGAGGGGAGCGGGTTGTTTGGATGGCGATGAGGAGTTCGAGCCTTTTCGCGTCATGTGTTAGTCATGTGTGAGGGGGACAGGGGTGGGGTGGTGATTTACCATTGCAAAGCTTTCTGCGTCCAGGGCGAGGTAGTGCGTATACCGGCGAGTATACTACCCTTCCCCCTGATCTCGAGGATTTTCACAAGCGCGTTGCGGTGCAGGACTGCGGTGTCGAAAGAACCTGAGAAGCATGCGATGGCGGCGATGATGCCGAGCGCGAGGAGGAGGTGGTCTGAGAAGACGCCGGATGCGATTTCTGCAGACAGCGAGGTTTGGAGGGAGCGCAGGGCGTGGTTGTAGACTATTTGATTGAAGTCAGGATATTTTCTTACTGGCTGGGTTTATATTTCTGGGATGCATGTTTGACGCACAGTTGTAGAGCTCGGGTATATCAGATATTCCGGATACGCCTTCTCGTATGCTCACTACGGCATAGAGGAGTAGGGCGAAAGTCACCTGGCTCTGACCCAGTTCATGGAAAATTGTACTCGCAGATGCAAATGGTATGATGGAGTGTCGTGACCCTTGCGCATACTCATCTGTTGTGTTCATGATTGGGATGAGGGATGTTCTCCCTTCTTGTAGGCTTGGTGCTGCGCCAGGGCAACCTCTCAAGACTGGGTAGGTTAGCTATTGCCGTACTCGCGTCTCCTGTCGATAGTACACGGAGTAATATATGCCTGCTGTCGGTGGGGCGTTCAAACCTACAGTAGTCCAATAGATGATCGTATTGCGAGCCAACGTCTGGTAGAACGGTGAAAGGATCGAATTGACGCACGCCAATATCTTGTAGAGGACTCGGTACTTTGACGGCATCGTCACTTCCATGCCTTTGTACCTGCGCATTTTGGCACTCAGTAGATCCAACATCTGTTTCCGTCTCTTCTTTTTTTGCAGGCCGCCGCCGTGACCGACTCTTCTTGCCGCCAGATTTATTCTGGTTGACCCATTCCCTGGCTTTTTTCCTCACAATAATGCGTTTCGCCGGATTTCTCTCATCCAAAAACTCGAGCCTGGTGGTTGTCGGCAGCTCGACAGCAAACGTTGGCTGTACGTGCTCGAAGAATCTTCTTTCCTTTTCGTTCCGCGCCTCCCCTCCATTGTCGGTCGATTCAGCAGAGCCCGACGCCTTCCCTGTCTGTTGCAACAAGACTCGTCGATGCGCATCCTTCAAATCCACGTTCTTTTGTCACGCCGGGAGTGAGTTACAGCGTCCACGCGGCCAGAGCTGTGGCGACCGGGGTCGCGAACATACGGGGAACATGACGTTTGAGCACAAGGCCCACCAGCACAGCCAATGGGTGGGTTTTATGTGGCATCTGTACTCTCGACCGCCGCTGCCGAGACAAATTTTGTGATCCAATAATGTACCGTGCTCGCAACCCTGCGTGAGTCGGGGAACCGTCTCCTCGGGACAGGACATGTCCCGCACTGCAGGGCTGGAAAAGGATGCAGGTGAGATGAGGACATCGGCGGAGAGTTGCTGACAATTCAAGTTGCGGAGGAGAGAGCACACGGACTGAATCCGGCAAGACATGGACATCATGGCGGTCGCTTCGGGTTGTTACTGGCCCAGCGGAAGAGGTGAGTTGGGGCTGAATCGGCTCGCGGAGTTAAGTTAAGACTCTTGATATAGCCGAGGCGGGATGACAACGAGGTGACGAAAGATGTTGCATGCGGTGTGAAAGCAAAGTGGAGATTCGCGAAGAGCATTGGTGTGCGCATTCAGTGGGACAAAAATCACATGCCGTGTACCAAAGATAACCTCAATTGATCACATAACAGCAAAAAAAAAAGATGAAAAAAGATGAAAAAAGATGATGTTGTCAACTGTGGGATTCGAACCCACGCCTGGGTGAAAGTTAGAATCTGACGAACTCGGCCAATCTGTTGGGTGAACTTACGGGCAAAGCCCATGAGAATGCGCCAGTATACACTGGTAAGCTTACGCTTGAGTCACACGCCATAACCACTCGGCCAAATTGACTGATTGATAAAATACTCGAGAATTAAAATATTGATAATCACTAGTCATAAGCTGTGTCACCTTGTAGAGAGAAATTGAACAACGGGGAAGTATTTTTTGCTTGTACATGGTGCCCCACGCCTGTATTTTTGTTGCTAGCGAACCCTGCCCCACATCCGCACACTTGTCAACATTATTTTTGGCTTCTTAGATAGTAAGGCTTCCCCTACCCACCCAGCCAATATACCGTGGAGTTAAGTACTTGAGTATGTGATCATTAGAGACTGAGATGCCCCATGCTGCCTAAAGAGGGCGGGCATAGCAGCCTCGTTCGGATGTCCTGACACTTAAGTTTTAGTTGGCCTACATATCCATATCTACCTATAGCATTGTCTTACGATTTCCCAGAACCATTCGCAGCTTTATTTGAGGCAGTTTGTGTTCTTACTAGACTACTGTAGTAGCCTTGCTGCGCTGATGATACCCGATGTATCCTGTAACATGAGCGAAACTCCTGTATTGCATGTTTCTGCAATTTCTTCTCCTTTTGCAATCTACTATCTCCAAGGATTGATAGCCCTCTTCCCAGCTCGAGACATCGACATCAAAATGTTGTGTACGGCCAGGAAAGCAGATTGTAAATCTGCATTGCTGCTTTACGCCAGGGCTTCAATTCTAGTATCTGATGGTACCCACGAACCAGAACAAATCGTACAAGGTAGTATATGCACTTGGAAAAAATATTATTTAGACCATCGCGCTGCCCCGCTAAACCACATTCAATTGCAGTAAATACAAAGATTCGAATGGTGCTACGACAGAGCTTCGCTATGCCAACAGCCTGTGCTATGCACGCTCTAAAACACAATAATCTAGCCCAACAAACCAGCAGCAAGCGCCTCCATATCCTCCAGCGTCTCGGGCTCCTCAACAACCTGCTGCTTCGCCTTCTTCCTCTTCTTCTTGCTACTCTTCTCCTCGTCTTCCGAATCCGACTGGAACCACTTCTTCTCCTTCTTCTTCGGCTGCTCAACCTCCTCCTGCTCGTCATCTGTATACTGTGCATCCGCGAGGAAGTTCGCTAACGGGTTCTCGCCTGTATCTTCCAGTTCCACGGCCTCATCACCATCGTCCTCCGCCTCACCCCGTTCGCGCTCCTTGCGTTTTCGGAGTTTCTCCTTCCTCTTCGCTCGGGCCGTGGCCTTGTCTTCGACATCGGCTGTCTGCACGACTTCCCGTGCTGCCTCGATGAACTTCTGTCGCTGGTGTTCTGGCAGACCCTTGGCCTTGAAGTCTGCTTCGGTCTCGAGTTCGTAAACTTCATGGGGGTTACCGTCATCGTCGTAGACGAGCTTCTTGCCCCTGTCCATGAGCTTCGTGAGCTTCTTCTTCGACTGCAAGAGCTTCTCGCGGCGGTTGGAGTCGATGATGAGAGGTTGCGAAGCGCCGGCGAGGTGCACGACACGGCCGCCTGGTGCAACTGAGGCTTCGCCGCCAAAGTCTTCGTCTTCGTCATCGGCGGGTATGCGTCGTTTGATTGCGAGGAAGTCGTCGTCGGCACCGTTGGTGGTGGCTTCGCCGCTGAAGTCGTTTGCTGGTGCAGATATTTCTTCGTCTCCATCTCGGACTAGCTTCTTGTAATGTTCTGCTAAAACGTCCTGGTTCTTCCTCTCGAACATTCTGTCGTACTTTGTTCGCACAGGCTTCTCTGCCTTCGGGGCCTCTTCTTCGTCTGAGTCAGATACCTCAATCGTTTGTCGCGATGCTTGCTTCTTCTGCTTGCTGTTGTCATCCTTCAAGAATTTGATCCTGGGTGTACCTGGCAGTCCTAGACTTGCGGCAAATGCTTCGAGGTCGTATTCCTTTAGCTGGAAGACTTCCTTGTCTTTCTGCAGGTAGACAGACTTGACGTATGTCATGAAGGCTTTCTGTCCTAGATATTTGAGCGCCGGGTCTTGGAAGCACATGTTCTGGAGTTGCTCCTTGATGGACTGCCTCTTCTTCTGACGCACATTGATGGCCTCGACTGGAACCTTCTTGGCCTCCAAGCGCTTAAGCATACCTTCTTCTTCACTTGGCGCAAGAAACAGGACACCTCGTCCTTCTCGGTTGTATCGCGCTGTGCGACCGACACGATGGATGTATGTATCGACGTCATCCGGGCAGTCCACTTGTATCACGAAGTCAACAGCCGGAAAATCTAGACCTCGGGCAGCAACATCGGTCGCGAATAGACAAGAGTTCTTTGCCGACGAAAACTTGGCGGTTGTGTCTAGTCGAGCACCCTGCTTTTGTCGGCCATGGATATGCAACAATGGTATACCAGGTTGCATGTGACGGAAAGACTCGTACACAAAGCGGACGGCTTTGGCGGAGGAGAAGAAGACCAAAATCTTTGACTTCTTGCTTGCTTGTATGAAGCTCCAGAGCGTGTCTAGCTTCTCCTCGAGTGGACATATTATGTAGTTCTGCTGTAGACTCTTTGGCGTCGCACTCTTGTCTTCCGCGTGTACTGAGACGTACTCTGGGTCCTGTAAACTCAGACGTGCGAGGTCTGAAACCTTTTTGGATTGTGTTGCGGAAAAGAGCAGTGTCTGTCGTTCCTTCGGCAGGTAGTCAATGATCGCATCAACGTCCCGCTGAAAGCCCATGTCAAGAATTCTGTCTGCTTCATCCAACACCAGCATCTTCAAGTCGTCCACAAGGAATGCCGCGGTCTGCGACAAGTGCTGCAGCATACGGCCCGGAGTTGCAACCAATATGTTCATCCTCGGCAAAGCCTGCCGCTCAGATTCCAAGCTCTTTCCTCCAATCAACAATCCTGCGGCAAACATGTGCCCGTGCTTGCCAATTTTGCAGAGAACATCGAAGATCTGTATTGCCAGTTCTCGGGTTGGCGACAGAATCAATGCGCCAAGTCCAGCATCTGCACCAACGTGCTGCAGTCGGTATAGGTTTTCTAGCACAGGTATTATGAAAGAAAGAGTCTTGCCGCTACCAGTCTTCGCTGCGCCGAGTATGTCGTGGCCTTTGAGCGCGAGCGGTACCGCTTTTCGTTGGATATCGGTCATGACGGCAAAATGGCATGCTTTGAGACCCTGTTTGGTGGGGTCCGAGAGAGGGAGGTCGCTGAAGTCATTGTATGTGCCGGTTTTAGGGTCCTATACGTGAGTTAGTCTTGAAGATATGTAGAGTCTGTATATGCGCATTGCGTCAAGGCGCCTTACCAGCTCAGTCACAGCCTGCTCGAGTTTCTCCACGTCCACATCGTCGCGTTTCCTCTTCTGCTGGCTAGCTTGTTTCTTGACCTTGGTAGGCCGCGTGCGACCGGTGATTCCTGGGGCGCCCATGATTTCAGCAGTGCATCATTTAGGTCGAGTCTGGTGGTGGACTTTGTCGCATCGCAGGAAATTTTGGTGGAGACATGGCACGTGCGCGGTTTCGCCGCGGGGGTGTCTGCCGTCGACAGCTCCAAATCATTTCACCAGACCTTCTACAGTAACCACCTAGGCACTTTACATAGCGCTATACATTCTCCAGGGAACCAGCACGTGTCCGCCACACTTGAGACTATAGTGCAAATCTAATCAAGATACCTCTCATTCTACTTTGAACGCTCGTAGATTCAACATGGCGGATATAGAGGCAGAGCTTACCCTAGCTGGCAAGGAGCTAGACAAGGCAAGTCGAGCACATGTAGCATTTTGAATCATCCAAGCTAACCGTGTATAGGACGAAGAAATCGAGAGTAAGCTACATCATGCACTTCAGACCTGTCAATCGCAATTCTAACGACCCCAGGAATCCGCAACGTCTTTAGTCTCGATGCTTACGCAGTTCTCGGCCTCCAACCAGGTGTGCCAGAGTCGGATATCAAAAAAGTCTACCGCGCGAAGTCCCTCCTCATCCATCCCGACAAGACCAAGAACCCGCTTGCACCAGATGCCTTCGACCGCCTCAAGAAAGCGCAGTCCATGCTGCTCGACGAGAAACTTCGTGCCGAGCTAGACGAGAGTGTAGCCGATGCCCGCATGCTACTCATGCGCGAGAAAAAGCTCACCGCCGACGATGAAGAGACGCGGGGCGAGGAGTTCAGGAAAGAGTGGAGAGAGAAGACCATCTGGGTCATACGCGACAACGAGCAGAGAAAACAACGGCAGATGAAAGCTCAGATGCGCGAGGAAGGACGCCAGCAAAAGAAAGAAGACGAGGAACTCGCCGAGAGGAAGAGGAAGCGCGAGCACGATGATGCGTGGGAGAAGAGCCGTGACCAGCGCATCGGCAGCTGGAGAGACTTCACGCAGGGCAAGAGACCCGAACCCGAAGGCGGCAAGAAGAAAAAGAAAAAGGTCAAGGCTCTTGGTTGAGCGTGGTGGGATTGTGATGAGCACGAGAGATACCACTGCAATTGGGAAAGACTATGCGATCGAGCGCAGCTCTATTCTGCATTCTGACTGCGCTCCACACCGTATCGACTTCTGGGCCTTCCACGCACCAGAAAGCACATTTGTCTTCATCACCGAGGTTCGTCTGCGACCGCGCCATGATCTCATTTCGCTATGCTCAGGCGTTCACGCATGTCTTTTAGGCTTTCGCCAAGGCGCATTCGGTGTTTCAGGTTCCAAAGCTTAGCGTGGCGTTGGGAACCAGATCGACATTTGATATTCACACACGGACCAGTGCCCTATTGATGACCTCGAAGGAGTTTCTGTACTGTAGGATCCACTAGATAATAACTGGCAAATGCAGTTGTTCAAAACATCTTAATCGTATGGCCTAATATATGTTAGTCTTGCATGTAGATTGAACTACATGCACCATGACATCCAAGCCTGCCTGATCTGTCCAGCTCCATCGTCAAGTTTGCTCTCTCATCTCGTATCTAACGCACACTGAAATTACGATGCCCTGCTTAAACCTTCAACACGCTCATTACGGCCGTATCTCCGCAGTCACAACAGCCCAGACTCCAGAGTAGCTTTTACACGTACTAAAGATAGAACTGATCGCTCACGTCCCCCACATTCCGCGCCCGTTCATCCACATCCATTCAGAGCGCCATCCCTGTAATTTCCCGGCAGCAACGCCACGCAGCTCTGATGGCCTGATACGGAAGTGAAGCTTGTAGGACGGGCCGAATCTGTGCGTTGAGAGGGTTTCGGTGTTTGTGTGTACTTTTGCAATGATTGCATATAGTGATGGATGGGCGTTTCCTATTTGGTTTGGGTAGATCGAGATCTCTAATACATACTGCTCACATCAACTCTACATGTTCCAACACAGTAAGAGGTATGCATATACGTTTGTAGATAGGTCCGCATTTGCCATGCATCCAAATGCGGACTCCATCGCGAGCGAACCAACCCTCGGACCGCTCCCGCTCGCTCGCTATCGAAAAATTCTGAAACAATAATGTCTTACTACGCACGGATATCCCGCACAGATGATAGGCTGGCGGCGGGGGAAAAAAGGCATAAACTTTGATAATACGGACTGAAAAAGAATAAGAATAATCTGATGGATGCTGTTTGGGGTATAATAACCAGGACTTTTCTTTGCCTTGAGCTTGCTTGATCAAACCAGGAAACGATGCTTGGAACGAATGCCACGCCGAAGCGCCCAAGAAGAGAAAGAGAAGAGAAGCGAAAACAACGCTGTGGTATCTTATAATGCCGAGGGAGACAGAAAAGCGAACGACAAGACCTGTGGGATTGCAAATGACGACACTCGGAGAGCAGCACAAATGGTTGCACCGCACGTCGCCGTTGTGGTGTGACGTTACAACAAGGTAATGCCAACATACCACGCCCATGCGTCTCGTAATCCCATGTTTCAGAAACACAAAAACTATGACACCCAAGCGACGGTATCCCAAACAACCACCACTCATACATAAGCCAACGACCGGAACCTCGAGGGCCATCGCATCCTCTCATCCTCCGGCTTTCCATCCTCGCTAGTTTTTGCTTATATATCTGCGACACCTCTTGCTTACTACTCCAACACCTCTTGAATGTTCAAGCGCCGACGTTTGCCCGCCTCTGGCGGCGTTTCAGGCTGCCGTTGGTCAGCACGCGGAGACGAGGCGCGACGTCGCACGAGTTCGCGTTCTGTCGCGCCCGGATGCTCGAGATGCAGCGGCGACCCCAGGGGCGCAGGACCCGTGCGAATCGGGGGTAAATGCAGACCCTCGAGGTTAGCAGGGCGGTTCAATTGCCGCAAGGGTTCCGATGTGATGGACGGGTTACGCGCGTACGGCGAGGGATATGCACCAGTTCCGAGTTGCGCTGGGGGAGGGAAGTAACTTGAATCTACGGCGCCGCCTGTGGTCGGCGAGTACCTGTACGATGGGCTGCTGCCGTAAGAGCTGGGACTGAATGCGGGCAGAGATGTGCGGACGGACGAAAAGTTAAAGTACGGCGAGCTCGGTGCTGAACCCGTGGACGATGGGGGACGAGCTTGGTGCGTCGTCAAGTCTCGTACGGGTCCTGTCGTTGGCGCAGACATTGTCTGTGATGCGTGGATTGGGGTCGGCGGGCCGAGCTGTTTGGTCTGGAGAGAAGGACCAGATGGCCTTAGTGGTGATCGCACGACCAGAGTTACAAAGTACAACGACGTCTTTGCCAGTCGGATCTGGACCTGGAGAGATTGGGGCTGGCCACTTGCTGTCCGGAAACTCAAATACATCGGCCTGTCTGCAGAGCCTTGACTGACGTGATCGACATCACGGTCCACCAGAGACTCCATAACTGGACGCCACGGATCCTGGCCGACTGGGGTGATAGGAGCCATGTATGTCGGTTCGCGTTGATCCCGCTCTTCTTGCAGCTCATTGCGGAGACGCTGCAAGCTTTCGTTTTGCCGTGTTTCGAGAAGCTCCCCAAGATGCTTACCGCGCAGGTCCCCCAGGAAGTTTACTAGCTCTTGGAACGCTTCATTCGACTTTTGTATGACCAAGTCCAGATTGAGGAAGGCCACTGGCAGAGCTTGGTACGCTAGATTCGGTCCCGCAGCATACGGCGAAGCAGCAACCGGCAGGCCCCCATTGGACACCGGAGTGTGTTGCGAGACGTTCGGAACGTGCTCTTCCCCTGATCTTCCAGAAAACTGAGGTGGGTCTAGCGCTCGTTGCGGATGTAGTCCTGAGTACGGTGTGAAATACGGTTCTGGCCCTGATGCAGACACGGCGCCCAAGATCTGGTTCGGCGGTCTTCCCTCTTCCGGTCTCGAAAAGTCTCTATCGTCTCGAAGGCGTGGTCTTCCTCTCTTCTTGTGCTGTACATCTTTGCATGTATCCTGCCAGTGGCGTTAGTCTGTTTCATGCCTACATGGCGTGTTTCGGAGCATGCTCTTCGAGTGTATCGGACTCACCTGTTTTCCAGAAGCAACGCATCGGCCGCACGGGCGTTGCACGTCGCAGCTGAGATGTGCTTTCTTGCAATTGACGCACGCAGACGCCACATGGGCCTTTGTTCGTCTTGCTGGCTTGGTGGCTCTCAGGGGCGGTGGTGGAATTATCGTCGCTTGCTGCGCCATTGGCCCTGCATGGTGGCCTCCGCCGTAGGATTGGACACCGGAATATGAGTAGGAGGACCCATAGCTCTGCGGGACGTGTGCGTTGCCGTATTGCGAGTGCTGGACACCTCGTCCATGCGCATAGTGCAGCGATTGTCCTCTTGGTTGCAGCTCGTTGGGGTAGACCTGCCGTTGTTGGGAGACACCCTGAGCTGGCAGTCCTGATCGAGGATCAAACAGAGTGGATGAAGGTGGTGGTAGGGGCAGATTTGCTTCGGTTCTCTGAGCTGCGCTTGCTGGTCCATGGTACGAATAACGTGAGGGATCCGATGTCTGTGCTGATCGACGACTCGGTGAATGAGGTTCTGACATGGGAGGAGATGGATAGCTCTGCTGTTCAGGCCTGCCAGGACTGAATTTCGTACGAAGCTTCGCCAGACTGTCCTCGGGCTCTGAGTGTTGCCCGAGCGGCGTGGGTAGGAACGAGGTCGGGCGAGGAAGAACCAGACTCTGCATAGTTTGACCACCGCGTCAGCAGCGACAGCGTAATGTCTGATTGCACAGTGATATGTCCAAACAGACGCGCTGCTGGATGGTATGCGCTTTGGTGCAACAAGCAGGAGAAGCCACTGAGTAAGAATGTTAGACCCGTATGTGAACGTAGTGGACAGCCACTAGTGGTGAGCTAACGGGGCAGCGATGAAGTAGCCGAATGATGACGAGGAAGAGTTCGGCATTCAGATCCTAGTCAAGGATACAATAGGACAAACACTGTTACCAATATTTGCGCTTTGCGCCGAACAGGAAGAAGAGAAGGAAACGGACCGGAGCAGGATATGATGCTGGGTGGGGCGCGCTGAGAAAAAGGAGTTTGTCCAATACCTTTTTTGATATTGCTCACTGTAGCACGATTGTCTTGCTCACAAGTCCTCCGGTCAGCGAATGTCGAAGAACGGATCAGGCCGGCCAAGGTTGACGGGGAGGCCACGGCTAGAGCTACAAGTAATAAGGCGAGGGCGGCGGCGGGTGTGGTGATGGAGTTCAGTGTGGTAGGACCAATGAGCAGCACACGACGCAAAAGGGCAAAGCAGAAAATTGCCCAGTCGGCGGAGAAACCCTCGTAATAACCAGAAATCGGCTATGGAGATTCTGCTCTCAGATCTTTACTGAACCCATGTACACGAGCGCAGATGACGGACCACATCCATGCGACGGGGGCCACGATGAGTTCCGGGCTACGGGAGCAGGGAATGCATGCGCTTCGGGGACGAAGACATGCTGGTCTCGTTCGGCTGATGGTTCTTCGACATATGCTAGGTCGCACTCCCAGACGGTCGATGCACCCGCGGAAAAGTACGCACGGCTACCAGGGCGTGGAGTGTGCATGGACACAGCGGGTTGGCGCTGCTTGGGGGCCCTGTCACGCCGGCTTGCCCCCTGCTTTCCGAACCGTCTTTCGACCAGGGCTTGCTAGCGATGGCTTGGGCTTCTGCGTGCGCTATTGCACCACTGTTTTGCAGCCGCCTATGCAAACATAGCGGTCCGAGTCGAGCCACAGCATAAGCCGCCAGCCCTCGAATGCCAGCGGCTGTGAGCGGCTGCGCTGATGTCCCGCGACCGTTGTTTGAGCCTACAGAGGGTGAACGCATGAAGCTCAGCCAGACAGCGGTCAGTCAGACACTGACATTGTTCTCTGTTTGACGGATCGTCCAACATCCAGGCGTTTGCACCAGCAGCGATGTGGTCAATACTGCGACTTGTGGCTGCCACTGACAGGCCCGCAACCTTGGTCCACTATGGCCACGCTTGTGTCTGTCAGTCAAGTGTCCGGGCAGAACAGGCCAACCAACGTCTCCATCACTGCGCAGCACCGACCGCCCATCACAACTGAGGCTCTGTTATCGACCTCTCTGATCCGCTGCTGAGAAGCCTCTTTCAGATTTTCGATGGAGCGATTCCAGCGGCACTGCTCTCCCGACGACATACCCGCCATCCGCAAACTTTAACTCCTGTTGCAATGTACAATGAGTGCAGTTGCTACGCTGATCGACGCCGCCTTGCGAATGTAGCCTGTGATCGCGACGCCTTGTGCTCAGAAGTGCTAGCAGCGCTTGTTCGTAGTCACTCTAGGCTCGGATCTCATTAACTCCAGTCGCTTATAGAGTTCATAGACTAATAGAGCGAAATGTAAAGCTGCCGGAAGTATATGTGGCTATGGCCGCTTGCGTGCATTGCTTTGTCGCCTGCGCTTCGGGACGTGTGTACCCACGGAAGCTGAATCGCACGGCGCCAGAGCACTGAAGCGTCTAAAGCCATGCGGGAACAGGACCTGGCAGCTGCAGAACCGGCGGGTAGCGAAAAGATTGCCGCTAGCTGTAGGAGACAGGATGCCGTGCAGTTCCAGAAAACTCGCTCAAGCTTCATCTAGCTAGCATGATGCCGCACAGTGCTGGGGCATGCCCAGAACCTCGTGCAGGAAGGGTCAAACGACGGACTCGCTGCAGTTCAGTGGATCCTGCAATAGCTGCAAAAAGGCCTCACCTGGATGTGCTGTGTTCCAATCGCCCACGATCATGCACTAATGGTGGCGTCCAATCTTCAACGCAGAGGTAGTCATAGTACTGTCGTCGAAACAAGCCAAAGTTATAAGACGTCCAATACAGGTGTGGGGTGTGATGCATTGGGATAGCCAAACAAAATACTCCGGTGGGTGATATCGATCGAACCTGGCGCCGTCGACGATCGCCCGCGAAAGTGTCCGAGCATTACCACCAATTTGCTTAGAGATGCATTGGGCGTCGCATTGACGTTGCGGGGCCGAACACTGGGTCTTGCGGTGACACGCATATTGCACGCGCAATGCATGCGTGATTGAAAAAGCAAGCAGACCCTCGAAACTCAATCGACAGCCAACGCAGCTTGCAGTGAAGAAGGGTATCGAGGCGGAGTTGGGCGACGAGCTCGCTGTCTTCGGCAGTGGTAGAAGCTCTTAGTGTCCCAATAGCCAGCTATTTTGCTAGCCAAGGGTGCGCCGTCGCATGAGGAAAGTGCGACGAAGGATGACAGGCAGGCGCGACGATATGTGATGCTGTGCAAAATGAAGGGACACGATGCGTAAAGTCCACCATTCATGCCGGACCCATTACGGATGGGTGACTGAGAGCGGAATAGCGGCAGCCTGTCCCGACCGTCCGTGAAGATCGATACCACTGCTGGGGCCTGGGGCAGAGATAGATTGGGCAGGATAAGAATAGCTTCTTCCACAATTGACAGTTGTAAAGCGTTCGTATACGCTCCGTCATGAGCAATTTGGAATGTGTCTACTGGCCCTCAATACAACACGATCAGCTACTGTTGCACTTTGTCACGCACGTTGTGGATTGCATGCCCGGCTGGCGTAACACAACTGTCGTCTCGGCGGCAAGTAGCGAGATTTGCAAACGCAGGGAGCCAGATCCAGTCATGCGGGAGCGTTTCTTCTTCACACACGGTGCGGGTCTAGCACTCCGAGGTCCAGCGCCGACTGAACTTGTTTAAGGAACATTCGAGCGAGCTGTATGCGCTCTTGAGCCACGATATCGTATTCGGGCATGTGAGAGAGGACCCCGGTGCGCGGAAAATATACATATAGATCCAACAACTAACGCCCCGGCCTTGCTTGACCAGGCAATTAGCCGAGCTGCGATGCGTTCAAAATTGGCATCAAGAGGCGTCGACGACAACAGACGGTGGTATACCACCTGTAGATTACCTTCATCTCTCGTTACGGTTCGTGCAAGCTCCCAGTTTTTCAGACATTGAGGGTCGGTACACTGTACTATGCTTTTGTGTTGTGCCACTCCGGAGCCGGCGTCGAGGGTCTTCCAATGTTACACCACCCACGCCTCTCATGTGCGAACCTGTGGGCGGCCACAGCGGCCCTGTATCGCGACTCGCGAGCAGCCTGCCTTCGTGATGTCAAGTCGCCGAGTCAGCTCGCAGGGGTGGGAACAGGGTCACGGATTCAGCCCGCGGGGATCTACGAACCGCGTGCCTGGGCTTCTGGACACGTTGTTGTGCCAAAAGAAGGCGGCGAGCAGGGGCTACGATGCTCAGAAATCCTGGTCATCTCATTTCTGCTGGGATGGTTGCATGCGAGCCTGTCCCGGGCCCATTCTCGATTTGCGAGTGGGTGCGGGCCGAACAGGCTGGCGGCCCAAGGTTGGAGTCCTCGCAGAGTGCGTGTGTGTGTGCGTACAGTAGATGCGCACTCCATGCCCACATATCATATGGCTGACTGCTGCCGCGTGCATCTGAGAGGGTTGCACGACAGCCATGCGGCTCACACTGGGCTCAGGCTGCCGGCAGGATCTCGTAGTAGAACGTCACACGCGAACCTTGTCGAGATGCGCTTGATGGAGCGACCTGGGTTCATGGATCAGGCCCACAACCCATGACGGAGCGAAAAATTTCCGTCTCCAAGGTGGTCAGCCATTTACCGAGATGCGATGCTCGGCTGCGCGTCGCCGCCGTGGAAAGATATCCCGCGCCGTTGAGCGCCTGCGAGGCCGGTGATCTTCATTGGAGTGCGACCATAGGTCTCGCATGTCGTAGAGAAATTGCGATCAAGGAGCGGCTTATTGGCGTTATCAAAAAGCCGTTGCAACTATTGGTGACCTGCAATACGTGACACGGCAGCTCACCACGCGTTGGCTGCAATGTGGTAAGATGGAGCGGCACGCCTGTAACCCTCGGGAAGTTTCCCAAGGCCAGGTCGCACGGAATATTGCTGTGGCGTCTTCGAGAAGGTCGGCGTCGTGTGTGTCTCGGGTAAGCGTACATGTGAAGGAGCACGAAGGATGACAGTATTGGTGTCTTGCTGTGGCTGCCACTAGGCAGGGGCTCGCTCGATATACGCTGACCACGCCAATTCAGGTATCGCGGAACACTTGTCCGCCATCATAAATCTCCTTACAGGATGACGTGCCTGCACCATGCACGTCCAGAGCTGCCTCTAACCTAGCCCGGTATACGCTTTCAAGCCGTGTAAGATCTATCGCTCGGTCAATACGCGGTCGCCTGTCAGTGTCAACTCTATCGCTCGTCGACAGCAGACGCGAGAACTCTATTTCAGGACTCAGCTGGCCCAGCACGCTGCGAGTTGCCCGTACCTGCAGCCTGTCAATCTTTATTTCAACTAGCTAATTGTGCCCCTAAAACTTGTTTGTCAATAGTTCAAAAAGAGTTGTCGCCCTCGCTGTTGTCCTCCAACATGTATTGAACTTTGATTTGCATCGAGTGCAGCCCAATATTGATTCAATACTGCGCGTCCATAACAGTGGAGGGTTTGTTTATTGCCGGTTTCCACCAACCCCCTTCTTCAACAAAGTTTGGCGCTTCAGCAGCCATGTGGCACAGCAATGAGTGGTGACATCTGTGTTTGCATCTAAGCGGCAAGGCGAATACCAATCTGGCCTGACGTGCCCCGCTAGTTTTAGCTGCGCCGCATAGTTTGTTCGTTTGTCAAGAATGACAATTTTCACGGTTTTGGAAACTCGACCCTAAACATTGCAAGTCGGAAAGGTTACACGACACAGGCACAGAACAGTGTATTGGCTCTTCTTGGGTTCAGGTCGGGTATCGATTGATGCACTTAAAACTTTCGCTTCTTGGACGGCCTGGCGTTCTTCTCCTTGCGCTTCTCCTGCACCCTGCGTTCCTTCCGCACCGTATCCACATCTTTGAGCTCGTTCTTGGCGCCCCCATCCTTGAAATGGCCGATGCGCTTCTCCTTGGCTTCCTGCACCCTCTGCTTCTGCACGTGATAGTCGTCGCGGTACCGGTCAGCCTGCTTGGGCGCCTTCTCCGCCTTGTGCTTGTAGCGTGGCCCACCACTATTGAACTGCGTGGAGCGATTCGGCGCCTCCATCTCGCCAACACGCTGCATCTTGACCTTGTTGGCTTTTCGCCAATCATCGAAGCGGCCACTTCGGAAACTGGCAGCGATTTTCTGTCCGCTCTCGCCTCGTATCATTTTGGCACCCTTGGAGCCATCCTCGTCGTTGGCGCGAGAGACGTACTTCTTGGATTTCTTATCCCATCGCATACGAGGCTTACTGGCGTCGGCAAAGCCTTGAATCTCATCGTTGACTAGCGACATCTCTGCCGATCTTGCCGCCGATACGAAGTTTGAGTTACCAGCATCTCCACCTTGTACTCCATATGCCTTCTCTTCTGCAAAGTTCTCTTTGGGCAAGTACGACATGAAGAACTCGTCTGAGCGCCAAACATCCTTTCCAGACTTCTTCGACTCGGGTTGTGACACGGTCACCTCGAGCTCGTCGGATTCTGATTCGTAGTCGCCAACTGCAGCTTGTTGATCATCTTCCGAATCTAGTTCATCATCGGGTAATGCATCTGCAGTTGGTCGGGTGAGGCCAGATGACTCATCATTCGCTTTGTTGAATGCTTGCTTCGTCTTTTGTCGTTCAACAGCAACCCGTCTTTTGCGCATGATCTCAGCAGCCTCGCTGTTGGTGCCACGCTTGCCAATCTCAAAGACAGTCTCAGCAGGTCTGAATCCTTGAATTCTCTCCAGCATATCCTCTTTTGCCCGCAAAGCATCATGCATCTCATCGTTGAACAGCATATGTGTCTCAGCAAACTTGGAATCCGAAGCCAAATCTTTGGCGCGATGGACGCTCTGATTACTGGCTTGATTTCGTGTCCGCTGGTATTGGCGCTCGCCTTTCTCCGCTACGTTCAGCAGATTTACTAAATCTTCGTCGTCTGTGAGCTGTTTGTTTACTAATTCGACAGATGGCTCCAATTGGTACGGGGCCAGGCTGCCAACCACAAAGTCTTCTGCGTAGTTGGGCTCGGTGCTCGACCTACCAACCACTAGGGGTTTGCCAAGGAACATTTGTAAGTCGATGAGATATGGCAGATCTACATGTCTGCACAGGCTGTATGCCCAACCCTTCCGCCCAGCGCGGGCCGTCCTCCCCACTCGATGAACAAAGATTTTTGGTTGAGAAGGGAAGTCGTAATTGATGACGTGGTTTATGTGTGGCATGTCGATATCCACGGGCAGCAACATCGGTGACCACGAGGATACGCGTCAGGCCCGCACGAAAGTCTTTGACTTGTTCCTGGCGCGCAGTCTGATCGAGATTTCCATATACTGTAGCAGTCAGCGATTGAAGGCATGGGCTTTATGCAGCGAGCTTACCGTAAGAGACCGGGTAGCCTGCTGCCTTGAGAAGAGTGCTGAGGTACTCCACTCGATGCTTGGTGGCTGCGAAGATGATTGTAGACTCTTCAACTGGCGCATCCTTGGGGTTTCCACTACCACGCTTGCGCTTCTTGCCTTTGCTCAGATTGTCGGCCTCTTCTTTGGCCTGTTTCCACACCTCGGTCTGTCCAACTGGCATCTTGATGACATTCTCTAAAAGGTGGATCAGTGCTCCATCACGGTCGCCCGACTTGATGGTAAAATAGGCACTCTTGAGATCTGGGGAAATCTTGCTTTCAGCGTCCAGACGGATGAGCTTCGGCTCCTGTAGACCAGCACGCGCAAATTCGACAAGTGATTTTGGAAGGGTTGCACTGAACAACAGCGTTTGCCTTGACGTCGGCAAAGCGTAGAGAATTTCTGCAAGCTGTGCCGCAAATCCCATCTCGAAAAGACGATCAGCCTCGTCAAATACGATGTATTGCACCGAGGACAAGTCGAGGCCCATTTCGACCTTCAAGTGAAGGAAGCGGCCGGGTGTTGCGATGATGATGTCCGGATTCGTAGTCATAGAGTTGAATTCTGCGCGTCGGTGAGCCTTTCGCCCTACCACCTGAATGGGCATACATACGTTCTTCTAGACTGTCACCACCGACCAAAAGGATGGTCCTGAGATCTGTGCCTCGACCGAACTCCTTGACGACTTTCAAGGTCTGCAGAGCAAGTTCGCGAGACGGCGACATGATGACACCACGCGCGCCAACCTTGGCCGAGTGCGTTTTGAGCCTTTCGATCATGGGAATGACGAATGCGGCCGTCTTGCCAGATCCTGTTCTCGCCATACCAACCACGTCGTCGCCTTGCAAGATGAGCGGTACTGCTTTTCGCTGGATAGGCGTCGGTATCTTAAAGCCTTTTTGTGCAATGGCCTTGAGCAGCGCTACATTCAGGCCCATGGCTTGGAAGCCTCCGCCCTTCTTGCCAGATTTTCCTGGTGCGTTTGCGTTCTTGCGGTTCGCAGCTGCCTGTTTTGCAGCGATAAACGCCTCGTCGTCTGACCCATCGTCGCTGCCAAATTCCAAGTCTATTCCGAGATCTGCTGTCACTCGCATCGGTTGCGCCGCCTCATCGCCGCCAGCCAGTGCGTCGAAGATGTCAAATTCGTTCTCGGACAGCGCTGGGGAGCTCGCGCGAGGAGCCATGTCGGTCGGTGGGTGGGAAGATTCGGACGCAGCGTGCGTGTCTTGGCCGGGCGTGACGTCTGCGAGCATCCTCTGCCGCGGTGAAGAGTTCGAGAAATTATTATGGGTCCGAGCGCTAGGTCCAGGTGGGCTTAATGGGCATCCTGTTCACGTGCCCCGCGATTTCGCAGGCGCGTCGACGCGTTTTGCCCTCACCAAACACCCGGGGCACACATCGTCACATCTCACAACAACGCAACAACACAACAACACAACAGCATGAGTATGCACTCCTGATGTGCCTCTTCATTGATACATACATGCTGATTTGGCTTAGACTACAACGGGTACGAGACCTCATACACGTCGTATGGTGCAGGCGGCGGCGCCGGTGGGGGAGGCTTCATTCCCGGAGATGGCAGCCAGCAAAGCCCAGGAGGCAGGCGCGAACACACCCAGGATTCGCTGCGTCCCGTGACTATCAAACAGTTGCTGGATGCTCAGCTCGAGGCTGGCAGCAACGACACGTTCAAGATTGACGGTTCACCGGTTTCACAAGTACGCCATTCTACAGCCTACCACGACGCATGCTAATTGCAAATGTAGCTTACCTTCGTCGGTCAAATACGGAACATCTCAACACAAACAACGAACACCACCTACAGGCTGGACGACGGAACCGGCAGCATTGAAGTCAAGCAATGGGTTGACTCAGACACGGTTGACCAGACCAACCCTACAAAGGCGAAGCTCGTCGAGGGCGCATATTGTAGAGCATGGGGCAAGCTGAAGAGCTTTAACGATCGGAGATCTGTCGGTGCGCAAATCATTCGGCCGGTCGAGGACATGAACGAAGTCTCTTACCATCTGCTTGAAGCCACATCAGTACATCTGTTCTTCACCCGAGGACCTCCTGGTGGTGCAAACACGGGCACTGGTGCTGCTGCCGTCACCAACGGAGGTGGACAACAGGGGACTGGAGGCGGTGATTATGGTGGCTATGACCTGCGCACTCTGACTCCGGCTGCGAGGAAGGTGTTCAACTACCTGAGATCAACGGAGCAGTCGAACGAGGGCATTCACCAACATGCTATTTCGGCACAACTCGGCATGGACACGGCAGATGTAGCCAGGGCTGGAGACGACTTGTTGGCTGGTGGTCTCATCTACACCACCGTGGACGATCAGACCTGGGCTGTCCTCGAGGCAGAATAAGGACTTGAGATGCGGCACGGAACGAGTTGAAGGACACACGATTGATGGATATGCAGAGTGCGACATCGACACAGGGCGAACTCGTGGGGTGATCTTTCAGATGAAGTAACGATGACAATGCCTATCGTCTCTGCGCATTAGTAGAAAGAAAAAGCACACAAGCTGCCACAATCGACGTCGACACTACTGTGAATACAACCTGCGTCTTCCACCCCGTCTGTACCATAGCTTCTCTCTTGCTGTATTTTGTGACCGTTTGGATATAGTTTGCCAGCCCAGACGCCAGGCATAGTAGCGATAGGACCCAGAACACAATCCCGAGCGGCAGTGCAATGCGTTTCTCTTCAAGGTGTTAGCAGTGCTAAGTAGAATATGGTCAAGTGGATCTATACCTAAGCTCGACGGTTTGGACTTGAGATGAAAAGACAAGACAATCGCGACGGAAACAATAGCCATATACACGCTCAACTTCAGCCATGAGAGAAAAGCTACGACGCCGTCAGCTCGCTACCTTGAAACTAATGCTCCATTGTCGACGTACTCCGCTCGTTCGCAGCATGATCTCGCGCATCGGACGACACGTTATCAAACAAGAGCACTCCAAGAAATGGACGTTCTCGAAAGACTTCGCGATCGTACTCGTTGTGTCTAGCATCACGTTAGTGCGACTGGACAGTGTGGAGTGATTTATAGCCATACTGCTTCACGAGAATCGGCTTCCCGCCAAAGAGACTGTAGAACGGCCGATACGGCTGCTCAAGAATTGCTTCATCGGATTCACCAACGTGGCTCGGGTCGCGGAAATCCATCCTACGTATTTTCCCTCGGCCTGGGAATCGTGTAGAGGACTTGCGGAGTGATGCGGAGGAAAATCCGCACAGACCAATTCACTAGCCTGGTGAGGTCATTGCCCGATTGAGACGTCTTCCACCACCATTGCCCGCCAACTCTTCCAACCCAAAACCTCATTGATCCCAGCAACCATGGAAAAATCTCACAGAATCCTCGTCCTGTTCGGCGGCTCAAAGTCAGACTCCAACCTCTCCTACCTCTTCCCCATGTCCTAACCATCTTATAGAGGCTGGAACGCATCAGATTGGACAGCGTCCGACGACCGCGTGCGCGGCGGCGCATCCCAGTCATATCTGGACTGTTCGTCTGCTGTTGCGCGATTCCATGGAAACTTGGACATCAAGACGCTCGGTGGCGCAGGATTCGCTTCCCAGCGCACTACGCTGGACGACAAGCCGTGGGACTTGTCGTCGTACTCGGGTGTGCATCTCGATTTGGGCAAGGCGGATGGGAAGAAGTATACGTTTGTGATTAAGGATGAGATTCTGCCGTTGATGGAGGATGGGCGGGAGCAGAGTACGATTAGTTGGGAGTGAGTAATTTCTTTTTGTTTTGAACTGTATGGTTTGGCTTGGGGGTATGTGCTGATGTATTGATTCACAGGTATGACTTCACAGAAGCGGGAGCGGAGGGATTGTACATCCCGTGGAGTTCGCTCAAGCCAACGTATCGTGGCAAAGAGAAGAAAGATGCGGGAAAACTGGACTTGAAGAATGTCAGGAGGTTTAGTATCATGAGCAGAAGGTATGCTTGTCCTGTTCATACTTTTGCCGCAGCATGTTTAGCTAACATTGCGACACTATAGCTTCTTTGGCGGTCAAGAAGGCGACTTCTCGCTCGAAATCAAGGCAGTCAAAGCTGTTCGACAGTCCTCAGATCTTGAGGGCGGTATCCAGAATGTAAGACTCAGTAACAAGCTTTGAGTACGCGGACAATTGACGCCAGTATGCAGAGCAAGGAAGCTTGGTCTTGGAAAAACTCGAACCTCGTGGGTCTTGGAATTATTTTGTCTACTACGTGGGTTGTCAGCTTTGCCTTTTGCTGGTGGAAAGGGATTGACACAAGCCATATGACTTTGTCGCGTTGGTGGAGAGTTACAGGCAGGAAAGGATTCGGGGTATGATAACGTGCGCTTCATGAAGATAGCGACGCGCAGTTGTTACGTGATAGGGCATGTAGAGCTGTTGCTCTGAGGTAATAAAGCTACCAGAGCACAGTCTTCTGTGTTCCAACTCTGGAGTTCATATGACCAAAGTGCGTTCGCGAAAATCGATAGTAATTATGTTGTAAAAGCGAAGTCTTGAAAGTTCGAGGTAGATTCCGACATGGCACTGCCGCTGGACAGTCCTGCAACTTGCAAGGAGAAACACTGTAAGGATTACCTTCGAGAACTCCTCCTTCTACGATACAGCAACGCAAAAGTCACGTATGACGGCTGGCAATCGTGATGCACATGGAAGATGATTATGTATAAATTATGATTACTAATACCCTTGTGCTTCTATCAAGTGATGAGTACCTAATACATTATTCGTTACAGTTCGTTTTATAGCTCATTCGCTTCCTCTGCATCTCTCCTCCGAGAAACACTCTCTCTATTGAATTCCTCGTCTCGCCATCCCAACTCTGCAGCGCCTCTGGCTGCTAACGAACCAACATCCTCCTTCTTAACCGTTTGTAGCATCAGCTCAACATCGAAGTCGAACTTTTCCCAAGTCGCGGCTTTTACGACTTCTTTGAACTCCTCATCTGCGCCGTGTTCGCCTAACAGAACAATCCGGTTCGGTGGTAGGGACATCGGTGCGAGGACGTTAAGGATCATCTCGTGAATTCGCGCCCAGTACTTTGCTCTCGGGATTTCGTAGACTGGCAGATCCCACCATCCCAGCGTTGTGTCCGATCCATAGACGTATGTTCTTTGTTCTTGGAATGCGCTCTTCAATGTCATCGCTCCGATACTGAACGAAGAGTTATCGAAGTTAAAGTAGAGGACTGATTGGTCATTTGCTGGAGACTGGCAGTCTGAGCGAGACGACTGACTTTCGCACAGGCCGTGTCCAAGGCCCGCGTACGCTGCATTCGCATCTTGGTATATAATGGTGCCGGCGTGACTTGTACGGAGTCGTGAAGATGTGAGGCCAGCATAGGACAGAGCTTCCCGGACATCTTCTTTCTGGGAATGTGAGAGTCGTGGAAAAGCTGGTGCAATGCTTGTAACTGGTGCAAGTATTTCTGCCTGAAGATCTGAGCGCACTCTGCTCATGAAATCAGATAGTATGGCTGCATCGCGACTTGCTGGAAGGCCAAGCATTCGGCGTGAACTGCGTTGCAGAGAGCGCATGGTACAACGATAGCGCCGCGAAACCTCCTTAGGAACACTTGAATGGCGAGATTGAACATGACTTGACACATTGTTAGCCAAGTCCATGTTCGCACCACCGAGTGCGTACCAGTCTTGATTCTTGAGATCATGCTGCCCTTGTGACCACCGCGATAGAAGATCGATGTAATCCGCATCAGCCGCGACCTTGACCAAAGTCCGCGTAGTTCCATTTTTATAACGCGCCGCAGCAACCGCGTAAGAAGTTGTGAAATGGACTCCAATTGCCAGTGCGGACTCCTCTTGCGCAATGTGTTTCACGACATCCTCCGCGACGTGCCCAGGAATCGGAATCTGTTGCGTCGTCCCAATCACTCTCGCGCTAACCAAGGGCACGACCAAGAAATAGATGAGTTGCATTGTGGGGGAGATGTATTACGATAAAGAAGAAGAAGTGGGTGAAAGGAGTGACTCGGCCAGGAATGGCTGCCACCCTCAGCCCTGTGGTCACGACCACCATGGTTATAAAGACTATTGGAAAGAAAGCCCGCTCGTATCCATGGATTGCACGCGGATGCTACGGGCCCAGATGCATGGTTCCTGGGCCGAAACAGTACAAGGTCTAACCCCTTTGGTAGGCGCCATAGGGTAAGACGGCATGAATGAGGTGACACCTGAATGCAGTCTGTCTGTCGTTCTCGGGGCCTGGTTGACATGGTCAGAATGACACATATCCGTCGGACACTGAGCATAATCGAATTAGCCTAGACTTCGCGACATCAAGAGTCTGCCTGATGAGTGTGCTGATCTTCGTGAGGTGCAGCCAGGTACGGGCACATCCCCCGAATTCACGAGAGCCCGTGCGCGGCTATTTTTGGCTGGCCGCATTTGGACGAGGGGGTCTCCTTGCGAAAACACCATGAAACCTCTCGTTGCAGCGATGCGATGCCTCAGGTATGTGAAGGCGGACAGACCGCATGCATTTTGCAGCTCACCTTAATCTTCTTAACGATATGACCTGGCGGTGCTCGCGTCCGTGGCGGTGCAACACAATTCATGACAATAATAGCTCGTGATAGCCTGTCGTGTTTGTGCCCCTGATTCACAGAGGACGTGTTTGTGTACTTTGTACACAAAGTTTGATATCAGACATTTCTTCCTTGCCGGTAAGGCGACCCCGATACGTGAGCGCCAAGCGCTTACGGCATCGATCTATGCCACCTGCACGTCCAGGCCTATCGTCTAGATCTGCGGCAATATGTTCGATGCGCAGTCACGAGATCTCATCAATCTGTATCCGACAGAGGATACGTTTGTCCAGACGCAGAAGGTTGCCTTGGCTGACAGCAGCCCTACCACTCAGAGTTGCATTCCCGAAGCCTAGCTGCAGGCACAACGCGATGAATAAGCATCAACATATATTCGGCATTGTCCATGCACGGTAAAATTTGGTGTTTTCCGCTGGAAACATGGTCAGGATAGCCGTATGATGTCAAGGAATGGCGTAGGGAGGGTGTCATGCTTTGAAATGCAAATGCGAGTGAGGGGCATCGGAGCCCTAATAAAGCCTCAACAGCTCCCTGGGCTAGCGTTCCAACGACTTCATCTACGCTTCGGCTAACGATATCATACAACCACACCAGGTTGAGTCTAATACAATCATTAAACACAACATGGCAACGCCTGAACCATACACGATTTCCGTGCCTGACTCCTCGATTGAGAAGCTCAAAAGGAAACTATCCGATACCGATTATCCAGATGAGCTTGATACCGCAGATCAATGGCCTTACGGCTCGCCGCTGTCTGACGTCAAGCGACTAGCAAACCATTGGGAAAATAGATTCGATTGGCGCAAAGTAGAATCGAAGCTCAATGAGCTGCCTAACTTCCGGAAACCAGTCAAGGTCGAAGGCTTTGGAAATATCGACATACACTTTGTTCACAAGAGGAGCTCAAAGCCAAATGCCATACCTCTACTCTTTTGCCACGGGTGGCCTGGTTCATTCATAGAAGTCACCAAAATTCTCCCACTCCTCGAAGCAGGCGAAAAAGAGGGCAAGCCTGCGTTCAACGTCGTAGCACCTTCACTCCCCAACTTCGGCTTCAGCCAGAAAATCCTCAAGCCCGGTTTCGCCCTCTCGCAGTACGCAGAAACATGTCACCGCCTGATGCAAGATCTAGGCTATGACAAGTATGTAACGCAAGGCGGCGATTGGGGATTCTACATCACACGCATCATGGGTGTCCTATATCCGGACTACGTCCTTGCATCGCACATTAACATGGTACGCGCACTCGCCCCGTCATTTACTTCCCACCCGGCCATCGCACTCCAACACGCCATTACGCCTTACACCGAAGCCGAGCAGAAAGGCATGCAGCGCAGCGAATGGTTCACCACGCAAGGCCAAGCATACCGCCAACTCCAGGCCACAAAGCCCCAGACTCTGTCCTACGCATTCGCCGACAGCCCCGTCGCCCTGCTCGCATGGATCTACGAGAAATTGGTCGATTGGACTGACGGATATGAGTGGACTGAGGACGAGATTCTCACGTGGATTAGTATTTATTGGTTTAGTACTGCGGGACCGAATGCGCATATTCGCATATACTATGAGGCAAGTCACAACCCGACAGATGTGGTTCCGAGCCGCGAGAGGGCGAGTGAGTGGGTTGGAAAGGTTAAGTTGGGCTTGAGTCATTTCCCTAGGGAGATCACGGTCGTGCCGAGGATTTGGGGCAAGACGCTGGGTAAGTTTATATACGTTATCTTGGAGTAAGGATTGTGCTAATTTACATTTTTAGGTCCGGTCGTGCATGAGAGTGTGAATGATAAGGGGGGGCATTTCGCAGCGTACGAGCGTCCGGACGTTATCACTCATGATTTGCAGAAGATGTTTGGGAAGAGTGGTCCATGTTATGAGATTGTGCCCGGGAAATCCGGGTACTGAGGTGCTTGCTCGCATTGTGAAAATGTACGCGTCCGGAAGTGTCAAGACGAAAGTGGTAGATGAGGGAGAGGTTGTTCTTGATGTGCCCTACTTGCCATATCTTCACGTTACTCACGCGATGGGCTTCCCGAACTGGCTTGTATTTCTACACTTTCCTGTTCAACAGTAGTGATGCTAATACACGTTTATTCCAAAACTCTTTCTTGCATGCTTTTTCTGATCACTGCTATCCCAAACGCGCGACCCCAACCTACCCATTTCTAGGATTGGAAAGGCTCACCCCAGCGATCTCACCAAGTCTCGTGTGTATGAATTTCACGAGTGTTTTTGGTCGAGAGATCGCATAATCAGGAGATTGGTGATTGCTTCGCAATACACTCACGTATGATCACTGTCACTATTTCGTCGAAGTATCGAACCAGAAACCAGCGCATGCCCAACTCGCGCCATTTTCTACTCAAGCTACATATTTCTGTATTCATGTATATACGCTAGCACAATTCATTCGACATCGTCCCAGTACCAATTTGATCAAATAGGATGAAGAAACAGTATGGACAATGTCAGATCGAATGAAGAGTATAAGCTTTCCCAAAGTGCGCGCGCAAGGTCTGACTTATTAACTCCGTAATAATCTCTGATCGTGAAAATAGGAGAGCTGGTGAAAACTGCGCTGCTTTGAGCCGTTTCGGAACGGTTCACGGTATCTGTTCAAGCCATAGAACCCAAACGGAGGGATTTCTGTCACGAATGACTTCGATCTTATAGTACAAAATTTTCGACCGGTGTACAGAGTTTTGATTTAGCGTCTTCTCAACTCATTCACACCATGCAAATGCACAGTTCCAAACCCCTTGCATTGATCACGCCGAGCTGTCACGTCCCATGAAAGAAAAACACCGCCATGGATTAACTTTCAGTACCTCAACCCAACCAGGATCGTTCGTCATCCATTCCAAAAGTCCAACCCAGATATTATCGAAGCAAAGTCTTGTCTGACTCGTAACCCACCACCCTTTACCACAACCGCGAAACAGCTAGTAAACACTCCTTCCTTCCATATCCCACACCCCTCTCCATCACATCACGATAGCTGGATAAGAAAGAGATCGTATACACCGCTCTTTACCTCCCCTGCCTTAAGGCGCTATGGGTACAGGCCCAGAAACGTCGCGGCCCCATATCCCCCCCACAATGAAAGCTTGTGTGGGAGCGTACCCGTCTCCGCAGCCCGCGTCGTTCTGTGCCCCGAGTCGTTTGATCGACTAGCGCGGGCGCTCCCTACTACAACTACCAGAGTGAGAATAGCACATGCAGAATTTTTCAAAAGCGTGCAAGACGACACTGAGCCTGCGACACGAGTTGAAGTGAGGCGGGAGTCGATAGATGATGTACACAATGCGCGTTTGACGCTTATGCAGAGCGTGCTGGAAAGAGGTGGTTAGTCAAGGAAATTACGAATGCCCCTCGCGAAGGATACGAGGGGACGGGGATGAAGGGGGCCGGGCTGGGCTGTGGGACGTTGTGAGTAGGGAATGCAGCTGGGATAGGCATAGGGTGTTGATTAGACGTGGTGGTTATGTGATTGCTTTTTGGAGTAATCTGGGAGTCAGAGAAATTAGGTATTAATTGCCGCGATTGATGTTGGAGACAGATGGGTTGGTGGTATACCACCAAATTCCTTGCTATGAGGCCTCAGACACAAACTTGCTTTTTCTCATCGGCATGATGTCGGCCATGTAAGCATGAACAAGGCCCAGGATGGAATCTAGTCTGTATTGTCATAGATTGATATATGCCGCAACTGTCAGCCGTTGACAGTAGATCTCAGGTAAAGCACACGTGTACTAGTAGGCGGGATCGTGCGGTCGAGACAGGAACAGACCTAGCCAGAATGAGTCTCGAAGGCACGGCAGTTGTCATGAAAGCTGAAACGTAGACGCGATGTACTATAGCAGATCTTTTATGATCCGCGCTAGCGTTGGGCGGCGCTGCATGTTCTAATCACTAAATACTGTTCCTGCATGTCATCGGACTCCACAAACGATGTAGGTATGGTTTCTCCTGGCCTGTGGGCATTCCATGGCTGGCGTTCGCTTATGGTGACCAGTTGAGTACTTGCTCCCGTGATCAGGGTTTGCAGTCTCCGGCGCCTATGGTACCAAGCACCTACAGAAAAGGTAAGAGTGCTCCACAGATATTGACGCAATCTGACAGCGGAGGGCTGCATTGACTCAGGCATGGGAAATAAAGTTTATGGGAAGTGGGACAAGGCAGGAATTTCGGTGACTTTTACCGTCTCAAATGTGTTTGCCGCACCGTTGCCAGAACCAGGTATGCCAGCGGAATCAGAAACTTGATCACTCGAAAACCCCGCATTAATGGGTAGCAAGACGATACGGGCGACAAGAATGTAGAGTGATCTGGACGTCGTGAAGACCGGTTGGAAGTGGAGCTGATTGCCCGGGTAAAGTGATTGTTTCGTAGATCACCGAGGGATTGAAACATTTGTAGCCGGGGTCGTGCAGTGCTAAGGTCCGACGCCCATGGCCCGTCTACGATGTTGTAGACTACAGCGCTCGCCTGTCTGCGAAAACGAAACACCTGCCAGTAGGTTATCTGGGAATATCACTACTCATAACTTACTTATCGGCCCTTCAAGCAGTTCCTACGAGTAAACTTTGCATCTCAAGTCTATCGTTCTCTGAAAAGCACTTCTCTTTGGTAGTGCGGTCCGAGTGAGTCACTAGCATCTATCACCTGCGAATGGCGGAGCTGATCTCGCAATGAGTGGCGGTGGGAGTACAGATGATGTACAGGTGTCCCACCTCGCCTAATACATGTTCGTCGACGATGACCGTTGTGCTAGCCTTTCAAGGGCACAGCCAACATCGAACCTGTTACAAGAACATGTCCGCAACGAGGTACGTACCCCACTCTCCTGCGTGTTGCTCCGGAGATAGCGGTATGCGGTGTCGTAGCCGGGCATCGTGAGGACTACAAGCACCTCAGTTATAGTCACTCGTGCGCGGTAAGCTCAAATCTCGGAGGCATTGAAATGGTGGCCATACGGGAGGTTGACTTGTTGTGCAGACACATCCGCGTGCAGTGGAGTGGCTGGTGATGTTTCGACCCCGGATCCCTGGACGGGAGCGGAAGTCACGACGCACGTGGCATGCAGCCTCGAGCCTCGGCCTGTGACCCACTTTGCAAGCAAACCATTTTTCTTTGGGAATTCCTCGTAGGCTCAGCTTTTACAATAATTTCGGCAGCGTCGAGGTGGAACATACGGAAGTCTATCGCGTCTGAAGGATTAGAGTTTGCGGCTAATGCGGGTCCGCTGCCAAGATCGCATGGGCCGAAGGCTGTCTTATTACACCGTATTGCACCGTTCTGAACAGGTGGAGGAACAGGGAATGAACTTTGAATTCACCATGAGCGCGATGGGATGATGTAAACGTGATATAGAGGTGGGGGAGATAGAATGCAAGCCACGGTAGACCACTTGTGCTGGTCTTGATTTGTTGTGATATTGATGCATGCGGTAATAGTCTCAGCATCGCCAGGCAGGTTGTCCGACTTTCTCGAACATGCCTTTGCGGTTTCTGTGGGATGGCGCGCTGCAAGTGGCTTTTCTAATGCGAACTCCAGGGTTCATGCAGTGGTCGACCAGGTCATGCTCGGCGGCAGAACGGACGGAATGCGGTTGCTTCGAGGATGCGCCTGTGGGCGCAGAAGGCTGCAAGCCTCGTCACTGAGGTCGAGAAAACTTGGCTTCCGCTGCAGAAGGAGCGTGATTGACAATGCGAAACACGCTACGTAGCTGTTTCGGGGGCGAGGCGAGCGCATACGACTCGAAGCACAGCCAACGATTCATGTCGGCCTGGACGACGCGGGATTGCTCAGCTTGCAGCGGAATGTGACAGGTGTCGAGAATGAAGCTAAGCAAAATGCGCGTTTGACATGTCGCTGCGAGTTGGATTGACACGCGATGCTTCCAACGACAATGTGACTTGGTGGAGCTTTCAGGCTGCTCGGAAGACAAGGCTTGCGTGATCGGGGGTCCTCGATGTGAGGCATACACAGGCTCGATCGGGCCTAGCGCAACGCGTGAGGAAGAAGGAGAGGCGATCCGCGGCTCACAGACATGCCATGGAGACTAAAGAGGGCGCGGGAGATTGCAATGTTAGCTCTGGCTCCTCAATAGGCAGGGGCGCACCGCAACCAGACAGTGGCTGGTCTATCAGCAAGTCGAGCACGGCAGAGAACGTGCGTGCGAGCAGCGGTGCGGTGCCCAGTGCCCGTGTGCAGCGAAGATGGCTCGGGGCACAGCATAAGCAAGTATCGAAGCCGAAGCCGAAGCCGATGCCCAAGAGGGATGTCGCCCTGCTGCAGTCACAGCGGGTATCTCTGCGCGTGCAGTAGCGCAGAGGTATACACGCCCTTGGGCGGTAGTGTGTGCATGTCCAGTTGTCATGGCCTTGGAGGTCGCGGCGAGAGAGGCCGCCAGGGTCCATAAGCTTTACTGTGGCCCCCCTGCGACTCCCCAGCCATGCACCAGCGGTCCGTGCGCCATCCTCCTGAGAGATATTCCCCACTAAGGGGCCGCCTGGCACTCACTCTGCCTGTCCGCCCGCCATTCCCTTCGCCGTGAAATATTTCTGCCATTCTTCATTAACCTTTACACACGCATAATCTGCCCTGCCCCAGGCTTATACTCGCGATCCGCGCGCGTCACACGCGTCCCAGTAATACCCGCTGCCACTGCCACTGCCACTGCCATTCGTAGCACCACATGCGGCCCGACACCCACCGCCAGCCAATCTCGACCATAGCGCCAGCGCAACTCTGATTCTCACTCCTGCCACGCAGGACCGCGATACCATTGCGCACAACACAACCGCGTAGACGGCCCTGCCGTTGCCATTGACGCCATGGCATCGCCTCCAGCATCGCCGCCGACGGGAGGCGGTATCCAGCGCCCAATGAGTGTCATGCTCCAACGCACCGGACGGTCCTCCAGCCGCCTCAGCATGTCCTCGAAGATGGGCGGAGGGAGCCGCGCCTCCGACGAGGACGGCTCCAAGACCGCAGTGAAGGTGGCCGTCCGCGTGCGACCCCCACTGAAACCTGGCGATCCGGGCTTCGAGCTCATCCCTCAGCGATTCCGCGCGCCCACATGTCACGTCACGTCGCCCTCAAGTCTTGCGGTTGACGGGTCTGGGGGAAGGAAGATGTTCGTCTTCGATCGCGTGTTTGGCGAGGACATTGACCAGGAAGGCGTTTTCGACTACGTTGTAGACAGCGTCAACTCGTTCGTCCAGGGATATAATGTTTCCATCCTGGCATACGGCCAGTCCGGCGCCGGGAAATCGTACACCATGGGCACTACTGGGCCCACTGAGCAGGGAGATAGCCAAATCAAGGGTAAGTCCAGAGAGCGGCTGCGCCAGAAAGAAACAACTCTAACAATACACCAGGCATTATCCCCCGTGCTGCAGCTACATTATTCGAGACGCTGGAAGGACCGAGTCTGAAAGCATCTGGATCAGGTATACGCGCTCCCTCACGCGCGTCAGGCTTCGGATCCCAAAGCTTCGCCAACAAGTCGTCCGCCAACAGCAACTGGCAGCTGAGAGCTACCTATGTTGAAGTAAGAACACATTCCTTCATAGCGATGCTAGGCAGTTGTACTAACTTATCAGATCTATAACGAGCAATTGCGCGACCTGCTCCTACCGGAAAACACACCCCTCAACGAGCGACCAACAGTAAACATTCGCGAGGACCGCGATGGTAGAATTCTTCTTACCGGACTTACGCAGATGACTGTTACGTCTGTCGAAGACCTCCTTGGGGCCCTTAACTTTGGATCTGCGATCCGACAGACAGATGCTACTGCTGTCAATGCCAAGTCATCTCGTTCTCACGCTGTTTTTAGTTTGAATTTGGTCCAGAAGAAGGCATCCTCTGCACCAACATCTACTCGCGAGAAACGTCGATCAGTGCCCATCGAGATGATGTCCGGATCAACAGAGAACTGGATTACAGTCGACAGCAAGCTTCATTTCGTAGATCTTGCAGGTAGCGAGAGGCTCAAAAACACAGGTGCACAGGGCGAGAGAGCGAAAGAAGGTATCTCCATCAATGCCGGTCTGGCAAGTCTCGGCAAGGTCATCTCACAGTTGTCGTCGCGCTCTGGCGGCTCCTACGTTTCTTACCGCGACTCACGTCTCACTCGTCTCCTGCAAGACTCTCTGGGTGGCAATGCCATCACGTACATGATTGCTTGCGTCAACCCAGCCGAGTTCCATCTGAGCGAAACTTTGAATACTGTTCAATACGCTCAGCGAGCTCGTGCTATTCAGGTCAAGCCCCAGATCCAACAGGTCCACGACGACAGCGACAAACAAGCTGCTATCGATCGCTTGCGCGCTGAAGTTCAATTCCTACGAGACCAAATCCGGTTGTCGGAGCGGACCGACCGGAAGAAGGCTGGAGCACATGAGCGAGGCGAACGCGGCGAACGCCAAGAAGAACGTGAAATGGAGCTACAAAATCAGCTCCTCGACGTGCAAGAGAACTACAATGCTCTTAGCGCTCGCCATGCTAAGCTGATTACTGAAATCACCAAGGCGCGTGACAGCGACGATGCCGATACTCCGATGCTCAAGGATGCCATTGGCGACTCTGCTCTTGAGCGACTAAAGCGTTCCAACTCTTTCGCGGAGGCCGTTGAGTCAGTGGTCCTAGAATACGAAAAGACCATCCAGACACTAGAGTCGTCTCTCTCTAGCACTCGATCCACTCTGTCCTCCCACGAAAGCGACTTGCTCGAGAAAGAGACTCGCATTGCGATCTTGGAAAGTCAGAACCACCACCTGCAGGCTCGCATCCAAAAGGCGATTGACCGAGACGCCAGCAACGAAGAGTATGTGAAGTCGCTGGAGCATCAGATTGATAGCTCTGCCAATGGCATCGAGAAGAACGACAGCACTATCTCCGAATTGCGCGACAAACTTCAAAAGGCTCGCGAGAACGAATCCAGTTGCGAAGAGTATATCTCAACCCTGGAGGAGCGCCTTGCAGAGAACGAACAGGAGGTTGAGATCATGACTCGCGAGATCGAGCGGCTGAAGCATGTCGTGGAGCGTCAACGTAGCATTGGCAAATTGGACAACTTACTGTACGAATTAGACACGATGCGTCATACTGATGCAAAGACAGAAGAGACACTGGTCAACGGTCATTCTAAGACCAACAGTGATCCCTTCGTCGACAAGCGTCCTCAGTTGGAGCATCGCGCCTCGAGTGGACCGAAACATCATTTCAGCACCAGTGTAGACGCCATTGCAGAGGAGCCCGATACCGAACGCCCTTCCACAGCCGGTGCAAGCAAGGATGGATCCAGAGAACTTGATGGCAGCTCCGCTATGAAATCCGTTCTAGTCAATGGGCGCTCTAACGGGATGTCAACCAACGAACCTGATAGCCCAAATCAGTCGCGATTTGTACATGACAAGCTTGACTCCGTCACGCAGGAGCTGTTTGACCTACGTGTCGAACATGAAGGCACATTGCAGGACTACGAGCGACTTGCCAGCAAGTACCAAGAAGCTCTACGTACTCTAGCGGCTCTTCAAGATAGTGTCGATGAAGCGCGTCACCGGCAACCAGCGTCGGTGCCTTCTTCTCGACGGCCATCTATCACCAGCAACGAAGGGGAAAATGGTCTTAAGGTTGAAGATCTTTCTTCGTCACGTACTTTATCCGCAGAGCTTTCGATGGCAGAAACAGACACTGTCGAGCTTCCAGATGATGAAACCGAAAGCCGCCATGATCAAGTCGAACAGCCAAAGTCTCGCGTCGATATACAGTTGACCCGTGAGCTCGAAGCTCTGAGGTTGCTGCATTCGGAGAAGGAAGAGCGTCTTACCAAGCTCAACCAGAGCTACTCTGCACTCCAGGAAGAGCACCAAGACACGCTGGACTATGTGGAGGAGCTAAAGTCTGATCTCGCCAAAGCTCACATGGCGCGCCCATCTTCACCCTCACTAAGCATGATCCGTCGAAAGTCCAGCCAGGCTGTTCTTGCGAACGATCGCTCCAATCGTGCCTTTGCTTCGCTACGCAACATGGCTCTGGACACCTTTGAGGAAGACAGCCCGAGCATGATTCAGAACTTCGAGCTGAACCTGAACACCATCATGTCGGAATTGCACCTCAAGTCTGAACGTGTGCAAGCACTAGAGGGAGAGGTTACGTCTGTCAGGAAGGAAATGGAAGGCAAGATGACTCTGATCAGTGGATTGACTAAGGAACGATCCAGCATGAAAGCTTCATCACCACTCGATATCTCGATTGTCGCAACCATGCAAGACCAGATGAAGCAAAATGAAGAGCACATGAAGGAGCTTAAGGAAACCCACACTCAACGAGAGCTCGAGCTTCAAGAGCAAATTGCTAGCCTCAAGGCTTCAACAACGCGGTCTACAGAGTCTGTCGACGACGCCACACCGCAACCTCAAGTTTCGCATGACCGAAATATATCAGGTGCCACGAATGACGACGGTAGTGCAGAACGCGCCGAGCAGCTGACATCACTCACTGATGAGGCAGCCATGTGGCAGTCGAAGCATGTTGAGGCTATTGAGGCGGCTCGGGCCCTGAAGAAGCAACACCTGGAGAAGGTGGAGCAGCTCGAGCTAGCCAAGCAGCAGCTCGAAACTGACCATGCGGCTCGTATGGTGGAGATGGAGAAGACCATTGGCGCTGAGGCTCAAGCTGCACTAGAGCATGAAAGATCAATCCACGCTGAGCTTGTAGCTGGTCTGCAAGCCCAAGTGGATGAGCACAAGGCGACTGCGGGCAGTAATGCTGCTCGTCTTGCTGAGCTGGAAGAGTCACATGCCAGCATCATTCGCCAGGTAGAAGAAGATGCGGAGGCAAGGGCGCTCACCGAAAAGGAGCTCGAAACCCACCGTTCGCTGGTCTCCAATCTTGAGAAACAAATCGACGAGCACAAGTCTGCCATCGATTACCATCAGCAGGGCATGGACTCGTTGAAGGAAACTCATAGCGCCGAGCTCGAAAAGCTTACCAATGAGCTCACGGGCCACAAAGAATCTGTGTCTTCACTCGAGGCTGACCTTTTGAATGCCAAGGGTGAAATGGACAATCTGCTCAAGGGTATTTCGGCTGCTCTAGGCCAAGAAGCAGACATTGGCACAGTACAAACCCATATCGAGTCGCTAGTAGAGGAGAGAAAATCCATCAAGACCCAAATGGACCAGGCTATCGCCGACTTACAAACGGCGAGGCAGGAACTTTCCGAAGCTACCGTCACTGTCGGCACTCTCAAGGACAATCTCAAGGAGTTCGAGATGATCAACGCGGAGACTCTGAAGGAATTGGAGAAGGTGAGCGAGAAGGAGCGTAAAAGTAATCGCTTGGTCGAGGAGCTTGAGGAGCAGCTCAATCAGAACTGGGATCAGCATGAGTTGGCGAACAACCGTCTTTCCGCTCTCCAGACAGAGCGCACTCGAGAACTCCAAGACGCTATCGTGCATGGGGAATCTCTCGAGAAAGAAGTGCAGGAGTCTCGCATCAAGATCGCTCTTCTAGAGGTAAGGATCATTGACTCTACGAGCAAAGCTTTGGTCGATGCTAACTTATGCAGTCACAACTCATGGATGCGAAACGCAACTCGGCCCGTGGCTCTACCATTGACCCAAGGGAAGATCTTCAGCGGTCAAACTCCAACAACTCCACTGCGCGTAAGAGCGTAGCTCATACCTCCTTACCATCCCCACCACCCGCTATTCCTCTACCTCCACTGCCACCTGGCAGCCCCCCACCTCAGACAAACGGACCATCACCTCCCACTTCTCGGCACCAGAGCAAGGACATTGCCCATGCTCAATTGGTCGAGGATCAGGAAGCTCGCATTCGTACCATCGAGAAGCACTTGTTTGCTGAGAAGCAACTGACAGCCACTCTCGAGGACGCCCTCACCGATCTTGAAGCTTCTAACACGAAGACCAAGACCGACCTGGACCAATACAGGAAGAAGTGCAACAGCCTCGAGGATGAGCTCAACGTGATGCGCAAAGAGCGCAGCGCCGCCCGCCACTCCCTCCAAGCAGTTGAAGAGGAGCGCAATGCCCGTCTCCGCGTCGAAGCTGAGCGCGCTCATCTCGAAGCCCGCATGGCGGCACTAAACGACGCCAACAAAAAGGGCAAGAAGAAGGGGACACTCAACTGCTTCTAAGCAGATATCTTCCCAGCCCACCATTTTCAACATTCACTGTACACTTCTTTACAACCTTTCAACCCTTTGCTTCTCAGCTGGCGCATACTCCCTTCTTCCACGAAACAGGAAGTTCTCGTTACATACCCCCTCCCGATACACCAAAGTTTGCGAAACACTTTTTTTCTCTCTCGAATGGCTTTATGTTTTGACGATCTGCAACGTTTGGGGGCTTTTGGCATTTCCACCAGCCTTGGCTTTTTTTCACATACCCCCGCCGCCCCTGTTACATACCCTCGACCCACCACGTCCCCATCCTGCCCGGGCATGGGGCGCGGTCAATTAATGTATTATAAAAACTGGCAGATTGATATTTTGGACACGGATGCAGATGCAGATTCTTGGACGAGTAGTGAAATGGTACAAAGAAGCCTTTTTTTGGACGGGATTTTGGAAAGTTTGCAATGAGCTATGGGATGTGTCCTGAGTCTCTTTCCAAGGTGCATAGTTGGATGAAGTGTCAGATCTTGATATTTTTTTCCTTTCTTTTTTCTTCTCTTTTCCTTCATTTTAGGATTCTTTTCTACCTTTCTTGTGTGTAATTTTGAGGACATTGGCATGTGGATGTGGTCTCACCTGAGGTTTTATCTAGTTTGTATCAGTGCGAGTGGGGATGGGGAATGCACTTCCTTGTCTTGCATCAAAAACCTTTGCTTCGTGATTGATGTTTGGTGTGATGTGATGGTTACGCAAACACTCTCCAAGACATGAGGAACAACAAGGTCGGCCGCATAAACTTCATCAACCATGATACCATTCATTTCCCATCATAAATATACACAAGCAATGAAGTATCCAAAGCAAAGCCCTCATCTAACGCTAAATCACACCCTCGACGCGCCAAAAGCTGGGTATCACTACCATCCATCCTCACTGTCCCTGTCCCTGCCCTTGCCCCCCATGCTCACTCCACCCCATCGTCACACTCTCCAGCATCTGATTCCAACCCCCATCGCTCATTGGCGTCATCCCGGTCCCCTGCGTGTAATCCCAATCACTCCCCACCAAAAAACCGTGATTGAACGCCTCATCGCCCGCCACGCCGTTGGTACTAAACGCCGTGCTGAACATGTCCAGTCCACCCGACGAGGCGTCGAAGTCCTGCAAAGGCGGGAAGGAATTCGTCGGCTGGAGGGGCAGGGGTTTGGAGTTTGGATTTGGGCTGGAGCGATAGGGCAGGCTGTGTTCGTTTGTGCCGGGCGAGTAGGAGGAGTGGCTGGTTGAGCCACCGCGGGACTGGGTGCTGATTGTCGCGGGGCTGGGCTGGTCTTGTTGGCTGCGGGAGCCGCTGCCGGAGAGGTCCATTTCGGTGTCGTCGGGGAAGGTGAAGCCGGCGGGGGTGAAGTCTTGGGTTGTGGAGACTTGTTGGGGCGGGATGTAGGGTGCGTTTTGGGCATTGTTGAGGTTTATGCTGTTGATGTTGGAGATGTGGAAGGGGGCTTGGGCTGCGGGGTTTGAGTATTGCGTGCCGCGGAGGTTGCCGTTTAGGGTGGCTTGGTAGGAGGGGTCGTTGGTGTTGAAGTTGGTGTTGCCGAAGGTGTTGATGGGCGCATTTGGGTTCTGCGTTTCGCGGATCTCGAAAATGGGCGAACAGCTGACACCATCGGTGTTGACGGGTATAGTAGCAAGCTGTTAAGTACATGTTAGCCGAGAGAAATTACCCAATAAGAATACCTAAAGGGTATTGGATCGAAGGGCGAGCGCCAGTGTTGTAGCTCATGCTTTGTTTGTGCGGACGTTTGCTTACAAATGTATCAGGAGGCGGGTACGGCTTCTGTGGTAGCCCCTGTATGCCTGCACTTTCCAAGTCGAGTTGAAGCTGAACCAAGAAAGACTCGGTAAGAGGGTTCTTTCGACGTAAAGCTTGCATTGCTTGCAATAGGAACTGCAAAGAAGCACCCATTTGTTGATCATTTGGACGTGTCTTGAGATACTGAACGAAGACTCGTGCTGCTACGTAGACACAGAATGATATAAATGGGTTCATCTGTTTATCATTAGACAGTGTTACATTGAGGAGTTGACTGACTTACTGAGCTTAGGTCCATGTGACTGATCATGCGCATGATTGAAGCGATTTCTGCTGCTGCTGAAACGCACCGGATCTTGCTCTCGTTGCTGATGTTGGGTGAGAGTCGGTACTTGTCAGCCTTGAAGATAGCTGCTTGGTGCAGGCAAATGGCAGATGTGTGGATGCACATGTTTGTGAAAACGACGTTGGGGTTTGCAACACCAGAAGGCAAGCGTAAATGTTCGGGTAGGTTCAACGAGGTCTGGAGAAGGATCTGCTCAATTTTCCGATGCCGAGTCCAGAAGCCACCGTTGATGTCTTCGTCGTGATCGTCTGCTCCAGGACGGTGGAGGTGTAGTAAATTCCGTCCAAACATGGCAGCTGTCAATACAACACCGCCCATTGCTTGCAAACCGGTGGCGCCACTCGCACCAAGACCTTGGTCGAGGGATCCAGTAGGCATGGGCCTGCTCTTTTCAAATGCGTCTTCACTTGCGGGGAGGTTCGTCGTGATCTACATCATGATAAGTGAGTGTGCCAAGGGCATCACATTTCCAACTCACATCTCGTTCGTCTATCATCATTGGCCATCCGGTACCAATACTAGCATAGCGATCAACAGCGAAAGCCATCCAGAAAGTTCTTCTCCGCTCTTCGCGCTCAGTCCAGTCTTTCGGTGGAGGCAGGCACTGCTTCACGTCCAAACCAATCCCATCCAAGCGGTGTAATTGCATCATCTGCGCAAGCCGCACCGCTCTCCCGGCTGAAAGCCACGCTCTTGGAAAGTACATTTGTTTGAACTCGTAAGTGCAAATTAGGATCCATGCCTGACAGTGCGCCAGTGTAATGGTAGACTCTCCGTGTCCTTTCATCTCATCCATCTGAGCGTACTTTCTCGCACGCTGGTAGAAGTGCTCCTGTAGTCCCTCATATTTGTCCGTGGCTGAGGCTGCCAGAGTCCACATGATGTATCGAAGACACACTGGCGGTCGCATATGAGGCGCAAGGTTCAGGGCGGCGAGGAACCGGGGTCGGTGGATGATTGGTAACGATAGATGTACCTTGGTGAAGTAGATCTGATATCTGATGATGCTTCAGTGCTATGCTCGCTCTACATGTCGAGACATACTCACAACTCGTCCATGACATCCTGCGGTGGTAGTGGCTCTTCAAGACCTAGCCCTATCATCTCCCACGAGAAGTTGTCGTCTCCAATATCTGCTGCCACGCCATTTTGCGACGCATTCCCAGCTGATGTCTGAGAGCCTTGTATTCTGTCCCGGGTGCTCAAGTAATCACCCTGGTTGGGTAATGCTTGTTGTAGTGTATTGGCGACATATGCGGAGGTGTTATCTGTACGAGATGTATCTTTGTTCGCTTCAGGACTATCTTGGTTCTTCAAGAGATGTTCTACTTGTTCTGTACGAGCAGAATTAGCGTATGCACACCATGTGGCGATCTTTAACTCACGAAGCCGTTGCTCTAGTAGCTTCACATAACCCCTCTTTGGCCCGCTCTTCTTGCGCACCTCGTCGTAGGCGCACTCATGTGAAAGACGGCTACACGTCCCGCATGTCGGTCGTGAACCATCACACTTCAGCTTTCTTTTGCGGCACAGCACACATGCTATTCTTTTGGCTTTCGAGGTACCATCATTCTGCGCATCTTGTCCGTTCGTATCGTTCGCATCGTTCGACTCAGTTTGTCGGCTAAGGTCGTTGAAGAAGTTGTCGTCCGGCGACTCAGATTCAGTTGAGGGCATTTTCGCGCTCCGAGCTGTGCGCTCTGAATCGTGGTTGCAGTTGTCTGGTCTAACGACTGAGGTCCCGCGTTGGCTGCCTAGAATTGGAATCCTTCAGCGACTTAAAGAAGTGGCCAGATAGAGCCCCCAGTGCTCAGATAACCAGTCAAGGAAGAAATCGAAAGCTCAGCTAGAGAAGCTAGATCAAAGACGTTGTGAACGTGGAAGGGCGATTGTGCCGTAATCAGGCATCACTGTCTGCGGCGGCTACAAAGTACGGGCAACGCCAAGCTGAGAGAGACACGGTGCAGAACATACAAGTGTCGTGTTCAGTAGAGAGTGTAGGGATCACAGTTGAAGCTGCGCCATCCTGCATGGTGGCCATATGCAAGCCTATTCGCAAGGCGTGCTGCCTTAAGGCTGGCCTATGGCGCGTGTCACGCATATCCAAAACGGCTGGACGAATTGTCCCGGAAGCGCCGATCGGCGGTACAGACATCGCGTCCCGCGCTATTGGTAGGATCAGCAACCCTACCTCTTTGTCCTACGAAGTAGACGACCAATACTGTAGATACATGATTTGCCATTCTCTCTTAATCTTCCAACTGGATAGCTTGTGCTTGAGAATAATATGGCTTGCTCAAATCTGAGCGGGCTCATTTGCATCCCGAAAGCAGCAAATGCTTGCGATTGAAGTATGTTAGTGTCATCAATGATTACCAGCTGAGGTCTGTACCAATCATAGCAATCAAAGCCCACTTAGCTCATCTACCCTAGAGGTTGAACAGTTGTGCTATAATCTCACACCCCGTGCGAGCTGTCCTAAAATTGAAAAAAAGACGTCGAAAATGTCCCTCTGTATGGCATTTCTATGATGGCAATTGGGGAACTTTGAGTATCTCACGTGCAGCTTAAGAATACACGTGCACATGGTATTCGCTCAGCATTGATATGGTACAATTGTAGATGCCTCGCTGTGCGGTATCGACCCGAGTGATGCGCGATATAGTACATTTCACCTCGTAGAAATTCTGGTACAGCACACTACCTCGGCCTACGCTTGCCTTGGTTGCGTGGTCGATCTTGCACCAGGAATGTGTGCTTGTTCCTCTTGTACCTTGTCTTGTAACCTCCTTTGGCCTGCATCCAATGTTAGCGGATGATACAGCAAGATGGGAGCTTTGGTAAGACTTACTGGGACGCCCCATGGACTGACTGGGTGGACATTACCCTTTGATTTACCACGACCACCACCGTGGGGATGATCAGCTAGGCAGTGTTAGCATGTTACAATCAGTTCAATCGAGTCAACTACTGACCTGCGTTCATGGCAAGACCACGAACTGAGGGCCGAATGCCTAGCCATCGGGAGCGTCCTGCCTTGCCAAGCTGTGCAAAATGTGCCTGGGGGTTGCTGGCAACACCAATGGTGCAGCACGCATCGGGGCTGACTTTGCGGATTTCTCCACTCTGTAGACGAATAATGACACTTGCAATCTCAGTGCCTTTGGATTTCTCAACCTCCTCCTTGTTCACCACGACGGCGTAGGTGCCAGCACTTCTGCAGAAGACGCCTCCCCCCTGGGTTTTGGAACCAATGTTGAAGATCTGCGAACCGAGGGGAACCATGTGAATGGGTAGACAGTTGCCTCGCGATGCAGTCTTTGCAGCCAGCATACCAGGATCGATGCCACCACCCATGCTGGCAATCAACTCTTTCGGGATACCGGTCCTGAAGCTCTCGACTTCATCCCCGGCCCTTAATCCGTCTGCTGCGATAATGTACGACTTCTCTCCTGTTTCGACTCGGGTGACGAGTGCCAGATGCGAGCTGCGGTTCGGGTCGTACTCTATCCTATCCACCACATGCTTCCCGGGCAGATAGCGCTTGTAGTCCACGACCCGTATCCGCCTCTTGTGCCCGCCACCTCTGTGCCGCACTGTGACTCGTCCTGTGTTGTTCCTCCCTCCCAGATGCTGCCCCTTCCGCGCGAACGTGAGCTTGAGGAACGGCCGTCCTTTCCACAGATGGTCGTTTACAGGCCGCTTCAGATGTCGCAGACCAGGTGTCCGAGGCTTGTATGTACGCAGCGGGATGAAGCGGTCTCTCCGCGAGTTGTCGGCCTGGAGAGTGCCTCCATTCGCGGATGCAGTGGGCTTAATGGACGGTGGGGGCACCTGATCGATGGCCTGGGCATAGGTCCGGGCAGACAGCAGCGCCCTCCCCAGCCGTGAGGGGTGAAAATGGCATATCCGTGGCTGCAGCATGCTGCTCTAGTGTGACCAAAAGCCGTCCTGTGCTGGCGGCGTTGCAATGGCTCCCTTTCCGATGGCGGGTGGTGTTGGCGATGTGACGAATAATTCTCAGCTTCACCCGCAAATGGCCTAGCCGCAAGGGTGGATCCTTGCGTCGTAGCAGGCAACGCGCTTTCCACCTCGAATCCTCGCCCAAAACACGACCTTTCCACGCCCACAGCAGCGCTGCACCTTCCGCAACTCTTCTCATTCAATTCGCCGTCTCACAATCACGGTACTCGGCTGTCTCGGCCATCTATTGCGCGTTGGAGGAAAAGTTTCATTGCAGGTAAGACATACGCGCTCGTCCTCGAGTGGGTCCCGCACCCGCCAGCCTCAGCACGACTTTCGCGCGGGCGTGTTTGGTGTGCCAAGCGTGGCCTGCCCTTGACCTCACAACAAAGCCTCTGCCGCTACATCTACCTCCCACAACACCCACCTTGGTGCAGCACCCCGACTCGCCCTCTCCACCACCCTTTTCCGTGCACATTGGAGCTGGAACAACTCCCTTCCCTTCATCCACCACAGTCGCCGCTCTCCAAGGGTTCGTCTCGCTGTTCTGCACGTCACAACACCATCGCTGCCGCAACGCATAGAGCGTGTCCGGCCTGCCAATACTCGCGGCCACCGAAGGAGACTCTGTCTATCAGACTCCTACACGTATACACGCGTGTTCGGAGCCCGCGTATTGTCAGCCGCCTCGCCTACTCGCCGCTGGTGCACGCTCTGTCGAACGCTGCTAATGCCATCAAACAGTGCATCAAAACACGACCTCTACACGCCAATACACCCGAGATAATACTCGAACGACTACCCATACAGACCATAGTCTTGATCAGCATACCTAATATTGTTCGCCATGCCTCCTGCCGTACGTCTCCTTTCGTCACGCTGCCGTCCAATGCAACTCGAGCTGTACATGCTTGGACGCGCTGCACCCGTTCAACACGTATCTCTAACACGTCTTCTAGGCGCGAGCCCTCAGACAGCGCACTGTCACCAACGAGAATGACGAGAACGCTGCTACCACGCGCATGACGCGCGCGAAGGCCGCGTTGGGCTCTCACGAGTCGGCCGCCGACGTGCCAAAGAAGGGTCTCCAGGTGAAGAAGTCGACCGCAACTCTCAATGGCGCTGCTGGCACGCGGAAACGTGCTGCCCTCGGCGAGGTCACCAACGTCACCAAGACGGAGACTGTCGGTGCTGGCGGCAAGGTTGGTGGAAAGAAGCCGTTGACCACCAAGGTTGGGCCCGTCACCCAAGCCTCCCGCCCCACCAAGATTGAAAAGGCTTCGCGACCTGCAACACAGTCGATCCTGTCCAAGGAGAAGAGGACCATGTCGTCGGAGCTGAAGCGCCCCCTGAGTGGATCTGGTATTGCAGGTCAGCCAGCCAAGAAGCGTGCCACTACCAGCAATGGCTCAAAGAAGGAGGATGTTGAGGAGGCCGAAAACGTTATGCCGGCGCAGAATGTCACGGCCAAGCCCGAGGTCACCAAGCCCACGACCAAGGTTGAGGTGCTCGAGGAGGAGCTTGAGGAACCCATCACCGAGGCATTCGTTGACCTCGACAAGGAGGACGTCGACGATCCACTGATGGTCTCGGAGTACGTCGTTGAGATCTTCGAGTACTTGAAGGAGCTGGAAATTGCGACCATGGCAAACCCAGACTACATGGAGAACCAGAACGAGCTTGAGTGGAAGATGCGCGGTATTCTTGTCGACTGGTTACTTGAGGTCCACACTCGCTTCCGCCTCCTTCCCGAGACTCTGTTCCTCGCTGTCAACATCATCGACCGCTTCCTCTCCGCCAAGGTCGTCCAGCTTGACCGCCTTCAGTTGGTCGGTGTCACAGCCATGTTCATCGCCTCGAAGTACGAGGAGGTACTGTCACCTCACGTGCAGAACTTCCGCCACGTCGCCGATGACGGCTTCACCGAGGACGAGATCCTTAGCGCTGAGCGCTTCGTCCTCGCTGCCCTGAACTACGATCTGAGCTACCCAAACCCCATGAACTTCCTCCGTCGTATATCCAAGGCCGACAACTACGACATCCAGACCCGCACCCTCGGCAAGTATCTCCTCGAGATCGGCTGCTTAGACCACCGCTTCCTTGCGCACCCTCCTAGCCAGGTCGCTGCAGCATCGATGTACTTGGCTCGTCTTGTCCTGGACCGCGGCCCATGGGATGCTACTCTCGTCCATTACTCCGGTTACACGGAGGAGGAGATCCAGCCCGTTCTGCAGCTCATGATCGACTACCTCTCCAGCCCTGTCATTCACGAGGCTTTCTTCAAGAAGTATGCTAGCAAGAAGTTTTTGAAGGGTATGTCTTGTCTATTCTACCGCGTTGACAGTATCGCTAACGTTTACCAGCATCCATCGTCCTCCGTCAGTGGGCCAAGAAGTACGTGGCTGAATATGGCAACGTCCTCGAGCAATCAGAGGAGGAGGACTCGCAGCCGCGCACCAAGCATTGAATAACGCCCCAGTAATCGAGCGACCTGCTTCAATCAAGCGTTCGCACTGAACCAACACGGCTGCGCGCCCACTCATCCATTGGATTTAGCCAGCCTATTCATGTTTGCATCTTGGCTATACCATTTTCAGTCGGCGTTAATACATGGGATACACTCTGCCCTCTTAGGCCTTCCTCGTGTCCCTTTTGTTTCTTTGTCTACATTTTGGAGCGGAGTCCGGCGTCCCGTCATCGCAATGGCGCATATGGAGCTTTGCTTTTCATCAATTCCATCTTCATTTCTCTGATAGCGGCTCTGGATACTCGCTCATACTAGCGAACGATATACCAATGATGGTTGATATGAGAGGCTATTGCTTGGTGGAGAAGACACTAGATTGATAGTTGGCGGTATGAACGAGGGCATGTATGATTAGGCCCTCGGCGTGTATGAGTAGGATGCACGCACGCAATGTCTCGTGTCGCATAGAAGCAAAGCCAATCGAAAAGTTCAAAATTCATTTTGAGACCAACAAATCACTGTGAATCTTGACGCTCATCCGAGAACGTGGGGAAGAGCCAAACGAGCCAAGGTGTACCATGCTACGCGTTCACGTACCCCGTCATGCACCATGGTCCAAGTGTCCGCGAAGCGCGAAGCGTGTGCGGTCTTGTTTACGCACCACATTCGCGATCCCCGACACGAAGCACCAGCCATGTCGCGTTCGGCGTGTCTCGCGATCGTCACGTCTGCATCAACCTCGGCCCATCGACGCGCGGTGTGCACTAAACCTCTTTGAACCTCGAATTCATAATCACTTCACTTCACACTCGATCAAGCTCATATCAAACACCAATAATGTCATTATAACCGTTCGCAAGATGAACGAAACCGATCTGCACTACCCCGCTGAAGCATGTCCGTTTTGCAACATTGCGAGTGCGTATCCGTTTCCTGACGCGCCGCTGTGGGAGGGTAGGAGCGAGGAACTGGGGCGGTGTGTACCGGCGGATGATGAGGCGGATGTAGACAAGACGCAACCGGGGAGTTTTGTGGTGTTGAGGAGTAGGGATGTCGTTGCTTTTTTGGACATTTTGCCCATGGTGGGAGGTAAGTCACGAGATGGAGACGAAGATTGGGGGGAAGCTGGAGATGGAAATGCTAATTTGAATAGGACATTTACTCGTAACAACGCGCCAACACAAAGTCAAAGTCGCGGACATGGGCGCCGTGGAATCTCGAGAAATCGGTACGTTATCATTGTTCTATTCATCTTCTATTTCAATTATTCCCTCCATACTCATGCCAACAAAAAAAAGGCTTCTGGCTCCCCCTCCTAGCCCGCACAGTCTCGCTCGTAACCGGCGTGTCAGACTACAACATTGTGCAAAACAACGGGGCGCGGGCGGCTCAGGTCGTGCCGCATGTGCATTTCCACATCATCCCCAGACCGCCGACGATGCCGGAGATTAAGAATAAGAGCTGGACTATGTTTGGGAGGGGTCAGAGGGACGATTTGGATGAGGAGGAAGGAGGAAAGATGGCAGGGGAGATGAGGAGGGTGCTTAGGGGGGAGGTGGAGAGGGTGGTAGGAAGGGAGAAGCTATGAGGGAGAAGAAGGGTTGTATGTTTTGATAGCGATGTTTTGTGTCTGCTGTGTATCTGTGGGAAGGTCCAAGGGCGAGTAATATTCAACGAATTACTGGCTTACGTCTATATGCCTTTCTAGCGGAGATGACTTGAGTAAGCTATGGTAGGTGAGCGTATGCATGTGCCGATCATGCGGCTATGGAGAGACTACGATCATAGTCATTTCCGAGCAATGTCTAGCTACACATTAGAATTGACGTCTGCTGTGAAAGCATATACCACGATTCCTACATGGTATCTCGATCTCCATCTGTCAAAAGTCTATGAGTTGACTGAGTCGCGCGACTCCGGGGTTAAGCTCGCGGGAGTGCAGGGATGACGTCCAGACCGCTCGCTGTCACCCATGGCAACCACCCAATAGCAACACGCTACGTTCGAGCCTCACCAGCACCGACACCGCCTATCTGCAGGAACAAGTCGTACAATTCTTTCATCGCTCGCTCAATTCTATTCTTCACGACTACAGACTTCACAAAGTTCAATTCCGTTCGCTTTCGACGGCTGTCAAGGCGGTAAACACGCAGTCCAGATGCAGCAAGCCGTGGGAAGGGAAGGCGCTGCGTCGCCGGGCCCTACGCATTTCTCGCCCCAGCAAATGAGTACGAGGGACTGTTAGTTGTATTCTACGCTGCCATATTAACAGTTGTATTTAGAAAGCTATCTTCAAGATCTTCGTACCAACCGTCCAGCTCGCCCCACCGGAGCTCGCCCAGCACCAGCACATTTTAACACTTGGTCCAGTAGATCAGGTCCGCGGCTCTCGGAGTCTTCCAACATATCGCCACTGCAACGAACCTTCACAGACCCCGTCGCCGATGTCGATGCCCGCCCATCGACTTCCCACGACGAGCCCAAGATGCATTCGCGCAGAACGTCCAAGATGAGCATAGACGAAATCATCCAGGGACCAGGAAGAGCACTGGTACAGCCTCCGCGAGGCCGGGACACGACAGATTCGTCGACTCGGTCAAGAACACCCAGCGTGCAGTACCGCGAGAGCGAGCAAAGGCAGACGGAGCAGGAGGAAGCACGCGCAGTCAGGATAGCTATGGAAGAGTTGGAGCTAGCACAGGAAGAGAAGCTTTTCGACGCTGCTCGTGACGAGGCGGCAGAGCTTGTTTACAAACACCGCAACCCAGACGCACCTGGGAAAGGTCCAACCACGCCATATGCTTATCCCGGACTTGCAAGTAAGGGCAGTACTCAAAGGAGTCGAAGTGTGGAACCAAAGGACCAAGACCTGCAACGGGCAAATTCGAAGCTAAGAAAGAGACATTCTATGGGCAGTGCGACTTCGGGCAGTAGGAGTAGTAGCTTGCAGAGCAATGGAGGCGGAAGTAGCTCAGAGTCCTCGGGTCTCAACACGTCGCCCACAAAAGAGGACTTTGATTCAAAGGACAAGGCTACTGAGTCTTCGTCCCTGAGGAAGGCTATTTCAGATCTGCCCAGCTTCGGTTCAAGACGCAAGAGCAGTGGGTCTCGACGCAAGATTAGTGGAAGCTTGTTCAGCAATCCAAATGACCAGATCTACGAAGAGCCGGAGGAGGACAGTCCAGCAAAGCCTAAGGCTGTGCCTGCTGCAACTGAGCCGCCCAAGTCTGAGAAGCTACCTCTGGGAATTCGACGCAACCCATTCATGCGGTTTCAGTCGGTCAAGGGCAACCCTATGATCCGCTCAAACACGGATCCTGTGCTGGGCAACAAGAACTTCGACCGCTATGAGATCCAGAAGAACCCGCCTACTCAATCGCGCAACGCTGCCTACACTCTGAACCCCTCTGTCGTCACGAAGCCAGCTGAACCCGTCAAGGCTGATGCTGAGAATGAGCCTGAGATCAAGATGAAGGACGGCAAGGAGATTCGGAGTGACGACCTCCGCGCTGCTACTGGGTTCCGTCTCCGAGACCGTAGCCCTCACTTGCCAACACCAACCATGGTCTCTGACAGTCCGGGACGACCCATTGTTTCTTTCAAGAAGGGCTACAACGAGATCGAACTCAAGGAAGATGTGTACGGGTCCACAGAAGCGCTCACACGGCCATCGGGTCCAAGTCCACGTCCGTTATCCAACGCTGTCACGTCTCCTGCGGTGCCAACAATTAATACCATGGATGATACAACCAAGAACACAGCTGCACCGCCTCCGGTACCTCAGATCAGCGTCTCCTCAACCCCACCGGCTGTTTTGTCAAGATTTAACAAAACAGAGAAGAAGCCCACCATCAACATCCACGAGGATGCCCCAGCAAGACCACTCTCAAGCGCAGCTTCCAGGAAATTCAACGCGCCCCCACCAGCAACTGCACCATCAAGGGCCAACAATAAACCCCTACCAGCTGCCATCAGCGCACTCTCAGCCAGTCTCAGCACCTTCGGTTCCTACGATATCCGTCTCGGAGACACCATCTATGATGCCCACCCGCCCTGCTAATACTCGTGGTCATAGTGTAAATGTGGCCGTCAATTGGTGTTTCTCCACCTGTCCCAAGTATATCGGTTAGTGAATCTCCAGCACCAAACAGGGGGCGGGGGATGAATGCACCTTCGATAGGTGTCACGCCGCCTGTTCCCAGCATCTCTGTCAGTGAGTCTCCAGCACCGAATAGGGGGCGTGGTATGCCCACACCGTCGATTGGGGTCTCTCCACCTGTCCCAAGTATATCCGTCAGCGAATCTCCAGCATCAAACAGAGGACGCGGTGGAAGTGTGCCTTCTATCTCAGTGACCCCTGAGATTCCGTCCATCTCTGTCAACGCAGCTCCTGTACCAGCTCGAGGACCCACAATCAATGCACCATCTATCTCGGTCACTCCTACCGTACCTTCAATCAATGTCAATGGCTCGACCGGATCAACACGCCCGCTGCCTGATCCGAAGCATCACTCTTCTCGACCATTTGGCCGCGGCGGTGCTACAACCAACACACGGGGTCACTGGACGCCCACTAACGTCCGTACCGGCGCTCTCTGCACACAATGCGCCCTGCCTATCGCTGGCCGCATCGTCTCCGCAGCCGGCTCACGCTTCCACCCCGAATGCTTCGCCTGCTACCAGTGCGGCGAGCACCTCGAGTGCGTCGCCTTCTATCCCGAGCCAGAAAACAAGCTCGCAGAGCGCATCGCCCGCATCCACGCCCGCCAACGCGGCGAAGACATTCCCTATCTCCCCACACACCCCACGCCCGACGACATGGCGCGTCTCGAGCACCAAGACGGCACCGATGAATCCCAGCGCTTCTTCTGTCATCTCGACTTCCACGAGATGTTTTCTCCGCGCTGCAAGAGCTGCAAAACGCCCATCGAAGGCGAGGTCATCGTCGCCTGTGGCGCGGAGTGGCACGCCGGCCACTTTTTCTGCGCGCAGTGTGGCGATCCGTTCGATTCGAGCACGCCGTTTGTGGAAAAGGATGGATATGCGTGGTGTGTGAATTGCCATACGCACCGGTACAGTACCAAGTGCAAGAAGTGCCGCAAGCCGGTTACGGACACCGTGGTCAAGGCTCTTGGGGCCGAGTGGCATGTTGGGTGCTTTTGCTGTGTGGTAAGTCTATGAACGGAATATATGGTTGATGAGCCATTGCTAATTGTTACTAGGAGTGCTCTGGTCCGTTTCAGGATGGGAGGTATTTCCTGCGCGGCGAGTCGCAGGATCCGGTGTGTGTTAAGTGCGAGGAACGGAGGCTCAAGGCTTGATTGGGGGAGCTGGCCAGGCTGGTTCTGGTGACGAGGTGGATGATGATTGTGATCATTTTGGAGCGATTTTGACAGTTGGTAATACACATGCATGCATAAGAAACGAACAGCATACTCGGTTTGGAGTTGGTATTGACTTGAACTTTTCAGCGTGGGGCATGGTAGGCGCGGTTGGGCGTTCTGGTAACATATACAGTCTTGTAATCTATGGTGTTCCCATTCTCAAAATAATACGATCATCAGGTACCATCATGCAGGGAGTGGTAAGATCGTGCATGTGACGAGTGAAGACATTGGCCAATCATGTGGAGTCCGACCACGACGGTTGCGATGCCAACGCACGACACAGCCGGCTCGGCGCATGAAGCCCAGCACCACAGCAGTCCAGTGGGTCTCCCAATTGACTGACGTCTTGCACACTTTCGCAATCCATTCACCGACCATTGTTTGCAGCGAACTCTCCAGCAACATGTAGGACATCAATCGCCGCAATCCATCCTTATCTCCGTACTAATCCAAGTATTCGCAGACTCCCAACAACTTGGCGCAGCACTACACGACTACATACATTCCTCCAGCGCAACGGCGCACCCTCTTTCCACCCCAATTAAAGCCTCCCCATATATACCCAAAATGCGCCCCGTCTTCGCCCCATTACTCCTTGCGCCCCTCGCCGCGCTCGCAAACCCCGACCTCATCGCACCCTTCGAACTCGCCCTCCCCATCTCGGAAAACAACTCCACCGACAATGAAGTAATCGACCTCCTCAAGCGCCAAAACAACGCCTGCGCAACAAACTACTACGCCTGCGCCGCCCTCAACGCCCCGGGGCTCTGCTGCCCGCGCACCGCAATCTGCACCGCCGACTCGAACCGCGCCGTCGCCTGCTGTCCGCAAGGCGCGCAATGCACGGGAACCCTGGGCGTCCCAGCAGCAACCACGGCATCGCTCCCCTCGACCGCGCTCGCCACAACCACCACCACCGCGCCGCCCTTCCAAGCCTCCAGCATCCCCAACGCAGGCTCAGCTCCGCTGTCAACGGTACCCAACGCCTTCTACCCCTTCCCCGCCATCCCCACTACTTACACAAACGCAGCTGCCTGCAGCGCTGCTTATTCCTCTTGCAGCAATGATGCTGCAAGTTGCACGACTGCGCTAGCGAATGGCGCCATGGGCGTCACGGTGAGTGCGCCGAATGGCGGCGCGACCATCACGGCTGTACCGAGCGTCGGGCTGGTGAGCGCGCAGAGCATCTGTAGCAGCTTGAGTAGTCTGGGGTGTAGCGGGTTGCAGGTCGAGGCGTGTCGCAGTTTTGGCGGCGAGGGGAGTGGCGCCACCATGAGGTGTGGGGGTGGGTATTTGATGGGCGCGGGCGTCGTGGTTGGGTTGGCGGGCCAGATGTTGCAATGAAGGAGGTTGAGGGGAAGGGGTTTACTTCTTTTCCATGTCGATAATATGGTTGGGTTCGGCTTGCTGGGGTTGTGACCTCATAGGCGGCCCGGGTCTGCATTTTCTGGAGTATTTTGTATGCAAGCGATGAAACTATGATTTTGAGGCAATTGTTCATATATGACATGTCAGGCATGTTTTGGACCTCAGTCTGCCTGTATATGCTTCACCGGCTTCATAGATAGCCGCGTCGTTGCACGTCCAACCACGTACTTGGGCATTTCAAATCACTTTACACACGTTGCTCGTGAATTGTAAACACTAATCGTCGGTCTGTGTGATGTGAAGACTTGATATGAGCTCACAAAGCCGACCAAAACAAAGGAAATATGTGATATGTGCCGATAGATGATAACGAAGTGTGAAGAACTCCAAAGCCATAAACATGTGGGGTATGTCCAGATCCAAAACTCCAAAAGATGTTTATAAAGACATCATGTTCAGCCATTTCGTCGTGCCAAGGATGTGCACCGTAATGAAAGCAGTTCACTCTCATGACTCGCTGCTGCCCTCGCCCTCTTCTTCTTCTTCGAGATCAGGCTCGTCGACGGCCCAGAGGATAAACGGGCCGTTGTAGTCGTTCTGGCGGCTGTTAGTCAAAAGATCGGACCAAAGAGCACATGTAAGGGCTCACGTTGAAATCGACGTTCTCTGAAGCATACCACCATCGTCCGAGGATGATGCGACCACCAGGCAAAACCACACCCTCGTATGCCCAGAGGTTGTCTTGTTCCACTTGATCAAAGTCGTCCATGAAGTGCTTCATGAAGGTGATACGCTGCCAGCCTGGGATGCCATGCTGAGGAGGGAGAGGGTTGAGCCAGCCAATGGCGTTAAAGTCGTCCTCAAGATCGACACCAGTGCCCGTGAACTGGACATTCTCTGAGCCTGGCTCGCCCTTTGGCTTCGCTCGGCCCTGGGGTTCGACCGTGTTTCTCAGAGAATGCAGGCGCTTCTCGAAGATGTTGGGCCACCGAAGCTGGGCACCTTCTACGAAATCGAGCTGAAGCGACTACATGTGCTTAGTACTGGCCACCAATGGCCGTCGCAGGTAACATACCTGAATTTTACCCTCGTCGACATTCTTATCGCAGAAGAAAGCTTCTGCATCCTCGTCTGACGACATCTTTCGAAGCTTCGTAATCTCTGGTACGTCGAGGAAGGAATATGTGCCCTTCCAATGGCTGCCCAGAGTGTAGGAGCCATTGCGCAGCGGCTCCTGCCAAGCTGATGGCTTCTGCATGGGAGACAGCTCACTCACAGCGTCGTACAAAGTCGCAGCCGCTTCGTTCATCATGTGGTCTCGGAAGAAGTTCAAACAATGGAGAACCCAATCCATGTTGATTTCGGAAAGGCTGGGACCACTGTAGAGAGGCGCCTTGTTGGTGGCCATATAGACGACGCGCTGTGACTCCTCTAAAGCGAACACCTGGTGATTTGCGTCCTCGAGCTCGAACAGAAAGTGAGAGCACATGAGCTTGACCGCTGCAAGCATGGGGTGTACGCTGTCTGGCTCATTCCGGGCTGGCGGTGCACGCCTGCCATTGAGGAGGATCTTGGAGTCGAGGACGAAGTTGCGCAGGACAGTATGGTTCTTGCAGCGAGGCCGCCCAAACTCGTCGATGCCGAAGGACCCCTGGAACGACTCTGCACGCTGTCAGTCACACTCATACACTTTCGGAACTACTGCTGAGTATGAAGCTGCCACTGCCTGGAGGGTGACGACTCACCGACGATCAAATCCTTCAGGACCAATATCGCATCCACCTCGCGCCTGTTATGTCCACGGTAGAAGGGGTACACTACCCCACGGCGCAGGTGCTTCGAGCGCACTTGGTATATAGACCTCAACTCAGTGTTTGACCGGCCTTCCTTGAAGGCATACTTCTCACGAAACTTCGCACGCCAAAAGGAACCCTTGTCGGCGTTGACTGCATTATTCGTACTACGACAGACGAAAGCGTACCTCGCTATGTCCTGGTCTGTGTCTAGTTCGCGAGCGATGGCTTGGTTGAGCTATTGGCTCCGTTAGCACGTACGCTGTTGGTGAAGTGAAGAGGAACGCACTTCGATGGGAAGGGCGTTAAAGGCCGCAGACTGGGAGGGAGGATCGCGAGCCATGATGTGTGAGCACTGTAGATTGAATCCAGATGTACTTGCTCGTCAGTTTGTTCGGCAATGCTCGACTGAGTGGGCGTAGACGAGAAGAAGCTGTAGCAGAGGACGTGAGCAGTGATATAGGGAGTGGAGACGCCCTAGCCAGTTGCTAGTGAGAGACGACTTCTGGTGTGTAAGGCCCGGTGAGGGTAGCAGGACTGTGTATTGTCGCTTCATGCGCTTGGTTATTCGACGTGAAAGTGCCTGCTGCTTCCACCATTACTTACTTGCCAACTTTGAGGATGCTCGTGCAAACGCAGTAGCAAGTGCAGATCACGATCACAGGCACTAGGGCTCTCGATCAGGTACGGGTCAAGCCGTAGAACGCTGTTGCCCGCGCAGCCAAAATGCTGTAGCTTCGCAGTAGTGAGTTTTGGTCATGCAGTCTGTTTGCCTGTGGCGACAGGGTCCACACGAGCACGTCAGAGGGTTGACAGCGACAGCGAGGTGTAAGTTCGATACGCAAGGCCATTGTGCGTGTGAGATGTCAGAAGGTGAGGTGGAGATCTGGCGGCAATTGCTAATCTCTGGAGTTTGGGTTTATTGGTGGAAGGTGCCACTCAGGACGAGCGCGCCGCGACATTTCGTGCCCGAGCTTGTGAGACAGGCAAGATCACAAAGCTGAAAGTCGGCATCACCATCTAAAGCTTACTTGCAAACAGAGTGAAATTTGTATGACGAGGGGTGCAGGCATGGAAGACCTTGAGTCGTTATCAATAATTCATGATATGTATGTATCTTGTAGAGGCGTGGAACACGCACATAATGAGTAGCGAGTGAGACCGACGGAAGTTGTTCAATGAATTAGCATGTCTTCCATCGTGCAGGCTGCGGATGCATTACGGTCGGATGCATCGCATCTCCACCATACCACTTCTTCAGATCACACCTTCAGCCTAGGGCAGCGCACCGCCAACAGCCGCCGCACCAGCGATCCAGAAACTGCCCTGACCGACCTTCCAACTCTTTACGCCAGCACCCTGGCTCGAACTCGGGGCTGGTGCATTACCTGTGTTGCTCCCACTATTTGAACCACCGGTCGAAACTTGGCGCACATCGTTTACGCCACTGCCATCTGTCTTGGTGATCATGTAGATTTCTCCGGTTGAATCACTGCTCATGAAGAGTCTGCCTTGGGAATCCCACGCAAGCCCCACAGGTCGGAAACAGTTGCTTGGGCATGCGGACAAGTCAGGGTTGGAGACGATGTCGATGGCTGCGGTAGTGCTGTTTGCCGCTGCGGTGGGTGAGCCGTTGCCATCGAATTCAACAAAACTGAGCTTGTAACCGATGGGTGCATCACGGTTCCTGTGCATTATCAGGAATGAACAAATTACAAGTCTGAAGAAATTACCATGAGCCATGCATCGTCACCCAAGCCCCTGTGCCGTTAGTGTTGAACTTCATGTCCAGAGGTGCCATGTGAGCTTGAAAGGTGATCCTCGGAGCTACGCGGTCTTCTTGACAGTACGTATCGTTCAAGGTGGCATTCTGAGTACCGATCGCAAAGTTTGACCCGGTCTTAAGGCCATTGTTGTCTGGTATCTCTGTCACGTTCCAAGCTGCGAAGCACGTTGGGTAGCCGAAATTCTTCCCCGTAACATCGCTCGTTTGGTTAAGGAATCCATGGTAGTTCAATTCCTCACCAGGATTGTTTTGGTTGATGGTTTGGCCACTCCTCTCGAGGTCATCCACGCTGTTCTCGACAGAGTAGACGGCACCAGTGACGGGATCTTCAGCGATACCTACTGAGTTCCTGAGACCCCAGCCTAACAACAGGCCATCCCGTGGCTGGTTGTATGCTGTGTCTGTGACGTTGCTCACATTGTATGCTTTGATCGTTGAGACTCCGCTGTTGATGTCTAATGTGTTGTCATCCAGGTTACCTTGGCTACCGCGGCTGACTAAAAGTAAAGAGGGCACTTTGCCGGACAGGAGAAGGGTGCGAGTCGTATGGCCGTCATTTTCGCCCATGTTCTCAATGATGGTGGATGGATTGCCCGTGATGCGGCCCTCTTGGGCATTGTACTGCCATCGGTAGACATGGTTGTAGGTCGAAGCATACAGCGTGCTACCATCTTGCGAGAGGGCAATGCCATGGCTGATCTGAAGAATGTCAGTTGCTGTTTACATCACCCGTCCACAATGATGCCATTTTCAGCAATGCGATCTTACCTCATTGTTATCAACGACTACCTGGGTTGCGCCGCTCTGCCTCAAGCAAGCACCATCTCCACTAAGCTGCAGCCTGCTGATCCCGTGTCCTTGCTCCACAACCAACAAGCCGCCCGCGGAGTCAAATTGGATACTTCTGGGGTCTCGCAGATTATTGGCGACAACCTGGACACGGAATCCTGGCGCGACCGAAGGTGCTCCATGTGCGGGGCCGATCGTGGAGCTGGGGCAAGCTGCCGCTGAGCTGGACTGAGCTTTGGCGGTCAGCGCGACATAGGCGAGACCGAACAAGTGTTTCAGCGCCATATTGACGGCTGACCGGTCTGTTCGAGGCAGTCAAATCGAATGATAAGCGGGTAATGCTCGTGTGGCTGCTTGTGCCGATGCAAGTACGGGTGAGGTATCGAGGATCAGATCTCACAGGGATGTCCAGGGCTGAGGGCAGGTAGATGAGTGTAAGCGTCGAGGGATTTTGCCTTCAGTCGTAGTTCCCGTGTTTGGGCTTGTAGACAGTAAGAAGGAAGTCCCCAGACAGTGACCCCTCAGTGGCAATTGACCTTGGAACCAGATCAATCGCACTCTCGCATTCCTTACATTGCTTGGCTTCGGTCGCGCGGACGTCATATTCTTGGGCAAACACATGTGCAGCTTTCAAACGCGGGGCTCGTTAGGGTTTTGCTGTTTCAGAGCCTACAGCAATGTGCCTGCCATTGGCGAGGAGATACGCACCGCTGACCTGGTTACACATGATACGTACTTGATTGACGCTGGTATGGTGGACCGAGAAATCAATTGGCGGTCATCTCGGCTTTCAGTAGCCCGAGTTAGGAAGGCGCCAAGCAGTGTTGATTGTCAAGACTGTTGGTTTGGCGTTGCGTAGAATTGGTCAGCAGTAGAAACAGGAATGTAGTGGATTCCAACAAACATGCCACCTGCATGATAGTGGAGAAGCCAGTCTGCCGCTTCGGCATTATATTGGCGAGTCGCGAATCTTGCCTCGTGGCTCTCTCAAGTAGCGGAAATAACAACAACAAAAACAAACACGCAAGTCTCGCCATCGCAGAGAGGAATCAAGGAAGAAAGAATTCTACAGTTGCATGTCACGATTGGATGAAACTAGTGCTGCGACGTGGCATCGCCTATCTGTTCGCCGGCATGAGATACCATCATCTTGGGTAAGGTATGGGCGCTCCGAGCATGTTCGGCTATCACGAGCCTAGCAGGCCATCGTCGAAACTTAAAGCGCCGGTTACGTGTTAGCCCTATGTAGGTTGCAGCAGTAGTTCGACCTAGCAACGGCTTCAGGGCGATCATACCATGCAGTGGGAAGTTTGCAAATAATGTTGAGGGGAGCATCGGAAGTCGGTAAGAGATCCTTCAATGCTTTGCAGCCGGTGAACATGGGGTGTCGTCAGATGTGGCGCAAATCAAGTGGGGATAGGCCTCTGGGTGCTCCATGTTCCGTTGTCAATACGGCAGCCGAAGCTCGAGCCCTCGCGGAACGTACCACTTCGAGTACGATGATGTATTTTCACGTAAGAGCCATCCGAGAGTGTCATTTAACAAATATTGGAAATTGTATATTCGCGTCTCGAAGGACTGCGCGTGCTGGCCGTCAAGTAATCGAGGCTGATTTTTGAGCTTGGCCCCGGTTGATCGAATGAAGACCAAAAAAAAAAAACAAGGAAACAAACCCGAGACCGAAAACCCTCCGCTTTTGTACATGATCCGGCGTGACTCCATAATGCGACCAAAGCCTGCGTTTCCTTGGTCAAGTGCCCGGTGATATTATATGTCCTGTATAACGCCGCTTTGAGTAGAACAAATAGCAAAGGACGGCGTGGCGCGTCCATCCTCATTCCCTGTGTGTATCATGGCCAGGACCTATGCAAAAGAAAATTGGGAATGCAAATTCGCTCCAAATGCAAAAACTAGCCGGGCGTTGTAGCCTGGCCAAAGGAAAAATGTAGGGTCAGGAAGCCTGAGAAGCCTCTGAACCCCACTCGAACGCTGCGATCCAAAGGAAAAGTATCCAGAAGAAATCGTGTTCCCGCACAAACTTTTTCTAGAAACCCTGACCTGCTCGAGGTCCATCTATATGCTATTGCGTGTCCTGGATCGTTGCTTTTAGTGTCGTTGCGACATCCCCGTTACACCATTGCAGCCTATTTTACATAACCGTCATTCGATGCATTTGTGCTGCGAGATCTGTGTCCTGTTGGAACAAGTTGCTGAAAGGAGGCTCTTCGTGTCTCGGACTAGCGTTCGGGCTGGAGTACAAGCCTTCCGCATCTCTTATGGCATCTTTCACTTTGCGCGTCAACGTGTTGACATAAGGGACAATGCGTCGCAAGGTTGCTGTGTCGAACGGAACCTTCTTTGAGGAAGGAGTAGGAGGCGCACCGTCGCCTTGCTCGAACACGCTTTTCCTTTTTTGCAACGCCTCGATTACAGAGCGCGCTTTGGCCTCTGAGTCCTTGCGCGGCCGTGTGATGATTGTCTTGGACCCCGAGATTTTTCTCGGCGTTTCGTAGTTGGATTTCGGCGGGATTGGGGAGGATTGGGGTCCGAAGATGCCGTAGTTGGGGGGAAGGATCGTCTTTCGTCGAGGCTGTGATGACTGGGTAGGAGTTCGAACGGTATCATCGCTGGGTGATGGAGACTTGCGCTTTCGCCGGCCTAGACTAGGACTGGCACCTGGGCCAGATAGCTCATCAAAGGCATCCTCGTCAAAGCCTGGTGAAGATGGAGGCGACAAGCGAGAAACTCCTTCATGATCCGCCTCTTGGTCTGCAAGATCTATCATAGCATCGACCTCTTCCCACATTCCTGATTGCGGACCGTCTATTATTCCGAGCGCGACAGCTCGCACCTTGTGTTCCTTGAGCTCTTCAATGAGGAGACCCCACTCGCGCAATAGGCCAATGTTTGCGAGAACGTTGTTTTGCTGCTCCTGAATGCTCTTTGGTACGACCATGGCTGTACCACTGTCGACTCTGGGCGCTTCATCTGCATCTTCTGCGGCAGGGTCTTCGTTCAGTTCGGAAAAGTCAAAGTCGTCGTTCCAATCTTCAGTGACACCCTTACTGCCTACCCCCCAGGTGCCGAACTTGTTCGTAACAACCGTGTTACGTTTACCTGTCGCATCTGGTACAACGGGAACACTCTGGCTGCGGGCGTGCAACCCGCTAGGAACTCGTCGCCCAACAGATCGACTGCCTCTCCGATCTGCGTCTTTCTTCCCATGAACGGTTCGAGGGCGAGGAGGGGTGCGGTTGCCCGAACTCTTGTCGGCGGGCTGCTGTTCGGACCAATCGAAGATGCTGCTGCGCGCCTCCCGATCACAGTGATCTGCTGTGAGATGTAGTGGTGTCGAGGGCTTGGGACTAGATCCGGTAGCGAGGAGGCGAGGGTTAGAGCGTTGCAGTGACACAGGCGTAGCGGCGTGGCTGACTGTCGGTAGATCAACCCAAGAGTCCTCAGCATCTTCCTCTTCATGAGACCACCTACTGCTATCGTCGTCCCCTGCGCGCGAGTCCCATTCGAGCGTGCCAAGCGAGAGCGGCTTTGGCATGCTCGGAGGAGACGAGGGTATTAGATTAGGAAATAAGGGTGCGCTGTGCGTCCGTGTAAAGCTCGGCGAGTCCTGTAGAGATCGCTCGGGTCTTACCGTCCGGACAGGTGTCGAGATGCTTTCTTCTTCCTCGGCGATGCTGTGCTGGCCAAAGGCAGCATTGACGATGGGCTCGCCAAAAGCGCCAGGAGGCAGTAGGTCTCGTAGGGCTGTCACCTTGACCTTGGACGGCGGCGATTCATCAAATATGGTCTCTATGCGAGGCCCTCGCGGCCCGCCCGACGTGCTCCTGGTCGCGCCAGTACGTAGCGAATCGAAAAGGGTTTCGCTCTGGAAATCGGCGTCGTCCTCGTCGCCCGAACCTAAACCGCGAACCTCATTATCAGACGAGCCGACCAATGTCGAGGCTTGTTCAGAGGGCGCCATGGAATGACGCGACGGACGAACCCCCGGTTGCGCTAAGGTTGGCGACGGCGGCATGTGATTGGCGAGTGCCGCGGCTGAGGCAGTCACCTCGAGCTGAGGCATTGACGCCAAGGCGCCTCCAGGGCCAGAGACAGGAGCAGCGCTACGGACCGACTCCTCGGGCAACGGCTGCGACGAAGAGGCTCCAGATGGTTCATTTTCGAGTGCCGTGTGGGATTCGGCAGATTGCAAGGGCCCCGCGGAGGTCGCAATGTTGCGTTTAGTCAGAGTTGGGTCCGTCACTCGTCGGCGCGCATCTGCGAAATACGAGAAGCTGCTTCGCCGACGACTCATAGTGGGCGTGGGAGGCGCTGAGCTGACCCGCTGGCTCGCCCTGCGCGATATTCTGCCGCCGCGAGCTTTGGCCGTCGCCTGTTTTTTGGTAGAGGAAAGCAGGTCGGTGATGGAGAAGGAGCGTCTGGGCCGCGCCGCATCCTGGGAAACGTCTGTCGTCGAAGCGTGCTGCGGGACCGCGTCGAGGGCGTTTGTGCTGGTGGTGACAATGGTTGTCATGTCCAGCGGGGTCCCGGGCCTGCTCACGAAAAACACACTTTCACCAGCCTCGCTGTCCAGCTCTTCTGCACCAGCCGAAATGGATCGAGCAAGAACCAGCGTCGGCGTGTGCTTGCCGTCGGGCACGATTGTGCGGAAGCCCAGCGCCTTCGACAACGGGCGGTCCTTTGCAACTCTTGCTGTGAAAAAATGCGTGTACTCGGGCTCGCTGACTGTGCTTGCTCGTACCGACTCGTGGACTGATGCGTCTTCGGCAGTCATCTCGAGCAGCGGGCTGTGGTACTGGAGCGTTGCCGACCGCTGGTGACTCGTGGCAGGGCGGCGGAACGACGGGCGGAGAGATCCTGAGCCCGGGAGAGGTGTTTCATGAGGGCGCCGAAGCGATGACGACCGCTTTACGAGCTTGTTTGGTGGCAGGGGTGAAGGAGATCGTCGTCGGCCGATCATGGGTGCTGTAGAGCCATCATGCGAGAAGGCCATAGAGCCATTGGAACACGATACAGACGGCGAGAGCGGAGCGGGACTGGGGCTGGGATTCCTGCTCGATTGCGGCGAATTTGAAATAATAGAAAGGCGTTGTATCCACGAGCGTCTGCGTGAGGGAACATGCCCCGTCATATCCAGCTCGACTGTATCCTGCTCACTCGTGGCATAACCCTTCAGTGCACCACTAGATGCTTGCAGGCCCGTGTCGCCGCTTGTCATCCTCCTCATCATGCGCCGTTGGGGGCGTCCATCCTGGCTGGGTCGAGCCGAAAGTGAAATCCGCGAGGCAGGAGCGATGGAGATAGGGGCACCGAAGGGAGGTGCGGTCGTAGTCGTCGCAGAGGTGTGAACGGCAGTAGACATTGATCCGGGGACTAGCTCTCGAGCGAGCGTAGTTTTCTTCTTGTTCGAGTGTGAGGAGTCGAAGGGGGTCTCGCGTCCAAAAGACAGACCAACCGCAGATGCACCAACGACAGTGGCAGTAGCACAAAGCTGTGTGACAAGAGTGCGTCAGTCATGGCACTTTCGTACAACGAATATGCGAGGTATCTCGAGGTAAGACAGAATCACCGCCGCTCTCGGCAGCAACGCAGCAGAGGCTGCGAGACATATCAAAACAAAGCAAGGGTTGCCCGTCGATGCGGTCCGATGCCACCACCAGACGTGAGGAAAATGGAGAATACATACAGTTGGACAAGTTTTCATTCTCGTTAGTAACCAAGCCGCCGGGGAGAGCTCACTCGTCGAAACCTCTGTGGCGACGCGTTGAGCATCATGCCCTGTCGAGGTGCCGGTGAAGTGCAGTCCGGCACGAAGCTGCACGGAGAGCGATGGAGTGGAATGGAGGGGCTCAATTAGACAGACTCTCTATCATCACTGTGAGCAAGGTGACAAAGGGCGGCTAGAGCAGCCGTAGCGGGCTGAGGCAGGTAGGTGGAGCTGCGCTGAAGACGCGGACGGCGAACTGGAAGAAATCCGCTGCTTGTTGCTTCTAGGATCTACATACAGGGCTACCCAGCTACGTAAACCCGCTTGGGATTAGCGAGATGTCGCCGATGAATTGGGCTGATAGCGCCAATGTCGAAACATAACACGGAGTCAACACAGGCCGCATGCCTCACTCTCCACCGTCATAGCTTCATGCTGCAACAACATGGACATTCTCTGCAAGCAAAAACTCGGCCAGGGCAGCCTCTTGTGTACCTCAAAAGCAGCATGACGGTATGGGCGAAGTGCATCATTCGGTACCACCACGCTGGCGAGCCTGTGTCAGAGATAGCGCCGAGTAACCATCCACCAGCAACCAGGCACGCAGAGGCTGGCCGTGGCAGCAAGTGAACCCCTCGCAGCTAACGCGGCCCAAAATAGTCTACCAGACTGGTCCTGATAGCATCTCGGAGCATGGTAGCAGGCGCGCGGTGATTCGCAAGTGGCTGTCTGGAGAGCGCGCGTGTTCCCTGCAAGCGCAAGTGGAGTTTGCTGATCGCGGCGTGCGGTGCGTGAGTAGCAACCGGTTTATGTACCTCATCGGTCCCTAAAGTAAAGCGTGCCTTAGCTCGTACAGCCATTGAGCCTTTAGCCAGTTCTCCGGTACGATGACAACAACAACAACAAAAGAATTTCTCCGATACAACATAGGCAAAATTAGAGCCGTCCAAGGGAGGGTGGTGGGCATGCTCGCGAATGCACGAGACCTTGTAGATTGCTGCTTCGGCACTAAACTTCACCAATTGCAGTTTGCAGCTTCCAAGCAGCTCCTTGTTGCTCGGATCCTGGACCAAGCACGTCAGCCCCAGGGCGGAGAAGCTGGCAAGGGACTGGAACAAGGATGGAGGATAGGCCGGAACTGAGTACCCATGCGAGCGAATTCTGATCCTGGGTGAAGGCCCCGTGAGCGCACGAGGCGTGATAGCAATGTAGGCATCCGTGGTTGTGAAGACAAAGAAGTTTCAAATGTGCCCCGTCACAGTGATGCCGTGAGCAAGTCGGACGTGAGGTCCGGCTTGGACAGCCCTGACAGCCATCCAGCTATCAGTCATCCGATGCCCGTCTGGGCGTAGCACCTCACGAAAACTGCCGTGTCCATCCCTCGGGGTATGGCCGCGAACGTATACCAATATTCCTCAGTACAAGGCTTGCAGACGGGACCTTGAGTGGCCTGGGCGTGGTGAGATGATGGCACAGTGTGATCAGCAATGTTTACTGGGCAACACAACATGCGCGTAGCCGGAAATCCTGGAAGCACATCGCTACGATGCCGCAGGAAGGGTTGTGCAGGTCAGCCTCTCATGTGAGGAGCTCAACGCGGGCCGGCATTTTCTTTTGGTAGGCACAAGGCAGCCCTCCCTGATTGGCTCCCGCCCTACTTCTAGAAACACGCCGCTCCACACGCCACTAGCATCTTCATCAAATTCCGCGTGCCAATCGCTAGCACAAACGCCCAACGACCCGCCACTTGTGCGAAAACACTGACGGTTACCACTGCTAGACGCCTTCAAGACACGTGTTTCCGATTTCTCGCCGACTTGGACGCCACCGTTGAGATCCGATATTGACAAGTGTAGCACAAAGCGCCGTCCTCGCATCTCATCCTAGACGACCACCATGGAAACCGAAATTAGAGCTCAGATCCCCAACATCGATCCCGTTCTTTCGGAGTACTCCGTGGGGTATCTGACCCATGCTGCAAGCTCCTTCTCGTCAGACTCTGACCCCAATGCCCCCTCGCCACTCGAGGAAGCTGCGGCGGCTGTGAGCGCACTGCTCCTGTCCGCCTCTGGAGACCTTTCGAGCAAGAATGAGACCACCATTCAGAACCTCGTTGACAAATTCGTCTCCCGTCTCAATGTTGCAAATGGCACCGATAGTGAGCGGCGTCAGATGGCACCATCTGCCAGAAAGCTTGATCAAGCTATCCACGTGGGTTCCTCGAGGAACATCTCCACCACACTTGGTCTTGCGGGCGCTGCCGTTGACCTTGAATCTGCAAACACGCGTAAGGTGGAATCCAGAGTCGACAAGAAGAAGCTAGAAAAGGCTGAGCGCAAACTTCGTGCCAAGCAAGATCGTAAAGAGTTCAAGAACGTTGAATACGAGGCATCACGATTACTCGACACAACGGACGAGGCTCAAAGCTATGAGGAGTTCTACATGTCTGTCAATCCCTTGCAGCTGGGCTCGGATGCGCAGTCGAAGAGCAAAGATATCAAGATCGACAGCTTCGACGTTTCCATGCCTGGTCTGCGTATCCTTACTGACAGCTCCTTGACACTGGCATATGGTAGGAGATATGGTCTTGTTGGCCAAAATGGTATTGGAAAGTCCACGCTGCTTCGAGCTCTCGCCCGTCGCGAGGTCAATATTCCCACTCACATTTCCATTCTGCACGTGGAACAAGAAGTGAGCAAACCACGCCAGTTCTTGTTAATTAGGTATTGACTCCACTCGCAGATCACAGGTGACGATACACCAGCTTTGCAAGCTGTCCTGGACGCCGACGTTTGGCGCAAGCATCTCTTAAGGGAACAAGATGTATAGTTGCTTTCACCCGCCCCATCTGACCAGCGCTGATATTGTGCAGAAAATCACCAAGGAACTGGCCGAGATTGAAGCGGAACGTGCTACAATGGCAGATACATCTGCTGATGCTGCTCGACTAGACACCCAGCGTGAGGGTCTCGACACGACTCTGAGTGATGTACACTCCAAACTTGCCGAGATGGAGTCCGACAAGGCTGAGTCCCGAGCCGCCAGTATTTTGGCAGGTCTTGGGTTCTCCACCGAGCGACAACAATTCGCAACCAGGACTTTCTCTGGAGGATGGAGAATGAGGCTGGCTCTTGCTCGAGCACTGTTTTGTGAACCCGATCTCCTCCTTCTTGACGAGCCTTCCAACATGTTGGATGTCCCATCTATCACCTTCTTGGCCAACTACCTCCAGGGCTACCCCAGCACCGTGCTCGTTGTATCTCACGACAGAGCCTTCTTGAACGAAGTTGCCACAGACATTATTCACCAGCACTCAGAGCGACTCGACTACTACAAGGGCGGCAACTTTGACTCGTTCTATGCAACCAAAGAGGAGCGCCGAAAGACAGCAGCGCGCGAGTACGAGAAGCAGATGGGAGAGCGTGCGCATTTGCAGGCTTTTATCGACAAGTTCCGTTACAACGCCGCGAAGTCTTCTGAGGCTCAGTCGAGGATCAAGAAGCTCGAGCGTATGCCAGTGCTCACACCGCCGGAAGCCGAGTACACTGTTCACTTCAAGTTCCCAGAAGTGGAGAAGATGTCGCCGCCTATTATTCAGATGACTGATGTTACGTTTGGGTACACGAAGGACAACATACTGCTCAAGAACGTTGATCTGGACGTACAGCTCGACTCCCGCATCGGCATCGTCGGTCCAAACGGTGCTGGTAAGACGACGGCTTTGAAGTTGCTGATCGGTGCTCTCCAACCCACATCTGGACTGATTTCACAGAACCCGCGTCTGCGAGTTGGGTTCTTCGCACAACATCACGTCGATGCGCTCGACCTCAATGATAGCGCTGTTGGCTTCATGTCGAAACAATACCACGGCCGAGCAGACGAGGAGTACCGTCGGCACCTGGGTGCGTTCGGCATTACGGGTATGACAGGTCTGCAGAAGATGGAACTGCTTTCCGGAGGTCAGAAGTCACGTGTTGCTTTTGCCTGTCTAGCACTTCAGAACCCCCACATCCTTGTTCTCGACGAGCCTTCCAACCACTTGGACATTGAAGCGATGGACGCACTGTCAGATGCGCTCAACAAATTCCAGGGAGGTGTTTTGATGGTCAGTCACGACGTCACCATGTTGCAGAACGTGTGCAAGAGTCTGTGGGTGTGTGATAACGGAACAATTGAGCACTTCGACGGAAACGTGGCGCAGTACAAGGCTCGAATCACTGCGCAGGCCAACGCAGCTGGAGTGGTCGCGAAACATTAGGGTGGACATTGTGATATATACCTGCTAGACCCAATGGAACTCGTACAGCAGAATAGCTTCACAACCGCGAGGAGTGCCATTCCTCTCCAGGAACTCGGTTGACGATACAGTAGCTTGACTATGCCAACATGTGGCCCTGAAGCGTGACACAGTTTGGAGAGCACCGAGTACTGGGCCATTGTTGTGACGATGTGGCTAGGCCTTGCCTATCGCGGAAGCGGAGGGCACGCTAGGCCCGTCTGGCTGCGGCGAGCACTGGATGCCCTCACTTGACTTCACCTCACATCGCGAGCTCACACACGCGCACACAGACCCACACGCCCGCCTCAAGCAAACAATCTTCCTTCACGCCCACTGCAGCTCTGCCCAATGCCCTCGGCCGGCTCGTGATCTCGAAGCGCACGCGATTAATTGGCAGCGGCTGTTAGCGCCCTCCTACCCCTTCCAGGCTCGCCAACGACCAGCGGCTTCCCGTCCAGTCCTCAGCACACCGGCACCTTGTCGCGCACGCAAGCTCCCAGCACAGACGGCTTGTCCGTAGTCACTCCTTTGTCTCCGAACACCAGCAGCAGCGAAACCTCACACGCAGCCTACACCGTGACCGCGCCCGCGAGCATCGACGCAGCTCTGAGTGCCGCCAACGAATCGCCGCACCCGCCTCCCTTCTCCTCGCTCTACTTCCCGGCGCGCGACACCGACGAGCAGCGCAACAAAGCGTGCCACGCCCCAGGAGACGAGTCGCCGCCTGCATTTGCTGCCGCGCCCCCATTCACCGAGTCCGAGTCCGCGTCCTCGTCCTCTGCCGCTGCCGCAGCTGCTGCCGAGACCAAAGCTGCACTCCCGCGCGACACCAAGGACGGATCGAGCCGCAAGGACATCGACGACGGAGAGCCCCCGCCACCCTACAGTGAAGGCTACAGCCCGCTCGAGTCGTTTACTTACGTCATGGCATCTGCCGGAGGCCCTGCGAGTATTATTACTCAGGTGTCGCAAACAAGTGCTGGGCCGCCCATCAACACGCTTGGCGGCTCTGACGAGAACATCACCCTGGAACTGAGGTGTGTGGTCGCCGTCAGACCAGATCAGACCAGCGCTAACATCTCTACAGAGGCTCCCGATTCACGCTGTCAAGGGACGAACTTCTGACGCTACCAGAGTTTGTTCTGCTCTCTCTCTTTCCCAATGGCCTTCTTCCAGATGGCCACATGAACTCCTACCACGATGGAGACGTGTACCCAGTCGACGTTGGTAACCCCAGTCCCCCCAGTCCCCCCAGTCCCCCCTCGCCCCCGTCCGATCTGCCCACAGGCCCCATGGCCAAGATTATGTATCACCTCTCCAATCCCACATTATACTTATCTGACAACATATATCTCTCACAGTACGATCCCAATTCTCTGCAATACATGCTCGAGTTCTTCCGCAATGTCGCCCAGACCATCCCGGCTTCACCTCCCTCCCCGACCGCCTCCCCAGACCACCCAGCCGAAGCTGTGCCAATTGAGCCCATGCACGGGTCTGCCAGAGACATGTTACAGGATCGCGCGGGTATTATTGTTCTCCGAGAAGACCTCGACTTCTACGCGATCCCGCCGCACCGCGACATCACGCAGCCCGACATGATTGAGGTCAAGCGAGCTGCGGGCGAGGCTCTGCTGAGACAGGATGGCATATTCTCTGGTCTTAGGAAGAGCGAGGAGCCAGGTACAACGGAGCAGCATTTAATCGAGATGTTGACTGCTGGGTAAGGACAACACGCTTATCACGCGATGCCGCGATGACTGACACTCGCACAGTGGTTTCAATCACGACGATCAGTGGGGACACCGCGCTGGTGAGCCCAACAAGGCCGTCATCTGCAGTATCGCGCTTGCACGTCTGAGAACTGACATCAAGGGTAACGACCTCGCTAATAGCAACGCCGTTGGCATGGCACAGAAGCTACTGCTTTTCTGGAGGAAACCCGCTCGTCGCTGCTGGTGGGAGGGCGTTGAGCTTGACAACGTCAGAGGTGTCGAGGGCAAGCTCAAGGTCTGGATAAGAAGAGTTTGGACTCTCGAGATGGTACGTGTTGAACGCATTTAACACATGAAATCTGCTGCTAACCAAACACACAGAGTGTCATTGGCCTTCGCTAGGACTTGTCTTCGCTTTCCTTTGTTCTCCTGCCCCGCTACTTTCCTTGTATTTTGAAGAGCGCACCGACCAAGGGGGAAAAGTTCCGCAGGGCTTGTCGTATATCCACTTCATCCAAGCCCCCATTTTTTCCATTCTACTGCGTTTTTGATACCTTTGTCTGCATTGCTGCCAGTGCAGAGCCAGATATTCATAGCAAAGCGTTGGCATAGTTCTACATTGCTCAAATTACCACGGGCGGGTTCCTTTACTACAAAAGAGACTGGAAGGGAAGGAGCAGTACATAAAGCTTTACATAGCGAGCCGAGTAGGTAGTTAGTAGTCATGTTTTTTTGGGACGTGTCAAGCAGATTCCATCTATGGGACATGTAGTAAATTGTAATATCCGTTTCCCTTGAATATTCTGACGATGAGTCGACTCCGCTATCGGAACTCGTTTGCATTCTCTCTCCACAAGACTTTGCGGCCAAGCACACGTTCTCGTCCCGAGCAGAGACATGAGTGAAGTTACTTTGGTACCGATGCTCGTGTGGCGCGCCCTCACAGCCACGCTTTGATGTCGTGACACTGTTGAACTGGACGCACATCCTTGATCCTAGTCCCTGGTGCCTGCACTGTCTCACGACATGGTGAGGCTTGGGGGGAGGAGGAGGAGCATGAAACGTTGTTTGTGCACTGGGTACGAAGGGAGAACTGGGGAGGGCAAAGGTGGGTCTTGGTGTGGAGATTGTGCAACGATGATGGAAGTGCTGTGATATGGAGGATTGGATGATTGGAGAGAGAGAGAGAGAGAGAGAGAGAGAGAGAAGAGGGGATAATACATGGATAATGTAGAACTTGCACTTGCCATTTGCCATCTCGCAGTATATAGTATCTCATCTTCCCCCCAAAACAGCTGTTCTACAAAATAGCTCCTTACGAACACTTTCTCATAAAAGAGATTCATGTCTCTCGACAACACTCCGCCCCGCATGAAAGATCATCACGGCCTCGTCAAACACACCTTGCATGTCTCACTCGACTTGTCGATCCCACACAATAGCGTGCAGTCCTGCGCGCAAGGGAGACTCCCGGGCCGATACACTACCATGCACAGCGGGAACCTCATGTACGGGGCTTGCAGCGGATGTATTGACAACGCAGAGGTGGGTGAGACGGCCGGATCGAGCAGAGACTTTGGCGGGCATGTTGTGTAAGTATGTAATGCACATGTCAATGTCAGAGATGCTGAGACTGGTTTGTTCTGCATGCGTCATGCGAGGACGGGCGGGGGGGATGAGGCCTGCATATGTCAACGAGAAGAGTGCAGCGGGCGCTGGTGTTGTGCTTCATTGACGGGATGAGGGCCCGTTGGCGAGGTGGATCACTGATAATATATGCGAGAACACAGATGACGATGACGATGACGATTACGAGAACGACGATGAGAGTCAACGCGAGCTCATGCCCACAACTTGTTGATTCTCGAGTCCTTGTTGATGGCGGACCACTACTACTAACTACTAAACTGCCTCTTTTAAGGCGTCTGTCTACCTCCCTCGTAACATTTGGGTATCATCCGTATGCCTGACCATGGTTGAAGGGTCAAGCAAGATGATGTGTGCAAGAACAACGCCTTTTTGAACCAATATAAACCCTCCGAGTCCCAGACTCGAAGCTATGCCGTTGAAGACAAACAACTTTTCAGTAGGGTATCATCCCAGATTCATAACGTCGTGTTGAAACTTCCCCGCGCCTTATGCATGATATATTATAAACAAGTTCTCTAGTAACGGGTAGATGTCGCTCTTGAAGGGACCTTCGACGGGGAGGCCGAGGTACTCGGCCTGCACGTCGCTGAGCTTGGAGAGCTCGACGTTGACGTGGTCGAGGTGGAGGAGGGCGACCTGCTCGTCGAGGATCTTGGGCAGGACGTAGACGCCGACGTCGAGCTTGCCGGTCTTGCCGAACTCGATGTACTTGTTGCCAAACGCCTCGTCCGAGGCCTTGTACAGCATGATCTGGGCAAGGACCTGGTTGGTGAAAGAGCAGGACATGACAAAGGAGGAGTGACCAGTGGCACAGCCCAAGTTGACGAGACGACCCTCGGCGAGGAGGATGATGTGGCGGCCGCTGGGCATGAGGTAGCGGTCGACCTGGGGCTTGATGTTGGAGACGGACTTGGCGTTCTTCTTGAGCCACGCAACGTCGATTTCGATATCGAAGTGACCGATGTTGCAGACAATGGCGTCGTTGGGCATAGCCTCGAAGTGGACGCCAGTCAGGATGTCACGGCAGCCGGTGGTGGTGACGAAGATCTGGCCCTGGGACGCGGCCTTCTCCATGGTGGTGACCTGGAAGCCAGAGACGGCAGCCTGGAGAGCGTTGATGGGGTCGATCTCAGTGACGATGACGCGGGCACCCATGCTGTGGAGAGCCTGGGCACAGCCCTTGCCGACGTCACCGAAACCAGCGACGACGGCGACCTTGCCGGCAATCATGACATCGGTGGCACGCTTGATGCCGTCGACGAGCGACTCACGGCAGCCGTACAGGTTGTCGAACTTGGACTTGGTGACGGAGTCGTTGACGTTGATGGCGGGGACGAGGAGGCCCTTGCCCTTGAGCATGCGGTAGAGGTGGTGCACGCCGGTGGTGGTCTCCTCGGACACGCCGTAGCAGTCCTTGAGCATCTCGGGGTACTTCTTGTGGACAAGGGCAGTGAGGTCACCGCCGTCGTCGAGGATCAAGTTGAGCGTCTGGCCGTCCTTGAAGGCAGTGAGCTGCTGCTCGAGGCACCACTCGTACTCCTCCTCGGTCTCGCCCTTCCACGCAAAGACGGGCACGCCGGCGGCGGCAATGGCGGCAGCGGCGTGGTCCTGGGTGGAGAAGATGTTGCACGACGTCCAGGTCAGCTCAGCGCCGAGGGACTTGAGCGTCTCGATGAGCACGGCGGTCTGGATGGCTGCGTGGGGTCAGCGTGGGGCTCTTTCTCTCTTCCCGCGACACCGAGAACGGCTTACTCATGTGCAGGCAGCCGGCAATGCGGGCGCCCTTCAGCGGCTGGTCTGCGGCGTACTTCTCGCGCGTGGCCATGAGACCGGGCATCTCGTTCTCGGCGAGCTCAATCTCACGGCGACCGAAGGCCGCGAGACTGATGTCAGCGACCTTGAACTTGTGTGCGGGAGCGGACATGATGGCGGTTATGGGAGGAATGAAGGGATGGAGAGGGGAATTGGGAGGGAGAAGGAGGGATGAAAAGGCGGGAGCAAAGATGGAGGGCGCGTTGAACTTTTATGCCCCGCGTCAAAGGGCCCCGCCGCAGCTTACTCGGCGACAATTGGCTCCAGTAATTCACCGCTTTCCACCGCTAGTGTACAATGCCACTCCGAATGCCATCTGCCGCGTCGTTTCGGCGCTGATGCATTCCTTAGTCGTCTCATCGCTGCCAGAATCAAAGGCACGGCGGACGTGGTTGGCCGCGCGGGGTCCACCAGCAATCGACACTTGTCCAGCGGTTTGAGCACCATGTCCACCGCCTCCACGTCAACACCAGACCGCTGCAGGAGCTGGCGAGATTGGGTGCATCTGCAGCCTCCGACGCGATCGGTTCGGAGTCCGGCGGTACCTTGCCCTCCATGCCCCGCTGCAATACCTCCTCTGTCGCCGGGGCAACCTTGAACCATCCTTCACATCGCGAGTCTCACGTTAATGCACTTTATACTGTCGTTGCCAAACCTTCCGAAGCTCTTTTGCGAATCACAGAGACTCTGCTTTGGTTCCTGTAGCGGGTTGTTCAAGCATTTGGTGAGCACCGGAGTGGTGGTCTCGATGACCGAGAGTCTGCCAACACGTACCATGCTGCCGGTAACAATGTCTACTGCAGGTCATCAACTTCGACGGAAAGGGAAGAGGGTTGTTTAATATTCGGAAGCTATACACAGTATCGCTAGGCTTCAATTGCGGTGGCAAGGCTCTCTGCACACCTGGTCGCTTTTCGCAGTGGTTGACAGCATGTAGTATTCTAATCACGTCAAATCAAGTATCATTCCACGAGCTGACGATCGTCTTATTTCTCACGATATGTCTCATGGCAACTACATTGGATCGCAGCCTCTGCGGACTGGTACACTGACAGTATTATTTTAGTCGATTGTATGGCAATAATGTCCCTCCCCTCACTGAAGTCCACCTAATCCGCCTTCAAGGCGTCCTCAATGACACTCATACTCCCGTTCCAACACTCCGTCCACAGCTTCTGGTTATTGAGCCGTATGTTCCCGTCTTTGATCCCACCAAACGGCAACACATACTTGCCCTTCCAATTCCACTCCTGCTCCCGCACCCGTGGATGTACCGCGCAGAACAACGGCGTCAAAGCACCTTCAACGCGATTCAGTGTCCGATCCTTGAGCTTATCCTCGCCTATCGCGAGGAAACGATTACAATCAACCGTGCATATAGCGCCGGGGTGCGGGAACGTTACGATGATGGGGACGCGCTGTGCGTTGAGTCGGCGTTGCAATTCGATGCTGAAGAGCGCGTTTGCAAACTTCGAATGTGCGTAGCGGGAATAGGCTTCGCCGTTATCGTCGTGTGGAAAGATTTGGTTGAGGTCGTAGAGACTTGAGAATCGACAAGATGCTGGGGCGTCCACGTGCGCGGTGCTGTTCACGTTGACGATACGCACATCCGGGCAACCAACATTTTCATCAAAGGTCAGAGTGGTCTTTTTGAGCAGCGGAAGTAGAGTGGTCGTGAATATCATCGGACCCAGATGATTGATCAGCATGTGTGACGATATGCCTCTGATCTCTGTGTCCTCGCTCTCCAGCCCCGAGTCCGTGATGTTGATCAAGATATCCAACCTTTCCATCATTACCAGCTCGTCTGCGATTCGTTTCATGGCCTTGAGGTTTGTCGGATCGAATTCAAGAGGCTTCAGTAGATCTCTGCGTACTGGGAGATCGGATTCGGACACCATGAGATCAATGCTATTGCACGCCATGATGTATGTGCGTCCGCCGACCTAGACTTGAGCACCTTTGTAGGCGAGGATAAACGCGATGTGCCAGCCGATGCCGTCGGTCGAATCTGCAGCAGTTACGATGGCAATTTTTCCTTCCAGTGATCGGGGCAGGTCCGTTACGTCCCACATGGACGTGGCCCTCTCTGCCATGTTTGTGAAGGTCATTTCGGACTAGGCGAGGCACTGGTTGAATTGAAAGAGCAATATCGTGTTTATTGTGCAATGTAATGGAACGAACGAAGGTGAGAAGAATAGCGTTCGAGCATGCGATGTTGTGGTATGTTGAAGTGATAGACGGGCACAGTGCTGTCAATAAGCGATAGTGTAGCTGATAGCGGTACGAGTAAACACCTTGGAAACAGAACACGGGAGAGCATACACACGTCATATCTGCCAAGGATTGCTAGCAGTGCATGAAGTCGCGTGTGTAGGAGTGGTAGCTTCCTCCATATTCATAACGCCTTTGTAATCCGCCAACTTCATAACGCTATATCTGACTTTCGGCTACTCGACACAACTAGCAAGATGACTTGTATACTCCAAGAGTCGAGTTCATCCGATCAACTGTGTCTTATGTTTTAGACAATATTTCAGTCTTTCAACTTTCAAGCAGCTCTCACAACATCTATCGGTCGCAAAGGTCTACACAATCAGGACAGATTAGATTCGAACTTAGGTCAGATCGAGCGTTGCTCAGCACGATTCTTCACCCCCGCTCAATCAATCTGATCATTTTAGCTCATGTGAAGATCTAGAGGCTGTCTTTTATGCTGTATACATTACGATTTTCTTGCCATGCGGTCCAAAACGTTGCCAGATCCACCAAGCTTGTATTGCGATACATCCACCAATCTCCGGCTACCTTGCATCGGCTTCTGATTGCGCCAACTCCCATCGGCCATGTTGATCAGTCTCGGCGTGAAGTCTGATTGAAGAACATGAAGGGGCGGCTGAAGGCGAAGCGCTCGCTTGCCAATCGGTGCTGGGCTCCTCGTGGCGCGTACCCCACCAGTTAACAGCACGGCCGACGTCGCTAGAGACGCACGTATATGAGCTTGTTCCAGAAAAGCAAATGATCACAGATCGATTGATTGCCGACGCCTGGACAAGTGTTTCACGAGACGCTGCCGTGCCGCGCGTGTGTTGGGCTTCCCTCAACAGCAAGTACGAACGTAAGAGTTGTCGCTGCTAAATGATTCAGCACCGATCATAGAAGAGTCGGATAAGGCTGACGGCGTTAGCATCAGTGCCTTTGGCCCCCCGAGGCTCAAAAAGGCAAAGCCATGTCAGGCGTCCCGTGCAGTAGTCCCAAATTTAGAGTGCCCCTCCGCCGTGAGAACACTCAAGCGGTCTTCCCACGCCCAGATATTGCACAATCATGTCAAACTCACACAGAGGCTGACAAGCATTGCTTACCAAAATGAGCGGCAAAGCCATGTCTTTGATGAAGAGAAAAGTGGACATGTGCACTGTCACTGGTCCTGTACTGCAGATGGGCAGCTGCACGATGGCGGTTCACCAGACCGGTGTCTTCAGCCCCAGGAGCTGCCTGATGACTAGCTCATCGCGGTTACTTTTTGGCCCCCAGGGTATAGCGGCAGCACGAAATCTTTCAAATGCCCTGGTTGTCGCACTTTCGAGTTCTTTCTTCCTGTTTTCTGACACTACTTGCTGTTGTGTGCGTGTTGTGTCAGACTGCTTGTGCTGCCGCTCCACGATCCTTTATCACCCCGCTTCGCCCGCATCACGTCTGAGACAACTTCATTCAGCTCAAATATTGCTTGCAAACACTTTTTTATACTTAAAGTCCATTTTGGACTGTATTAAGCCTCTACCGCAAATCTCAAGTACCAAACTCAACCATGGGTTCTCCCAATGAGTACGATTACGACAGCGACGAGTGGTCTTACAAGAGCAAGTACACTTCTGGTGCCCGTCATGTGCACCGCAATGAGGTCCCGAAAGCACCAGTTCGTCCAAAGATCAGATACGGCGATGACTTCCACACGAACTATGAACGCCGAACGCAAGAGTTCTTGGTTCCAGAAGCCCATTTTACTACCCTCCACCGCACCCGCTCGCAAGGTCATGCGCCAGCTCCCAACGTGACCATCTACAACACCACGAGCATGGACAATGAAAGCAGTCCAAATGTACGGACCGAGCATAGAGACTCCAATGCACGGACCGAGAACAGGGACATCAGCGCAGATCGTGGTCGTCAAGCTCGCAGAATCCCTGGTGAATGGGCCCTCGAAGATCAGATTGCTGAATTACAGTTGGAACTCAAAAGAGATGCCCGCTCTCGTTCGAGACACGATCACCACCACCATGATCACTCGCCACACCGTGCTGACCCACGCGACTACGAAGATAAGATTCAGCTGTCACTTGCGCAACAGCGGATAAAGGAAGCCGAAGACGCTCTCGAGAGGAAACGCCGCGAAGAGGAGATCGAGAGGCGAGAGGACCTTGTTCGACGAAAGCTTGAGATGAAGTATATCCTAGATAGAACGGAGCGCGAGGCCGAGGAAGATCGCATCAAGCTCCAAGAGGAGCACCTCAAGCGGGAATGGGAGTACAAACGAGAGAGGGAGGAGCGCGACCGTGACCGCCGTGCTCAGGATGAGAAGGAGAGGGAGAAGCGCATCATCGCCGAGAACCGTGCGAATATGTCCAGGGAGAAGAGGGAAAGAGAGGAAGAGCGCGACCGACTCGTCGCAGAGATGGAGAAGGAGAAACGCGAGCAAGAAGAAGAGCGCCGGCGGATAATCGCTGAGCAGAGAGCGAAGATGACAAAGGAGAAGAGAGAGAAGGAGGAAGAACGTGACAGGGTTATCGCTGAGATGGAGAAGGAGAAGGCACAACAAGATTATGAAAGGAAGCGTATCATTGACGAGAACACCGCCAGGCTCGAAAAGGAAGCACGAGAGAAGGAGCTCAAGGCAATTGCCATGGAAGAAGAGCGTAAGAGGATCATCATCGAGAATGAAGCAAAGGTGCGGAAGCAGGCAGAGCAAGCAAAGGCCGAACAAGAGCGCGCTGTCGATGATTACAACAAGAAGAAGGCGCAGGAGATGAAGGAAGCTCAAGAAGAGCGCGACCGTATCATCTACGAATACGAGCGCAAGAAAGTCATGGACGCCGAAAAGGCCAAGAAGCAGCGCGAGGAGCTCATCATGCAGCTCAAAATCGAAGAGGAGAAGAAGAGAGAGGCCGACCGACTCGAATACGAAGCCTTCCTCCAGAAGCAAAAGGCAATAGAGGAACACGAAAAGGCCATGAAGAAGGCCCAAGAGGAAGAGCTCGAGCGCGCCATGCGCGACCGCCTCTCCCAATTCGGCTTCCAAGATAACCAGATCCAAGCCCTCGTGCACCCCGAGAAGCAGAAGGAATTGCAGCAGGGCCTGTCGCCGCACAATCCTCTGCGCATCGCACCTCAACCCACATACGCCAAGATCTCGCGCACGCATCTGGACATCGAAACGTTGCATTACTACGACATTCCCTACGAATACGACGTTGTAAGTCTATCCTTCTTTCAAAACAAGACATTTTTGCTAATCACAATACAATAGGACCCGAACTACATCATCGTCCTCCGCGAAATGAGCCAGCGCGAAACCGATGTGCTCTTCGAACACACGCGCCGTCTGCGCTCGCACCACAGCGACCGCTTGTTCATCGAGGCCGAGGGCCGCGATCGCCGCGGGAAGAAGGAATATGCGTTTGTGCGCAAGGCGTCGCGGTCGAGGAGCAGGAGCGATGTGGTGAGGTCTGGCGGCAAGAAGAATGTCACGTTGGGAGATATGTTTTTCAAGGGCTAGGGTGGGATATGTCATGACTTGATTTCGTTTTACGATTGGTGGTTCTGAGTTTGGCTTAGCAGTGCATATCATATACCATAGCATCTCGACTCTAGTAGAATTATATTCGGTAACGTTTGTTCAATAGCGATCGTGGTTCGTGATGAAGCGAATGTAATTCTGGTTTTGCCTGAAGATCTTTGTGCATTTTTTGTAAGCTGGGTGTGCAGGTCACTGCGTCTCAACAGCAGTACAGCTCTTGACCGGTCATGCGTGACGTTGTATGTCATCAACCACCACCAGGCAGCGGCAAAATTCGTGTCCGCTCTACACACGTGCAAAGTGATCCAATGGTCTCTAGGAGCGCACTAAAAAGTTTATAAAGAAGCCTGGATATATTCAGTGCTATAAGATATCTTGTCCGGTTTTGCAAAAAGTTTTGAACATATTCAGGCTACCTCTTCACTACATCATTACGACTACACTGACATTCTTCTACGCACCCGCATTTAGTATTGTTCAACCCAACAGTGTGGTCATTGGCACTTTCGAGCTGCACGTCAGCGACTTTACAAAAAGGCATCAAGTGCAAGTCCACTAGAAATACTCCAGCCAACCAGCCGGGTGCATTCAGTGAACCACCTAGAATGGAAAGTCAGCTTGGTTCACCAGTGCAACACGCTTTCCAAAAACTTACCATCTGCAATCTGCCTGCGACCGTAAATCGATAGTGACAAGCATCCAAAGCATAGAGGCCAGTATTCCTCCGCACGCAACGCCGTAATACGCAATGCCAAAGCCCTGCCAATAGCCTGTCAAACCAAGCAGCGAAATCAAAGCAAACACCATCACAGACAGCAGCACTTTCGGCCGATCCTGGAACCTTACAGCCATACTCCGCACTCCCGCCTTCACATCATCCTCCAAATCCATCTGCGCATACACAAAGTCATACACCAACGTCCACACCACATTTGCCATGAAAAAAGCCACCACCGCCTCTCTAGCATACCTCGCCTCATACAGCGCATTGGCATCAACAGCAGCCATACCCATGCCCACTCCAATCGCAACCTGCACCCCCAAAACAACCTGCGGAAAGTCCGTAACGCGCTTCGCAAACGGATACGCCACCGCCAGACCCCAACTCGGCACCGCAACCACGCAACACAACGCCGGCAGTGCCAGGAGTATCATCCCGCACACCAACGTCAACGCGCCAGTGAACAAATACCCTTGCCTCATCGTCAGCGCGCCTCTGGCCATCGGCCGATTTCGACACCGGCGGACTTGCCGGTCGAACTCGACGTCTTGGATGTCGTTCCAGGCACAGCCTGCGGAGCGGAGGACGAATGCGTAGATGAAGAGGGTCAGGTTGGTGTGGAGGATGGAGGTGGCGGAGGTGTGTGTTGTTCCTGAGGCGGCGACGTATAGGGTGCCAAACAGATGGGGGAGGTAGATTACCCAGATCCCAGTTGTTTTGGTAATGCGCATTAGTTCGCCGTATGGGATCCAAGAGGGTGGGACGTGGGAGAGGAGACCGGACGTTGGGGGATAGTAGGAGGTTTCAGAGGCGGGAGGGATGGGCGTGGATTTGGGAGGTGTGTGAATGGTGGTGTGGTCGGGGACTTTGATGGCGTTCATGGTCATGGTTGACGCCCTGCTATCGGCCATTGTTCTTTAGGTCCAGATATGGAGAGTAATGTATAGTGAGATTGGTATAAGTTTTCAGGAGCACGCAACGAAGAAGATAAAGAAAGAAGAGGCATGGTCTTTCTATGTACACGCTTTGCTTCTCTTGGATACATGACTAAATCGAAGTACAACAGCCTTAGATATCACGACTTTGATACATGGCATGCACTGTATTGAGGGCTTACACAGCGTCTATAATCGCGCTTGGCCAAATACTGCTACCGGGATGTGGGAAGTCTGAGAGGTGAATCGTTATGGAAACTTATCTTTTGCTGTGTAGAGTTAAGCAACACGCATGAGTCGACGAATATGAATGATATGATTGGAGCCACGTCTATGTTCGCCTTTTCTGAACTGTCGCGGACACCTCACTCCAGTTCCGGTGGCATAAGCCTCATGTCTAAGGGTACTAGACTAGCTGCAGTCAGCCTGCGCAATATGTGCCAGTGAAGCAATTTGCGATGTCTGCTTACCCTGTTACATACGAGCTGGCGTTGCACGTTGCGATAAGGGTCAGAGTAAGCTACATATGCACCTTGATTGCTAATCTTCCTCGTTTTACTTAGATAACCAGCCCCCACATATACAAGTCGATCGCTTAACCAAACTCAAAGTTGACAGATGATGATCAAGCATGGAGGGGTGCGCCGCTATCAGATTGTGGAGCGTAATGAACAGCCGGGGAATGGGGGTTTCATGGAGTGAAATAATTTAAAGATATGGAAAAGAGTGGTGTATGAGAAGATATGGATTCATTACTAATACTATTGAGAAATGCGATTCTAAGCCAGACCTCCCTGGCAGACAAAGTATCACGTCGCAACATCCTGTTATAAGTTAGCATCAAGGCCAACAGAAAATGGTCAACGAAGCGGAGTAATAGTGGTCGTGTCAGTTCTCCAAGGTGATTGTTTCTTCAATGTAGTTCAGTAAGAACACAGCGAATCATTGTGTTCATCATGTGATGGGAGATCTTGAGAAGGGCATGCTTACCAATGAAGGGCACGAGCATTTATAAAACAAGGACGAAAGTACTAGAGTGCGCCAGTCAGCTACTGCGCAACCCAGATATGTAATCCTGTAACAGGAACGAATAGGTACAGTCCATCAAGGATCAGCCTGAGACTGGTTAGCATGCGGACAGGGTTGAGTAACAGGGCCTGACATACCTCATTAAATCAGATTTGGTTGGGTGATCAGGACGACGGCGCTCGTTACAACGCCGCCGTTCACACAGTGTGAATATCAATGTATCATCATCTAATGATGGACCGCCTGGAGTGTGGGAGAGATGCCGTACCTTTATCTGCGATCCTGTTAGTTCAAGACCTGACAAAAGCAATGTAAACCGTGAAGGTATTGAGGGCAATCAGTGATGCTGTATCAACAAGTATCTCCTCTTCCGACATCCACAGGTTTGTACGCCTGCTTTCAGCGGATGCCATCAAAGGAGTACAATCTGTCCGCCCGGCGCATCAGGGGTATCATCAAGGAGTAGGAAGGTTGGGATGTTCGCGTAGGCGGAAGGGTGGAATGTACCTGCAGACGCGTTGTTAGTGTCTGTTGTGTTGCAAATGTTCTGAAAAGTTCCAATGTTGGTAGCAGGGTCAGACAAGGCTGAAACTAAGTTTAGACAGAATCGACATTATATATTCAGGTCGAGGAATGCCTTTCCGATGTCATAATATCATCACTCTGCTAGAGGAAGGGAATGCGAAAAGAGATATGGCTTACCTTTGCATGAGAACCATCGCGCAATGAGACTTCGACACGGACGGGAAGGTTCTATGAGCTGTCAGCGAGATGTCCGATACGCGCGCATCAATGAAATGCAATGCTGAAGCTGGTGCATCATTGTAATTTTAGAGTATTGGAATCCTCAAGTGAAATTAGGAGTTGGATTGTTCATGTTATTCAGAATAATCTTCTGCTGGGCAATCTTGAGGGAGCGGCGAGGGCTTACCGTGGTGTCTTGTGGGATGCGCAAGCTGAGTTAGTAGTAGATCAATGTCGACAGTGACGCGCGCATTCAGACGCGACTTGCTGCGGTTGCAGGATGAAGTGGTGGTGATAGAAGTTGCGAGCGCCAGAAAATTTAGCTTGGGTAGGCGCGGCCCGACCATTGCGCCGTAGCGCGTGCTTACGTTATCGTCGGCGGCGCTCTCCGCACGTTCGCAAGAGCACTCTCCACAGAACACAGTACTACAATTCGTTGGTCCTGAAGAACCATTTCCGTGTACATCTGCAGGTTGTCACGCACCACGGAAATTCAAAAGGACCCCCAAATCGTGCAGCGTGGTACCACGTCTCGTGAACCTGGACAAGCTCCCGCACATTTGGCGGATGAAGGTAACACCGGAAATATCATGAGGGCATCCAGGTTCCTGCATGAACTTGCCAAAAAACCTTCCTACATTCGACGATCTTTGACGGCGCGGATCCAATAGTTTTAGATGAGCAAGCTGGTATCGCACCACTGCTCAGTCAATCGTAGTTTCAGACTGCAGTACCTTGGACAGCCAAATGCGGGGAACGTGAAGATGAATACAACACTTCCTATATCACTTGCGCGCCTTGGAGTGGTTCAATTATAAACCTTGGCCTGTCGCATTACGAGTGAACGTTCCTCTCCTGGTCCTAGGAGGTGCAATGATCACCGGATTAGCCTCACTATTATACCATGTGTTGTCAACAACGAGGCCGACAACGCGGGATAACCAGGGCATATTGACAGAATGATTGCGTTTACACATGGACCCCATGTCCGCGAGTAGTGAAGACGACATCCCAGTAGCCAGCCAAGGGATAGTGCCCAGGAACGCAGTGGGTATCGGAGGGGCATGTTACACGGGCATGTTAACTTTGGTCACAAAGTCACCTCATTGCGTCGTGGAAGCTTTCCAAGGTTCTCCCGAAATTAGTCGTTCCATGAACTTTCCAGACATTTGGATCCAAACAACACCACGTGCGAAAATGACATTGCGGTTCTGATACCGGGTTAACGGGCCTCGAAGCGACTTCAACAGTAGTGTATTTCATCGTTGAGGCATGGCGCAATTGCAGGAACCTGCCAAACCCTTGACTTACGAAACAGATTTGTACTATGGTCCCGCAGCGCTAGGATCGAGGATCGTGCAATGTCTCCGACCTAATCGAAAATCATGGGCCTCTTCAAGCAGGTGAACCGGATATTAAGAAGGGTGACCCTGAAATGTGGTGTGGCGAGGGTGTCAAGCCGTGCTGGGCATATGCCCGTTGTGAGCAAGGGCTTACCTTGCGCTCGGCGGGACGGTAGCGGGCCGGCATATAGCAATGAGTAAGAACCTTAACGTTTGCGCGTAACGCGAGCGGAGAAATCGTTGGATTTGGACCGTTAGAAACGCATAATGGTGGAAGATGAGAATGTCGGATGGCGATGCAAAAGCAAGTAGTAATGGGCACAATGACAGGGAATCTGACGCGAGACCCCGGTTTCAGAGTGAGACAGCCAATACCTAACCTTGGAACGACTCGAATGGGTATATTGATGCACGTGAAAACGCTATTGAATCCTACAAATTGGGAGTTTGCCGACAAAAGTAACCTACCGCGCCCAGCGGTTAAACCTGTCGCTTCCATCAGATAACGGCGCCGAAGTCCTTTTTCAGCACGTCCAATATTTCCTTGCTGTCTACCACCTCGTCTCTGGCATTGTGTCCTGATTGCTGGTTGTTTTCTTTCAATCGTTTCAAGATTTCGGGATCCAATTCGTTGATGAGTTCATCGAACTCTTTCTGGTCTTCTCCTTCTTGCTTGAGATAGTCTTGCTCCAGCATGAACTCATCAGATAGCTCCATCGAACTAGGGAACACATAGATGGTTGGAAACTCAAGGACTGTGCGGCCGTTGAGGCACTCGCCAAGTGTAGCATTCGAGTCGAGTGGTATTAGGACGGATCGGCTCGAAGTAGTGCGTGGCTTTGCCAAGAAATACATATGCTCCCCGTCATCTGTGGGCTTGACACTTGACCTGTCATTGCGAGACTCTGCATGGACCGCCTCTGTCAAGGATGATTCGCTCTCCCCAGCCTCTCTTTCATGAGGATTGATTGCTCGTTCTCCGGCAGGTAGCTGTTCTTCCTCCCGGATAGTAGATTTGACATTGAGGCCGCGCCGGACTTGCTTGTCCTTGTGCTCCAAACTAGGAGTAGGGTCTGGAACAGATGAAGAGCCTGGAGCCGCAGCCTGCTTGGTATCGAGCTTTCTCTTTTTGGCTTTGTATTGCTCGCGGGGAGCGAAAGGTTGTGCTACTGCTACCTGGCAAGTGGACGACGTCTCAGTAAGCTGGCGCTTCTTCTGATGATCAAACCATTCGACTGTCCACATTATATTCCTGCCACCAGTTGACTTCCTGAGGCTAATTAGTAGCTTATTTTTTTCAGTGCTTATGAGATGTCTTACTTGGTGCTGGATCGATGTGATTTGTTCTCCTTTTGCCTGCTCAGGCCTTTTGGCGCGCGAATGACTTTGACACCGGCAGCCTCGAGTTGCTGATAATTTACTTGACCTTTCTGCGACGACTTGTGCTGAGACCACGAGTGTGACGTTGATGAATCCACGACGGTCTTCTCAGCGAGACTCTGTTCCGCTTTCTCAATGTCGCGCTCTATGCCTGTAAGGAAGTTGAAGTCGTGATCGATACCCGCTGGCGTCACCAACTGTGACTTCTTTACAAACTTCGTAGGGTCACGTTGTCCGGAGCATTGCGCTCCATTGCTGATGTCGCTTGTAGCATGGCAGCGAGCATGTGCGTGCTGCGCATCCTGGACAGCGGTATTTTGACTTATTGATGTTGCTGCGTATGTTAGCTTTTGTATGAATGTTCTCACCCCATGCTGAACAAGAGGTGGCGTGGTGATGGTCATCATAGTAGGACGCGCAAGTGTTGGCCACATTGGAATCCCATTAAACCAAAACATACCAGGTACTACAAAGATCGCCCAAGAGCGTCTCGTCCGACATGTCGGGAGAGTAAATCGACGCGAAGTTCCCGTGATATCGATCGGACAGCACATGCAAGTTGCCGCTGCCGAATTCAGATCTTCACCACGCTGCACGTAAGCCTCCCTACAGAACTCAATTTAGGCCGCGCGTAGCGTGTGTAGTGTGTATAGTCGCCGCTCAGTGCGTGCCGCTCGGTACAAAGATGCACGGGCAAGGTTTGCAGCTGCTAATATTGTTTCCAATAGCGGCTCGTCGCAGTAGTGATGGATGCTGCACGTGCCAGATGTGTCCTTGATGGGCAGGTAATCGCGATGTGTTGTGGTGGCTTGCACTTGGGTGTGGTGTGTGCAGCAAAAGTGAAGGTTTATGAGGACCGAACTAGCTTAGTGATCTCGGGAGAGTCCAATTGAGTTTGCAACCAGTCAGTGCTCGCCGCACGTAATTCTCCGCAGCTTGCACACTCGTCTGCACCGATCTAGTTTGCGCGACCTCGACAAGTCTGGCACAAGCTGTGCTATCGCACTTCGCAAATGCATTTGTTCAGCGGCGCCAGCCTTGGTGCTATGGCTTCCGTGAACTACAGACGATCACCTGGATGACTGCAGCGATCGACCACATGGTCATTTAGGTTCATTGCAAGTACAAACTCAATCTCAGCTCCCACTGTAGGTAATAGGGAGAGTAGACTGTACAGCTCGCTCCGGCGTTTGGCAGACTCTTTTGCTTCTAGTCGAAGTCTGGGCATGAGAGGATCGAATCATTCCCGGCATAGGTATGCAATACTATGTAGACAATTTGCTTCGCAGGGCGCGTTGACGCGGACGTTTCAAAATTACACTACCTTTTCGATTCCGCGAAACTTCTGCAGGCGACGATCGCAACAATATCCAACTGCGTGGCGGGGTGGAGATGTGGGCCCCATAATGCATAAGCGACAATACAATCAAACGAGGACGCTGAAGAACAGAGCTGAAGAAGAAATGCCGCCACACCGGACCAAACGCTGAAACGCATGCTTCCTGGAGCGATAGGTAGTCGTTATCGCCGCGTGCCTTGGGCTTCTGTAGCAGCCCACAGATCTCAGGGGGCTGCACCTCGCCAATATCCCAAGACATCCAAATAGCGGATAGCGCAGCCCACACTGCGCAAGAGCGGGAAGCTTGCCTCATGCACGTTGCTGCGAGGATTCGCGGCGCAGATGGTCATTGCGCCGTGCACAAAAAGGCTGCAACACTGATTCGAGAATACCCAAAAGCAGTTGTCAGCATGAAAACCCACGCCATTGGACTATTGCCACTGGCGGCGACCCCGCTGGCCGCTACAAAGCTTGAGTCGTGGCCTACAGGTAATGCTACGGGGTGTCGAAACACGGCAGGCTCCCTTCAGCAGAACTGACGCGTGTGCGAAGTCAATCTGGAATCACGTTTGACCGGCATCCCGAGCACACCTTTTGTGTCTGACTTTGATTGCGAGCCTCCATCCGCTCGGATCGAAGCAAAAAGGACCGCCAGCCGTTTGGCACACACGCACGGAAGATGGACCGCCCATTCATGTCCGCTAGGCGACGTGGAGCCCCTGATAAAACCTTGTTCGGAGAGAGACCCTGCTCCAACGCGGATTGGCAGGGTTGGATCAAATCTCCTGGATGCGAGACTTGTGCAGCAACTAATCCCTGCTAGTACTCGGGTCGTTCATCCCCAAGCTTCTAGCCCGAGCTTCAAGGGCGCATTGCGGCAGAGCTCCCCAAAAGTGGCCAGTCCGCTTGCCATCTTCTGCGTTTCTCCTTGCCGCCGTACTCTTCACTGCGTACCAGCAGCAAGGCGTTTGAGCCCTTCCATCGACGACGTCTGTAGAAGTTCTGTCCTTACGCTGGAGCCTCACTTCAATCATCGCCCCTTCCACATGATTGCCGCCGCTTCACGTTTGTCCTAATATCCTTCGGGTATCCAGTCAGTGCATTGTAGCGCGCAGATTATACGACCAATTCCAGAATCCCAAATCAAGCACAAATCAACTATGGCTCCATCACTGAGCCTGCGTCCTCGCACTGGCGAGCGACCTCCTACACGAGACAATGCCGACCACAGTCTTATCATTCCCAGTCGGACCTCTTCTCTGCACTCGAGGATCACCCAGCCGCTCCCTTCGACACTCAACGTCAAGCAAGGCGCCAGAAGCCCGAAGACATTGACCCATGCCTATATGGTATGCGGTGTTGGACGTGAACCTTCACAATGGGTGAAGGCGCCTGCCCCAGCGCAGGGTAAGATTGGACACATGAAGGGAGCTGTTGGAACCTTCTGGCTTCCAGAGATCCTCGGAAGCAGCCCGAGACTCGAGCAAGACAACGACATTGCGAGGTCTCTGCACGCTGCTATGCGAGTAAGTTCAAAACCGATTGGCGACTTGTTACATTTTTAACATGCGATCTCAGGCTTGCTTTCCCCATGATGTAGAGATTTGTACTGGCAGGAGTCAACCACATTGTGTTCACCACTCCTTTGTCCTACAGCAGGACTCTTCCCACACTCTCTACGGTATCGCCCTGCGCGTTTGGTCTCGAGCAGACGAGAAGCGCGCCGAGACAATCCGTGACCTTCGCAAACGCATTGAGCCGGATTTCTTCGACAACCCAGACGAGACATACTGGATCCCTTACTGCCTTAGTTTCCTCTCCCGATACCCCTTGTACAACCTCCTTGGGGATTACCTCCGTGGCATGTGGATTCACTGGAACAAAGCCACCAACCTTTTCCACGCTGAGGAAGTGTCCCGAATTCTGAGCTTCCCCGCTCCGCGACTGAACGACTTGGTGCGCATTGACATGAAGGACTATGCTTTGTGCTACCAGTTCCCGTCTTCGCCCACCGGATTCCAGAATTTCGCCATGTGGCCCCTGTTCACCTGTCTCTCCATTCCCAACATTGTTGGTGTAATCGAGGCTGCTGTGTCACCTACTCGACGAATCATCTTCACAAGCCACTACCCAGCGATGCTCACTATTGCAGCTGAGACAGTCCGCTTTTGTGTGAGGGTATACGAGTGGAGTGGCCTATACGTGCCGGTCGTGCATGCCCGTCATGTCAAGGACTTGGTTCAGGAGCCGGGCCCATACATCCTCGGTGTAACTTCTGAATGCCGATCGCTGTTCACGGCGCCCACAGATGCCCTCGTTGTAGACTTGGACAGGAATTTCGTCCTGACCTCCAGTCCACCCACTGCTCTTACAGCTGGTCAGAGAAGTAAGATGATTACTCGTCTTACCCAGGCCCTGAACGGTGAGGTATCGCCAACTGGTGTTCCACAGCACCTGCGATCTGCTTACGGTGGCGGCAAGCTCATTCCGGCTGGCCAAATCATCGTCATGCGCGGAGAAGTTGAGAGCATCCAGGATCCGGATTGGTGGACCCAGGATGCTGTCATGTCGGTCATGGACCACGTGTGCGAGAAGCTCGTGAGTTACTCAGCCGCCCAATTTCCACCCGGAGCCAACGCTAATTATGTTGCACAGGGCCGAAACACCGGGATGAAGGCCATCTTTGGGGGCTCCGTGAAGAAGCCTCTAATGACCAAGGTTTCTATGCGCCACCTCAATGAGATTGTTCGCGAGCGCAACCAGTACTCCCGTGATGCACAAGAAGCTTGGCAAGATTTCATCAACCTCAAGGGTCGCATGGACACCGAGCTTTCCAAGGTCACTAAGCGCAACAACTTCTTGGTTGAGGAGCTTGAGAGCTGGAAGCAGCAATTCCTCAAGTTCCAGGCTTTCGCTGAACAGCTCACCAAGGAAACCCAAGACCTTAAGGTCAAGATTGAAAACCACAAGCGTGAGAATCGCCGTCTTACCAATCTCATCGACCAGCAGAAGGATGACGCTGCCCGACTTACCATCCGTTTGTCTGGCACTGAGAAGCAACGTGACGACGCTCTGGAGGCACTTGTTCTCCAGCAAGAAATTGCCGAAGAGCTCGAGCGTGAAAGGAAGCGCAACAAGAAGGAGCTTTCCGCTCTTCAGCACACCAACAGCGCCATCGTTCGCCAACGGGATGAGACGCAACGAGTTGTCCTTCATCTCCGTGCGTTGATTGAAGGCCAAACTCACCACATGGAGCACATTGTCAAATCCCTCAACCAGGATGACATGACCGGCTACATTGAGCAAGGCTTTGAGGATGTCCCAGAAGAAGACGAGTCTGAGCTGTTCGAGGATGCAGAGGCCGAACAGCATCCTACGAAGGCCAAGTCTGAGGCTGGCACCGCTCGCAACAGCGTAGCTGGCTTGGACAGCACCCGCGCCTCAAGAGCAAGCACTGCTCAAGCTCACCACCTCGAAGGTGAGGACGTCACACCAGACATGGAGCAGCATCTGCACCGCAGCCCCGCACGCAACTCAAAGCGTTTCTCGAACCAGTCCATGGTCGATGTCGCTGATCGCGTTCTCCGCGACAAGACTGACGCTATTGCGTACATCATCCGCAACATCTCAGAGCAGTGTGCTGCCGCTGTTGAGGGTCTTCAGCTTGCGCAACGTGCAGATACCGAGGACGGCGACAACCACAGTGACCGCCGCAGCAGCATGGGCCAAATGTCCTCCCTTGGTGGACGTGCCCAGTCAACACAGGGCAGCGAGTACGGTGACGAGGACATGCTTCGTCCTGGCCGTGGATCCAGCATTCCTCCCACCCCAGATCTGAGCCACAGGTCAAGCACATCCATGTCCATGGCTAGCGCATCAACAACACCAGACCGCCACAGTCTGCAACACCGATCGCACGATGTTCCTGACGTGCCCACGCGCATCCTGGAGCACGACGATGATGTCGAGGACTCCAGCGATCTCCAGGCCGACATGCTGCCCGTGTCGAAGTACGCCACACCACTACAGAGGCCGGGCCAGACCGTTCGAAATGGACACTGAACGGTCGTAGATGTTGCTGATTTCCTTACAATAACGGACAGGATCCACTGAGCGCTGTATATTCAATATGTTCTACCTAGGCGTTGGTGTCGGCGGGGTCGATTCAGCTTCTTTACTATCCTTGAGCGAAAGCATGTTCAAACTTTTTTTTCTTTTCACATCTACGACCATTTCTTGTTTGTACGACAGCCATTGATGGATGGGAGGAGGGAGAAGAAAAAGAGAAGCGGCTCGAGAAGCGGGTGCAGAGACAGATTGAAGAAGTGAGAGAGGCAGGGAAGAAGTGGTAGCTGGCATCGACGGCAACCTTCCGGGCTTGGTGCGCCCAGCTCATATGTTGATTGTAATTTTGTTTGTTAGCATAATACCACTATTTCCTTTGGGTTCAACAAGTATGAAGTCTTGTGTATCTGTGACACGATGCTGTGGTGATGCCCTGAGTACGAAGTGTAATGCATGTCGACCGTTAACATGAAGTGTTCGCCTAGAGTAATCAACATCTGGAATATACGTCCTCATGTACTACTGAAGCATGCCTTGATTCCACACGCAAAGACCCTTGTCGACGGAGCATGTGAAAGAAGCGTGGTCTCGTGACGGTGCTGCCAAAGTCGGCCCGCCATGCGGTGATCGAGCCTCGGCTTTGTAACATCGGCGGCTGTCAACCCTCGCTGCTATCGCCGCCCACCGAGCGACTTCACACAGCGTTTTGTCTTTATTTCTAGCATGCGGTGATACTCCTTTCTTTCTTGATTCGCCATGGCAGACGCTCTTTGCGGGCCTTCGAATGCCCTCCAAAACTTCCAGAAACACACGACAGTCGATCGGACACTGCAGCAGGATCGCCTTGTCGGCCGCCATTCTCCGTCACAGGTCAGAACTTTGTCCACACAGAGCGATATGCTGTTTCTGACTGCATATAGGGCTTCAGATCTTCCTCAGGACTGAATGCAGGCGCATTAGACCCCGAGTTTGACGCCTTTCAAGCGGGACGGCCTGGCGCATTGCCCCAGGACTTCCACCGTCCACCCCCACAGTTCGCACATACTCCTCCTCCACAGCAGTTTGCCCAAGCACCACAAGCTCCTGGATGGGCCTCAGACTTCCAGCGCCTCAACATATCCAACTCTCCGGTGCAATCATTGCAACGGCAGCAGCCACAAGCGGCGCATTCAGCGGCGTCATGGCACCAAGACTTCATGATGCAGCAGACGCCGGCTGTCCAGGCGCCGGCAGTTCAGCAGCAGAACACATTTGGCGGTATGCCGGGCTACAGCATGGGCGGCTTTGGGGGACAGTCGTACATGCAGCAGCCAGCCTTCCAGCATGCGCCCGTGTCGCAAGTCGCGCAAGGGAAGCAGCCGGCGCAAGAGGCAGTGCCAGCTTTCGACGAAGCAGCATTTGAGCAAGCATTCCTGCAGGCGGAACAAGAAGCACAGCAAGACATGCTCGACACGGCAGCTGAGCAGAGTCAATCACACGCAGCCCAGGCCAATGCAGAGGTCATGGACTACGATCGGCCTGGTGAGATGGATCCTCTCCTTATGCGGATACTGGGAAACACGGGCCAGGTGTGTAGTATCGTTCGGAACCACTACGGGTTGCTAACTTGTGTACAAGCTGTGTATTCAGCCATCCAAGTATGGTGAGCGAAACCGGCCTCGGCCGCACCGAAGAAGCCGTGTCCTACCTCGACAACATGGCCCGCTTAGAACGCACCGGCAAACTCGTCGAAGACGCCAACGAAGCAAAGTGGGTGGTCGACTCGCTGCAACGCATCGCCAACCGCGACGCCCCGCAAGAAGTCAAGACGCGCGCTGAGAGCCTCATCAAAGCCATCAACGAACGCCTCATGTCGCAATACCCCCTCGGCGCCAAGGTCCCCATGAGCGAAGAGCAAATCTGGCGCGACCTCGAAGCAGCAGGCTACATGCGCACTCCCGAGCACGAGCGCATGGCACCACAGCCAGAGCAAAAACAAGAGCAACCACCTCTCAACGACGAAGACGAAATGGCCGCAACAGCAGGCCGCCTCCTCGAACGCGTCGCCGACAACACCAGCGAGAAATTCCAAAACTCCCAGTTCCTTCAGCTCATGCGCCGCCTGCGAGATCACGAAGTTCGCGTCGAGGAAGACAAGATTGTCGAAATAAATGCGCAGGAAAACGCTGCTTCGACCCAACAGCAACCAACACAACACACCGACCTACCCTCATCATCACAAATCCCCCCAATCGACCCCGCGATCCTCTCCCACGCCGCAACAGACTTCTCTCTCCCAGACTACCCAGACCAGGACCAAGACCAACAGTACGCAGCTAGCCCCATCACCGGCGAGCCCATTGTAATAAGCTGATGAGATTGCAGGACAGTCTAGAGCATACGAACTCCACTCATGACGATGAGTATTGGGCCAATGTGAGTCCCGCGCATAGGGCGCTGTTTATGCATGCGTCGCAGCGGCAGAGCGATGGGGGGAGGTGGATCCCGAGGAGTGAGCAGGATGAGGATCGGTGGAGGTATTTGCCAGGGAGGGATCCGGTTACCGAGGAGAGGGGGATGGGTATGGGGGCGTGAAGAGGGCGGGTACGTGACTTAGTGGAAGGGATGTAAGATACATAGTGCAGTCGTGTACTGACACCTGGGGCTAGCTAGAGACGAGACATTCTCCGGGTGAATAACCCGATGTTTGAGATCTAGGGCTCTCGGGGTGGAGTACGTACTACAGCGAAAGCGCAGATCTGATACACGAAGCTGAATGCATCGATTTTGGAAGCAGTGTCGCTCATATCTATAATCTCTAGGTAACCTCTATCTCTGCCCATCTCCACATATTATTCCTCTCTCCCTCCTCACACCCCATCGAACGAACCTAAATCGGCTCATCCCTCGGCTCAATCATCACCTCGTTGACCGCCACATGCTCCGGCTGCTTGAGCGCATACACAATCATGCCCGCAACGTCCTCGGGATCCAGCACCTTCGCACCACTCGGCTCGCCATACTTCTTCAGCGCCTCCTGATCCGTGCTCATGCCCAGAAGATCCGTCGCCACATTGCCCGGCTGGACGCTCGTCACCCTCAGACCGGTGCCTGCCGTCTCGACCCTCAGTGCTTGCAGCGTAGCTTCGACGAAGAATTTGGATGCGGAGTAGACGCCCAGGCCGGGGAAAACTTTACGGCACTGCATCCGAGGAGATGGCGAGGAGATGGCCCTTGCCGCGCTTGAGCATGGCGGGCACGATGCTGGAGATGACGTTGAGCAGGCCCTTGCAGTTGACGTCGACGGTCTGGTTCCACTGGTCCGTCATGGTGTTGGCCATCATGGTGAAGTACATGACGCCCGACACGGAGACGAAGATGTCGACGGGCCCGAGTTGTTTCTCCGCGGCAGCGACGAGCGCTTCGACTTGCGCTTTGTCGGTGATGTCCGTCTTTTGCGTGATGATCTTGCCTTCGCGGATCGTCAGGCGCTTCTTCAGGTCTTCGAGGGCATCGACGCGGCGCGCAGCGAGGGCGACGTGGCAGCCTTCGCGCGCGAGCGCAGTGGCGGTGGCAGCGCCTATGCCAGACGATGCGCCCATGACTACGACGACTTTTCCGAACAGCGGGCCGCGCTGGGGTCGTCGTCCTGAGCCGCCAACGGCGTCGTTCTGCGAGGGGGGTTTGGGAAGCCAGCCGCGAGCGTACCAGTGGCGGGTGTATGTTTCGAGGAGAACCTGGTCAACCTTGGGGCGCTCAACGGCCGATCGCAAAGGTCGGGTCTTGCTGTTGTCGAGGACTACGACGTCTCTCAGGAACTCGATGCTGGGCATGCCGCTGCGGAGGATGTCGACGGTGAAAGCACCATCGCCACCCTTTGCAGAGCCTCGCTTGTCGTCCCAGAGTGCAACCCACTTCTCGAACTCCAGTGGTTGGGTGGGATATCCGAGAGCGTTGAGATCGCTGAAAACTTGGCTGATGTCTACCGGGTCTGGATCACCGATATGGAACACAGTCTGCTCTGCGTCCATCTGGTTGCTGAGATGGAGAATAGCCTTGCTGACGAAGTCAACCGGCGTCATCTCTGCGCGCCAGCCTTTGACGTCCGGATAGTAGCCAATTCGAACCGACTCCACGATCAGGGCAGTCAGCAGGTCCCATGCGTTGGCCGCACCAGTCTCGCTGTGACCACTGACAGTACCCAAGCGGTGGATCTTGATGGGTATGCCGCGGTTCTTGGCCTCCAATGCAAGCTGTTCGGCCACCCACTTAGTCTGGCCATAACCATCTGCAAGTTTGGTAGGGACATCCTCAACTGGCAGGTTGGTGTCTTCAGACCAACCCTGGCGTCCTGGCGCTGGAGGGAGCACACCGTTTGTCGAAACATACTGCACAGTGGCACCGCCTTGAGCAGCAAGACGCAAGATTTCGCGTGTACCACCGACGTTGGGCTTCTGAAGTGCAGCATAGGGGTAGACCAAGTTGACAGTTGCAGCAGCGTGAACAATAACATCGGTACGTTCAGCCAACTGCTTGAAGGACTCCGGCGAGAGACCAAATCGCTTGCGCGATAAGTTGGCTGGCAGAATCTCTACACGCTCCATGACCGAGTCGTTCCAGAGACCAAAGTCCAGCAGATTGCGACGAATTCTAGCAATACCAGCGGGAACATCGTCTTGTGATGAGTCAGCAAAACGGACCATACATATGATTGTTGCAGATGTAGCCTCAAGTAGGTCGCGGAGAAGGAAAGCGCCCAAGAAACCAGTAACACCAGTAAGGAAGACCGTCTTTGCGTCTTTGAGCGCGCAGACCTTGGGGTTCACGGGTTGGATCTCCTTATCGAGCACCGAGTCTGCTTGGAGAACTTGTGGTAGATTCTCCTGGACCTCAGCAGTGTGGCCGTCTCGGATGGCACGAACAGTGTCTAGATGTCCGTTGAGAGTCGCGGGTTGTGCGAGTCGTGCGACTGGCACTCGAAAACCGAACGTGTTGGAAAGACGAGCAGCCAAATCAGCCAGGAGAAGTGAGTGACCTCCCAGATCGAAGAAGTTGTACTCAGGGGTGATAGTGTTCGCGTTAACGCCGAGGATGGATGCCCAGCACTCAGTGACCTGTTCAATAGTGATCGGGCTCTGCTCAAACTTGCGTGCGCTACCAGTTGGCGAGCTTGGTCTCGGAGGTGGCAGATTCTTCAGATCGACCTTTCCAGACACATCACTGGTAGGCAGTTTGTCGAGCTCGACCCACATGGAAGGGATCATGTAATGTGCCAAATACGGCATGAGCATACGTCTCGCTGTTGCGCTGCGACCCGTCTTGTCGATCTCGACCACGGGGCGGTCCGCTGAAGAGTCCTGGTCGCGAACGAAGTATGCCACCAATTGCCGGTCGATTCCCTCGCCAAAGGGTACGACAGCACAGTGGCGAACAGACAGGTGGTTGACAATAGCGCTCTCGACTTTGCCCGGAACCACTGAGTAACCGCGGATCTTGATCATGGCCCCAACACGGCCAGTGATCTCAAGCAGTCCGTTGGAGAGCAAGCGTGCTTTGTCGCCAGTCCTGTACATACGGGCACCAGTCTTTGAGCTGTAGGGATTCCTGATGAAAGCCTTGGCCGTGGTCTCTGGACGATTCAGATATCCTCTAGCAAGTAGGTGACCGCCAACAAACAACTCGCCATTCTCACCCTCGTCGACTTTCTGACCACTCTCATCAAGAATGTAGATATATTTCGGGTCGATGAGAGGAGGTCCGACTGGGCAGTAAGGAGCATCCGTGTCCAATTTCTCGAGCATGTCTTTGATGTCGCCGGAAGCGATCTCATGTGTCTCACAGGCGCTGTAAACGTTCAGTAGGCGAGCATTAGGAAGTGCCTTGATTCCGCGGCGAGCAAGGTCCGTTGTGACGACCTCACCGTTCAGCCAGATTGTCTTGAGATTTGGCAGACGTGTGTTTAGTGATTGATGGCGGGCGAGTACAGCAGCGAAGAGAGTAGGTGTGAAAAGAGTCTCCGTAATCTTCTTGTTCGCAAGCAAATCAACAAGCATTCGAGGGTCGTAGCTTGCATCGTCAGGGACAGCCACAACGGTCGCTCCACGCAGAAGGGGTCGTATGATCTCCCATACGAAAAAGACATTGCAAGGCTACTCGGTCGCCCGGCTCAAGATTTGAAAGGCCAAATCTCAGATCGTATGACAGCACTGCTGCCCTGTGTGGGTTTGCAATACCCTTAGGCTTGCCAGTGGTTCCGCTTGAGTAGGCAACAAAAGCCAACTTGTCAAGGTCGGTCTCCTCTGATACAGGCGGCAGCTCATCGTTCTCCACATGACCATTGCTATTCGATGATTGCTCATCCAGGACAACCAGGGGAGTGTTGCCCTTGATCTTGCCGACCTCGGCACTGATGGTGACGACAACAGTGGGGGCTGCGTCTTCGAGGACATCGGCGAGAAGATCTGGGGGATAGGCCAGCTCTAGGACCAAGAAGGCACCGCCGGCTCGCAGGGCTGCCAAACAAGCGATTACATAGTCAGCAGATCGTGGCAGCAGGACACCAACTAGGCAATCGCGGCCAACGCCATGACCTCGGAGCCGATCGGCGAGGGCAGCAACCTTGTCGTGAAGCTGTTGATATGTGTATGTGGTTTTCTCGTCTTCTAAGGCAATGAGATCAGGTGTAGCTTGAACCTGTTGCGTGAAAAGAGCAGACAGGTCTTTTGTCGTGTCGATGACCGTCATTGTTTGAAATTGTTGAGGAAGGAGTGAGTGAGGAATTGGTCCACTACCAGGAGACAATTAACGTATATAGCGGTTCGAGAGCTGTCACCATACGTTCAAGGGTGGATCCGTGGCTAGAGCAAAGCAATTGCACCGTGCAGAAAATTCGGGGCGCGTTGGGTGCAGACTGGAGCGACGTTCGCTTATTCCAATCGCGTCATATTAGCGCCAAACTACACTCTCAGCAGTGCTTCTCATTGCTCGAATGCGAGCAACAAAACCTGTGGAGGTGGCTAGATTCCACGCAGTCCGCCGCTGACATGTGGATTTCCCGGGGCGTCGCCGTCTTAGCGTTATTTGTCGGCACGTCGCTTTGGAGTGCATGTCTGGGCTATGAATCCTGGTTTTCGGGGGCGAAAGACATCTTGTGCATGGGAATCTGTGTGTCGAGAGACACCAGGAACAGCAGTGATGCCAAGCGGTGTTACTGTTACAGTAGATGACGGACAGCATGGTCCTGTGACTGCACAGCCTTTTCGAACAACACCGCCTGGACATGGCTACTGCATGTGGTCAACTACAACGTAAAGTAAGCAAGGATTTTTGATAGTCCGAAGCTACATACAGTACCGCGAGGCGTCAATTGAGACGTCTCGGCCTTGACAGCTTCAGGCACCCTCGTTGCGTAGGTGATGGCCTGCATTACAACCAGAGTGTAGTCAATGAACAACAGGTCCGTGTAATGACCCGGAGACTCCAGAACGGGATGTACAATTACCTTGGCAACCTGGCAACGTATGGACTTGGCTGTGCAAGTCCATCTTCGGAGTGCATTTGTCTACTCTGGAGCACATTGGATCGACTGTCGTTGGCACTGCGCTCCGGATACGAATACATCGTGGAGGAGGACGTCATGGACCTGAGTGATCGAAGTTTGTAAAGTCTCCTGTTGTGCGTCACATATGACCAGAAGGTACAGCCGCATGGGGAGTCATCTGGTAGATTTTAAGGGAAATGGAAGTTCGATTAAGCTCAATGTTGCATTAGTGGTTGGCATACTTAGCGTATGTGGGGATGCTGATACGGTACCTACTTGCGTCGATGTACCTGTGCATGCCTATCTATGACGAAGTGGCTCCAGATCGACCATTCGTCTGCGCTGCGCCTGCTTAAAAACGCCGTAAATGGGAGAAGATACGTGGTCGCAGACGATACACAGAGATCTGGCGTTCTGAAATTATGCTCATCAGGAGTGTCTGGACAACGACAGCGGGAGGAAGATCTGGAGACTTCCTCCAAACATGTGTGGCTCGCCTGTTCGAATTGAACGTTGCTCTGAAAAGATGTGTTGTCATTAAGCCGTGTGAACATTGTCGCGTGCGATGAAGGGTGACAGCTTGGACATGAAGTGGACGAGCTCCATTGTCGCTGCTTCGGAGATCGACTCTGAACGTCGTGCGATACATGCTCCGAGAGGTGTGCACCATTGAAGTACTGAAGTACAACCAAGGGTGACTGCAGATGTGGTCTCAGGACAACCTAACCGCATTTGATCAAATTCATCACATACTCAAGTGCAATCTCTTGAAAAAGTGGAGAATTATACCCAAGGGTAGCATCTAGGATAGATAGTTGCAGTGCATGTTGTAAATGCTCTGTTTTGTCGTGAGAAAGCAATCAAGTCTTCATCATCTTTTGTTCCTTCTCCAGATGACAGATACGCACTGCTTCCTTCCTTAAGGATCGACGATTATGGATTGGCGTACGTGGATTATGCATCACTCCCTTTTAGTGTAAACGGAGCGACATGCCTTAGAGCCTATGTGACGTCGGCTTCTATATCATTATCACCCAAACTGTGATGACTCGATGGCGAGAGTCATGTCGTGCCGCGGTGGAACCGCATCTGATCACGTTGTACCTGACGATGTCTTCAAACCGAGGCTGCTTGATCAATCGGCTGAAAAGCCGATGTCGTTTCCTGAAGACAAGCTGTTTTGCGACGGTGACGCTCTGTGTATAGCTCGAGGCACCATAGTCGCTGAACCTCGGTAGATCTCCACCTACCTCCACACCAACAAGCGTAACGCGCCGCGGTCTATATACCGAGCTCACCACCAGCAATGTAGCCGACACACGCGCATGAGCATATTGCTCGACATCTTCTACTCTTCAGTCCTTGCCCTATACCATTACGCCTCCGACTAAGCCGTCGCCATGTCGTCCACGGCGTTCGTCCCCTTCAGCGAGCCTCCGTACATCGTCGGTCTGCCGTCGCCATACTACCAAGAAACACATTTGCGATGGCAAAAGGCGTGTCGCAAGTTTGTGGATGAGCATCTGCTTGAGAAGGCGCTAGAGTGGGATACCGCGGAGACATTGCCTGAGCATGTCTTTGAGACGTTTGCGAAGAACGGCATGCTGCTGCCCACCTTGCCAGCGCCGTTGCCCGTGGATATATTGAAGAACCTCGGGATCCATGATATCCTTGGTGTCGTCAAAGTTGAGGAGTGGGACTACATTCACACCATGATATATGCGGATGAGGTAGGCCTGGGACCACAGCATGATAGCTCGGGGAGTTTACATGTAGCTAACGCAGTACTAGATGGCACGCACTGGTCTTACAGGCCCATCAGGATCTTTGACAACTGGCATGTCGTTCGGTGTACCGCCCATTATCAAGTACGGCAACAAGCAATTGCAGGACCGTTTCCTCCCCGAACTTCTAACTGGCAAGAAGCGCACTTGTATTGCAATCACCGAGCCTGAAGCCGGTTCAGACGTCGCGAATATCACCACGACAGCTATAAAGACACCAAATGGCAAGCACTACATTGTGAACGGTACGAAGAAGTGGATCACAAATGGCATATGGTCAGAGTACAGCTCAATGGCTGTGCGAACAGGCGGACCAGGACCAGCTGGTCTATCGATGCTTGTCGTGCCATTGAAAGGCAACAAGGGCGTCAATATGCGCCGAATCAAGGTTGGCGGTCAAGTCTCTGCAGGAACCACATTCATCGAGCTCGACGACGTCAAAGTACCCGTGGAGAACCTCATTGGCGAGGAAGGCATGGGCATGAGATACATGTACGATCACACATGAGAGTATGGATCCCGAGCTAACAAACACCAGCATGACAAACTTCAACCACGAACGACTCTCGATTGCAATCGGTGCAACCCGCCAGTCTCGCGTCGCGCTCAGCGCAGCTATGGAATACGTCCTCAAGCGCGAGGCGTTCGGAAAGCCGCTCATCGACCAGCCCGTTGTACGACACCGTCTCGCAAAGGCTGGCGCCCTTCTCGAAAGTCAATGGGCGTGGGTAGAGCAGTTTGTCTACCAAATGACTAAACTTCCCAAAGCGACAGCGGATGTCGAGCTCGGTGGTCTCACAGCCATGGTCAAAGCACAGAGTGGCATTGTACTGAACGAGTGTGCGCAATGTGCGCAACTGCTCTTTGGTGGAAATGGATACACAAAGAGCGGGCAGGGCGAATTGATCGAGAGTGAGTTTTCTCGAGCATGATGTGATGCACTGTAAGAA